GGGATAAAGCCCTGTGCACCTTCCGGTGTGCAGCTTCCCCTCCACCGCGGGCAGAGCTGCAGACCATGCAGTAACGGTCAGCGAGCTCGGCCAATCACAGATCGTTACCTCAGGGTACCGCAGCAACGCTCTGAGACTATACGTGAAGAGCTAGCGAGACAATGTCTGCATAGTCTGCAGGCGGCGCTGCAGACAGGATAGCAAGAGCCACTGGCCCACCAAGGAGGAAGGAAGTAGAACAGACAATGGATCACCAGGGACTGCAAAAAAAGTTATTTGAATGGCTTTCACCCTCACCTCCCACATACTGCCACCATCACCTCTGCTCCCCACACTGTCACCCTCACCCCCCTCCACATTGTCACCCTCACCTCCCTTCCACACTGTCACCCTCACCTCCTCTTTTGTGTCAGTGTGTGTGTCTGTATTTGTATGTCCGTGTGTGTCTGTGTACATGATTGTCTGTGTATCTGTGTCAGTGTGTGTAACGTGTCATTGTGTGTGTCTCCAAAAGTGGATCTCGGCCCATAAAGGTTTGGGAAGCCCTGCCTTAGAGTGTGTTTGTGCATGTGTGCATGCGCGTGTGGGTGAGTGCATGTGCGTGTGCCCGCAAGTGTGTTTTTTTTTTTTTTTATTGTTTTTGAAGCATAGATTTTGGTAAGACTAACTAGATGGTATTATCAACAGTATATATGTCTGAAACTACATTTTATTAAGTGCTATACTCTAAATATAACAAAATGTAGCATAATTGTTTTTTTTACCTTAAATGTATATTTTCATTACCGATAATAGCTGTTGGGAGAAAGACTTAATGATGAAAATTAAATAGTGTTTTTAGTTTTATATATTAACTTTAATTTTCATAATAACATAATTAAAAACTTAATTTAAAATGATCTCTCCCATTCCCCTACTTTAATTAACTGGTTTAATTATCTCTCCCAGTGAACAATTTCTATTTATTAAAGAAATTAATCTTTACTACAATCCCTACACATTTTTAATTCTGTTTAGGGAGATCACATGGGGTGAATAGTCTTTCTAGGATTGCTAATTGTAAAGCATTATTATAAACTAAATGTATTTGCTTTTATTTACTTCCTCAGTCTTAAAAGGACACTTCACTGCCCAAATACACCTTAAAAAACCCCCAAACAAATTTATATTTAGTAGAGTTACCCCAATGAAAACATTTAGCTGAAGATATTTTGTCTGTAGCCTTTACAAGCCCACCCCTTCTAAGCCTGACCAGACTTTCTGTGTCTGTCCAATCACAAATTCCCCATTTCAGCTCACTTGCTGCCTCTTGACAGTGTTTACATTGCTGCCTTGGGACACATCCAGTGGCTGTCACTCAGACAGCCACTCGAGGTGCTTCCTGGGCCAGTGCTGCACAAAGTGCAGCACTGACATTCAATGTATCTCTATGAGGAGATGCTGATTGGCCAGCGCAGCGTTTTGTAATAGCCTTCCAATGCTTTCCTATGGAACTACATTGGATTGGCTGAAATCATCCGTTCTGATAATCTCAGCCTAGGAGGTGGAGTGGGGGCAGAGCCACCGCCAGCAGACCTGAGCGGCGTAGGAGTAAAGGTGAGTTTTCACCCAATTTAAGGTGGGGAAGAGGTGGCCGGTGGCCTAACGTGTTTTTTGTTTGTTTTCTTAAATTCTTTATTTTGGTTTTGTGCAAATAGGGTAATTACAACATTTGCGTCATGTCGTGACTATGATCACTGTTAGTGGTTTAGGTAGCGAGGTAATAAACACGTATGGCTGTTATGACAATTGCAGATTTTGAGTGGGCTAGGCAGTTATAAGGGTCTTTCAGTCTGTGTGTACTGAGTCATTAGTATGGTTTGAGCGCAGCTTGACACTACTTAGGGTGGCCTATCCATGGTGTTTTGGGGGTAGTGCCCTCTAGTGCGTCTTTGCGTAAATTGGTCGTCTATTGTTGTAAGCGTAGGTAGGGACACTCCTTTGCTTTGGTTGGTGCCTGGGTCTGTGTCTGTACTCAGGTTAGTTAGGGTCTATGACCCTGTGTGGGGACGATTGGCCGTTTAGTGTAGGCCTATTTCTGTTGGTCTAGTAGGGGGAGCATGGCCAGGTATTAGTCTGGGTTAGTCTTGGCACTTTGCCTGCTCGTATGCTGATTAGCGTGTCCCCTGTCCCTTAAGGGCCCCGGGATGGTGGGGGTGGTGTGTGCAGTATAGCCTGTCGTGTGTCACCAGAGGTTTAGTGCCTTGTCGCGTCTGGGTGAGCTCAGGTTGTCATGTCAGTTAATTTTGTTTTAAACATTAAACGTAAGGAACAAAACGATCATCAAACAACAAGTGAGAGATAGGTGTCGGCATTGCCGTGTTCGTGTGCCAGCCTCTTTCAGGTCTCAGGGCCTGCGTCTGCTACGCCAGGTGAGGGTGATGCATTAGCCAGAGTTCTAGGTCTAGTGCTGGGCAGACCTTTGGCTTGGGTGGGGAGACCCAGAGTGTTGAGCAGTGCTGGACCCTCTTCTGGGTCGGAGATCTTGTAGGCTTTGTCCTCCTTTGTGACCCATAGTGTTCTGGGGGTTGCCCATCTGTATGTTAGCCTGGCAGTCTGGAGAGAGGTGGTGATTGGTTTCAGGCTTTTGCGCCATAACAGTGTGGCCCTGCTTAAGTCCTGGAAGAAGGTAATACGCCATTGTTCGAAATCGTATAACGATTTCCCCTTAATGGCGGCCATTAGGGCTATTTTGTCTGTTAGTGTCTGGCACCTTAAGATGATGTCGCGGGGAGCCTCTTGTGGGGCTTTCGGTGATTTGGCAATCCGGTATACTCCATCGAAGTTAAAATGTTTGGCATGTCGTCAGGGCAACAGTGATGCTACAAGGCGCCGTATGAAGTGCGGCATTTCGTCTAGGGGTATTGATTCTAGAACCCCGCTGAGTTTCACGTTCTTTCTTCTCCCCCTGTCGTCCAGCAGTGTGACTTGCCTGGTGAGTGAGGTGTGTGAGGCTTGCATTTGTTGCACAGTGTCTCGCAGGTCGTTCAGTCCTTGTTGTAGGACTTGCACCTCTTTCTCTGTGGCCTGGGTACGGGCTGTGACTGTTTGGACCTCTAAGGTCAGCCTGCCACATTTGATGGAGGTTTTGCTGCAGCCGAGCTAGCATTTCTTGGATGTCTTGTTTAGTTGCCGGGGCCCCTATCCCACTTGTCTGGGGGGTCTCCCTGTCTGCCGTGGTTGGTGTTGGGCTGTGTGAGGTAGCTACCTCCACTGACCTTATAGGTGAGGCCTCAGGAGAGCTCCGGGCCCGTGATATTGGAGTTTGCAGCATTATGCCTATGTTCCTCTATGTCTGGGGCGTTTGCTGCGTTGGTTTCTGGGACCTGCGCCCCATCTTCTGATGAGAGTAGGAGTCTGGATTGACTTGTTGTGGTATGCTGGTCTCCAGCCACGTTGCTAGCTCGCCGGCTATGTCTCGTGGTCGGGTGCCCGTTTGCATAGGCGTGCGCACGGGGTGTGCCGGGTGTGCCTGGGCTATCCAAGTGCCGGCTCTGCTCTCAGAGTCCCTCCCCACTGACCCACAGGCAGGGAGGGAGGCAGGAGAGTACCCAGGGAGCTCTGCCGGGTTCCTCTCGCGGGATTCTGAGCGTTGCCGTGGCAACGTGCAGATCTCGCGAGAGTGAACTCTAGCCCCGCAGGCTAGAGTTCACTCTCCACTGGACCACCAGGGATGGAAGTATCAGAAAGGATCCCCCCTCCCAGGCATAAGGTAGGAAGGGAGGGGGGATATTTACTAAACGGCCCCCACACAATACACACAATCACCCAAACATACAGCACCCCCCACACACAGCATCTACACACATACAGCACACACACCCTTACACACACACACTAACAGCACCCTCACACACACAGCACCCTCACACACACAGCACTGTCACACATACACACACACAGCGCCCTTACACACACAGCGCCTTCACACACACACACAGTGCCCCCACACACACACACAGCAGTATATGTGTGTGTATATATGTATGTGTGTGTATATATGTATACACACGCAGCGTGTGTGTTTGTGCTTTAGGGTGCACACCCTTATACAATAGGCTGCGCACACCTATGCCCGTTTGGTAGGCTACAGTGCCCCTCTTGTGGCGTTTCGTGCCCGGGGCATGAAAGTACGGCGTCTGCCGGCTCCTTAGTGGGTTCTGAGGTGGGTCCCACTCTGAGTTTCCGCGGGTTCGTCGGGTTTCAGCAGTTATTAGCGGTGTTTTGTTCTGGTCTGTCAGAGCCGCTGTAAATTGCGACCGCTCCGGTGTGCCGCTAAGCTCCACCCCCCCAACATGTGTTTTTAACACTATACAGTCAGGAATACACATTTGTATTTCTGACCCTACAGTGTTCCAGGTCAAAAAGGCAGAAACTGAAAACTTCTCTAAGTCAGCTGTACTCGTCATTCTGGTTTTAATCTGAAATTCACGTGAATTCACTTTGAATTCTCACATTAGAAAATAACCGTGAAAGTGTCATTCTTCTTTTGAAAAATTGTGCTATGTAAAATCACATGAAAAATCTCCTCATATAAGTTTGGGCAGGCCCTCTTCATCTTCTCATCCCATATGTCAAACATGTTTTTCTAGAATTAATTGTAAGAATTCATCCAGTGATATATGACAATACGAAGTTCAAATATATCCCTGTAAGCCTCATTTGCTATCCCAAATTCAGTGCTACTTTTATGCCAAATTATATGAAAATATAATTTAATATAAATTTAGGATATAAAAATATAGGTTATTAAAAACAAACTACTATAATACAAACTCACAATCCATTTTTAATTTTTTTTTAATTTAAATTAAGTTTACATGAAAAGATCTCATAAATTCACTATTTGATACAATTTAGTGTTTCCTAACCGAATAAGTCGCTAATTAATATGCTGCTGAATGCATATTTTGAATCAGGCAATACAATGTTAATGATTTCTGATTTCCATGACCTTTTGTGCTCGGCAGAGGGCATTACCTGTGTAACATGATACCTGTGAGTAATTGAAAGTAAAAGTAAAATACATTCAGCTTTTCCTTATAGGTGGAGATTTTACTTGTCGTACATTGTACTCAATCCTTTTGACACCCGGAGAAGATTCCTAACAGCTATCCTTGTGATCTCTCAACAAGAATCTATTCTGGATAAACCTCACCTTCCATAATGCCTCTGGCAAACGTTCACCTGGGTAAATGGTGAGAATTTTAATTTCAGCAATGATCATCTAGTGTAAATGTTAATTGATCCTAGCTCATTTATTTATTTTTTGAAGGTTCTTTTTTACATTTGTGCTTCTTAAAAGATTTAGAAGGTACTGGACACGTTAAAGGAGCTGCTTACCTGCTTGTTTGTTTACGGAAGGGCGTTTTAGATTTCTTGCAAGTCATAATGAGTTGTAAGTTTAACTATCGATGTCAGCATGCGTGCAGGCAAAAAAAAAAAAAAAAAGAAATTCCCCCTAAGGAAAAGATTTAAAATAGGGTATGGGAATCAAGTCTCCCCCCTGCCACCCCCACCCCTGAAAATATTCAAATTTTGTTCACCTGTATTCAAATAAGTGTCATGAAATATTAATTTGCAATTGGAAAAGGACTAATTAGGAGGTTTTTTTTTTTTATAATCAGTTCAGTGTGTCAGATGACCCTCTCAGCCAATAAATGATGTGAAAAGATGCAAAAAAAAACAGCAGATAAAGAGGAACGGGAAATTCTTCTTTAACGATACTGAGAATTTTAAAAAGCATTTTAACTTCTTACCATGGGACAGTACAAGGGGACTCCTGGCAGGCTGCAGTGTTTATAGTGGTCAGAGTGGCCCTTTAACCCCTTATTATTATTATTATTATTATTATTATTTTATTATTTATATAGCACCTACAGATTCCGTAGCGCTGTACAATGGGTGGACTAACAGACACGTAATTGTAACCAGATAAATGGACGCACAGGAACAGAGAGGTGGAGGGCCCTGCTCAATGAGCTTACATGCTCAAGGGAGTGGGGTATAGTGACACAAAGGGTAAAAGTAGGGGTATGAAGTAGGTTGTTAGAAAAGTATTCATTGAGGGCTTAGTAGGTAATTTTTGACAGTTGCAGGAGAGGAGTCATGGAGGGTGGGGGATAGAAACCTGCTAACAGTTGAATTTATATGCTTTCTTGAAGAAGTGAGTTTTCAATTATTTTTTTGAATGAGTGGAGACTGGGTGAAAGTCTTAGGGAGAAGGGAATGGAGTTCCACAGAAAAGGTGCAGCCCTGGAGAAATGTTGGAGGCGAGCGTTAGAGGTGGGCGTACGGACAGAGGATATACGTAGGTCTTTGGCAGATAACTCTTAGTAACAACAGGGCTGGCGAGTTTAAAAAAAAAAAAAAAAAAAAGTATATTTTGCCTAAATTTTGCAGTTACTGTATGTTTAGTTAATACATCCAATAGTATTGCTAAGAAGCCAATTAAATTAATGTAAAAATTCACACTCTGCTTAGTAATACTTTATTTTCATGTACTATTTGATTTATGACTGCTGAAAAGACAGATATAAAACTATGTATACATTATCTGAGCTACGAATGCTGAAATCCTATAAATATACAAAACATATCAAAATAATTAAAATGTATTTGTTCTGAATAATTATTCTATAGCTGCAGTAGACATTATTATACATGAAAATGTGAAACAAAAGGTTTCTTTCTCTAACTTTTTAATATTTTAATCATACATATTGTTGAAGTCTGTGTACATATTGCACATCAAATAAAAGCTGTTATATTCTGTTAAAAAAATAAATAAATCACTAGACAATATGGACAGTTGTAGACATCAAAAAAGTTTTAAATATTAATGAACATCTGTCATCAATGCTTTAAGTAAGGAAACCGTTATGGCGGGCCAGTGCAAGTAGCGCAGTTTTTTAATGATTTAACCATGTCGGTACTGCAGTTAGATTGAACCTGAACCATTTCTCAGACACCCCAGAGTTGCATTGAACACATAAGCAGATGGCGATATGGAAAAATTCCAAACAGAAAAACATGGCAGATATCCTGTAGATTATATTATAATTTATTTGTTACTTAGTTTACACTTAATACACTGATGAATTCACGTCTGAGCAGTTATTGTCCTATCCTATCAGCATATGAAATTCTTAGGTTTTTAAATGCTTTTGTAACTGTAGATGTGGGTTGAACTCTGTAATACGAAAGGAATGCTTGGAAAGATTGCTTACCATGTAACGTATAGGAATGTATGCTGGTAGAAAGAGGCCTCAAAAGGTGGGACACTGTAGTCACAAAACAACTTTAGCTTAATGAATCCATTTTGCTGTATAGATCATGTCCCCGCAGTCTCATTGCCTAATTCACTGTCATTCAGGAGTTAATTCACTTTGTTTATGCAGTCTAATCAGACCTCCCTGCATGTCTCACACAGCCTTCCTAAATATTTCCTGTAAAGTGAGATCTAATGTTTACACTTCCTTTATTGCACAATCTGTTTAATTTAGAATGTATCTGCTGCTCTGTTAATCGCCTTCTAAACCTTGCATTGAGCCTTGTTTGTAATTAAAGTTCAATTTAAAGAACAGGAGATAAACACTTCTAAAGCAAGTTAAAGTCTGATTGAAAAGGAAACTTTTTATTTTTCATGCGGGCTGTGTCAGCGTAGGGAGGTGTGGCTATAGCTGCATAAACAGAAACATGTGATTTAAATTGAACAGTAATAATCGCTTCATTAAGCTTATGTTATTTTGGTGACTATAGCGTCCTTTAAATTTGAAAGGCACTTTGAATTGACCTTGAAATTCTCACTTGAATAAATGACCCAGCACGTATCACAAAAACTATTGTAATTATTTCAGAATATATACAATAAGTGTAATTACATTTAAAATTCTGTTAGCATTGCGAATATTTTATATGATGTTAACGTTCTTTTCCTAATTCTAGTATATAAATTGGAATCTCAATGTACAAGGCAGAATTGGTAATGTCAGCTCCCAGTGAAGGAAACTCTGGCTTTGGGGTGAGTAATAATGAATCATTTACCCACTGGCTTTCAATATAGGGAAATTCCAAACTGAAGCACAGTACTGTGTACATTAACTGAAACTGGAAAAACCTGCAAAATATAGGGTTATCTAACAAACAGTGAGCAGCACAGAGTTAAAGGGACTCTCCAGTGCCAGGAAAACAAAACGTTTTCCTGGCACTGCAGGTCCCCTCTCCCTCCGACCCCCCATCTCATGTTGCTGAAGGGGTTAAAAGGGACATCAGCGCTGGATACAGGTAAGTCACTGAAGGGATTTTAACCCCGTCAGCAACATGGGATGGGGGTTGGGAGGGAGAGGGGACCTGCACATGCCAGGAAAATGGTTTGTTTACCTGGCACTGGAGAGTCCCTTTAACTCTGTGCTGCTCACTGTTTGTTAGATAACCCCATATTTTGCAGGTTTTTCCAGGTTTAGGGTCCGCCCACGCTCCTCCCCCGCCGATGTCATCCGGCAGGGGAGACCTATTGTGCATGCACGGCCGGCGACGGGGGAGACCTAATGCCCTTCCGCGGCAATGCCGCACACGCGCATTAGACCTCCCCATAGAAAAGCATTAAAAAAAATGCTTTCAATGCTTTCCTATGGGGATTTCAGTGACGCTGGAGGTCCTCTCATAGTGTGAGGACGTCCAACGATGCTATAGCACAGAAAACCAGTGCTATAAACCCGGACGTGCACTCTAGTGGCTGTCTGGTAGACAGCCACTAGAGGAGGAGTTAACCCTGCAAGGTAAGTATTGCAGTTTATGAAAACTGCAATATTTACACTTGCAGGGTTAAGGGTAGTGGGAGTTGGCACCCAGACTACTCCAATGGACAGAAGTGGTCTGGGTGCCTTGTGTGTCCCTTTAAAAATTACAAAACAAAAACCTTAGACCTGGGTTGGAGAATTTTTACAAATCTGCTATTTTAGCCTGACTTTGGCCACTTGGATTTCAATTCATTGCAATTCAGAGTTTAGCGAATAATCCCAACCCTGTAGTAAATTTCCTGAATTAATTATTAAAAGGGCTTATTTAAATACCGGTATGTGTGATGCTGAAATTTGAATTCAAATTCAGCTAGGGAAAGTGAATTCAGTCCTTGATCGACTGACTGCTTCTTCTTGTCTTCCCTCACAAGTCTTCTCCTTGCTCGGTCACAGAGTTTTTGAAGACAACTTTTTTTTAGGTAGTATCTGGATGATGTGTTGTAACCTTAATTTCTGGATTATTGATTTTACTCCAGAGCGAACTGGATTTTCCAAACACTTTGAACCAACTTAATGCTACAAGATAAAGCTTGAATTTTACTTAATGGTATCTTGCCTTGACAATTTGACCTATACTTTGAATAACTCCTAAAGCAGTAAGGATAATTACTATATTACACCTTTTCTCATATTTCTAGATGTAGGTACCAATTTCAGTTAAGGCGCTGTTGTGCCTGTTATCATAGGGCTATTCTTGACTTCATAGTTCTGTTCAAACCGTGATTCCGCATCGTAAATTGATGAATTTCCTCTTGTATTTCAGACAGTCATTAAACACTAGCAACAAGAGATGGAGGAGAAAGACTTAAACCTAGACTTCTCGAATAACAAGAGGTCCAGTCAGATCAGTACCTTGGATTCGCCTGATGATGGAAGCCCTGGTAAAGGAACCTTCCTAAAAAGTTTGAGTTTCAGGTTAAGTAAAAGAAATTCGAAGAAAAAGGACACCCAGGAAGAACCCGGGTCTCCAGAAAAGAAAGAGACGACTGATTTGCAACATGTTATTGGAAACAAATTAAGAAATAGCTTCCGATCTAGTAGGAAGAAACTGGATATCAACAGTTCAGATAACAAATGTGACAACATGTTTGTGAACGGTGAAACTTTAAGGGAAGAACCTCCTCAGGAGAAGGAGATATTGTCAGGTAAGAAGAAATCAACTTATTTGAGTGTGAACTGTCGGTTGTCTGATATTGTTATTTGTTAGGGCACCAGTGAGAGAAGACATTGACATTCCACCTAACTGTCTCTCTTGAATTGTCCTTCATTCGCAAGCAGGTTCGCCTTCCCTCTATCTGTGCAGGGGTGTAAACGTCAGACAGGGTGTGCATTTGCTTGCAACATCCAGATATTGCAGATACGGCAAGCCCTCTTCTCCTCTGGCGTAGACTCATATGTGCCAGGGAGTGGCCAGTCAAACGTTTCTCTCTGAGAATCCTTGTGGACGAGCCATGCATGTGTGTATTACAGCCCATCAAGTCTTTCCAAGGCAGGCACTTTAAAACTTTAAGTCCCTTTAAAAGTATTTTTGTAGCCCAAAATCTGCCTTCGATTTACATCTTTATTACGTTCCCAACCTCTTTGAGAAGACTTCATATCAAGGTCAGAATGGCTTTAGCCCATGCATGTGGTTACAAATATCGGTCGGAATAACATATTAATATTATATTTTGGTATTTCTATAGCTCAACTCATTCTGCAGCACTTTACGATATTATGAAAGGGGGGAAATTTAACAATAAATGACACAATTACAAAATGTTACAGGAACAATAGGTAGAGGAGGACCAGTCTAGAGGAACATCATGTGGAGGGCACTGAGGGAAGATGGCTGAATCTGACGCATTATTCTAAGCTTGTATATAGACTAAAATGTCAAACTGTATGGAATATACAGTGTTTGTGTGCTTTCGTTGTTTTGTTGTGCCCTGGCACATTGTGTAATTTATAACTTTTTTGAAGTCATGGGGAATTTTTATTTATTTATTTATTTTAATTCTTTATTTTTTGGTCATCCAAATTAACAGCTGATATACAGACAAGACATTTGACCTACAGAGTCAATACTTCATAAGGTACATATGACTATGGGTTAAGAGACGATACAATATCTGTGAGCATAGATGTTTAGACAACTGTATTGTCGATTGTGCTATACAGGCTCGTTGATTCTGCCAGGCCAGTTGTAGTCTAGCCAAGTAGATGGAATTTATATTATTAAAAAAATAAAATTGGCCGTAAGAAAAACTATTTTTATCCTTTTAGTTATGGAAATAAATGAAATAATCACTCAAAATCAACTTGAAAGGGCATTTGGAAGCATACAAGTAATGGAGGATAATCTCTTGAAAGAATATAAAAAGGGCATTTACAAGAGCAACGAATCAGAATATAAACGAAAAGCCAAAGATGTGGACATGTTGTATGACAAGCTCTTTAAACAAATGACATCCATTGTGAAAAACTCTCTTGTGCAAGAAGATCAAATGGATGAACAAATGGTAAGATCGGTGGTCCATATTATTGATGAAGAATCTAAGAAAAATAGAAAGCTATCAGTAGAAGAAGCCAAATTAGTGAGTCCTTCGCTTGGAATACCAAGAAAATGGAAGACACTCTGGAAAGGTGTCATAAAAGAGAATGCAATGGAGAGAGTCCGTTCTGTGCCTATGGCATCAACAACCGAGCGACGATGGCTTGCTGACCACCTAGAGTTACTCAACAGAAACATTGTTCAAGACTTATTAAAAGTGAAGAATTCTTTGAAGCCACTTTATCCAGACGAGTATGATGTGTTTGGAACTTACGTCCGGAGCTTCAATGACAGTCTGTCATCCCACATCACAGGGGAAATATTATCTAAATCTCTGACGTTCAGCCAGATGCACGGATTGCTTGATTGGGTTCTAAACATATACATAAGGTAGGTCACTATTTTGACTTTCTTATAATCTGACAAAGCCCGGGCATGATGTGAGAGGTTAATATAAAAACCCAGAAATTTTAATTTAATGCATTAAAGAGCAAATTCTCTAACCACAGAATTTCCAGCCTAATCATGGACTCGCAAATTTCAAATTAATTTAGTGGACCTAGACCTGCACTGTTTTTACTATCAGCTAAATTGAGAAATACACTGCTCAAAAAATTAAAGGGAACACAAAAATAACACATCGTAGATCTGAATGAATTAAATATTCTTCTGAAATACTTAGTTTTTTACATAGTTGAATGTGCTGAGAACAAAATCACACAAAAAGTTAAAAATGGAAATCAAGTTTTTCAACCCATGGAGGTCTGGATTTGGAGTCACACACAAAATTAAAGTGGAAAAACACACTACAGGCTGATCCAACTTTGATGTAATGTCCTTAAAACAAGTCAAAATGAGTCTCAGTAGTGTGTATGACCTACAACACCTGTGCATGCTCCTGATGAGGTGGCAGATGGTCTCCTGAGGGATCTCCTCCAAGACCTGGACTAAAGCATCTGCCAACTGCTGGACAGTCTGTGGTGCAATGTGACGTTGGTGGATGGAGCAAGACATGATGTCCCAGATGTGCTCAATTGGATTCATGTCTGGGAACAGGAGGGCCAGTCCATAGCATCAATGCCTTCGTCTTGCAGGAACTGCTGACACACTCCAGCCACATGATGTCTAGCATTAGGAGGAACCCAGGGCCAACCGCACCAGCATATGGTCTCACAAGGGGTCTGAGAATCTTATCTCGGTAACTAATGGCAGTCAGGCTACCTCTGGCGAGCACATGGACGGCTGTGCGGCCCCCCAAAGAAATGCCACCCCACACCATTACTGACCCACTGCCAAACCGGTCATGCTGGAGGATGTTGCAGGCAGCAGAGCTTTCTCCACGGCGTCTCCAGACTCTGTCACGTCTGTCACATGTGCTCAGTGTGAACCTGCTTTCATCTGTGAAGTTCACAAGGTGCCAGTGGCAAATTTGCCAATCTTGATGTTTTCTGGCAAATGCCAAACGTCCTGCACGGTGTTTGGCTGTAAGCACAACCCCCACCTGTGGACGTCGGGCCCTCATACCACGCTCATGGAGTCTGTTTCTGACCATTTGAGCAGACACATGCATGGCCTGCTGGAGGTAATTTTGCAGGGCTCTGGCAGTGCTCCTCCTGTTCCTCCTTGCACAAAGGGGGAGGTAGCGGTCCTGCTGCTGGGTTGTTGCCCTCCTACAGCCTCCTCCACATCTCCTGATGTTCTGGCCTGTCTCCTGGTAGCGCCTCCATGCTCTGGACACTACGCTGACAGACACAGCAAACCTTCTTGCCACAGCTCGCATTGATGTGCCGTCCTGGATGAGCTGCACTACCTGAGCCACTTGTGTGGGTTGTAGATTCCGTCTCATGTTACCACTAGAGTGAAAGCACCGCCAGCATTCAAAAGTGTCCAAAACATCAGCCAGGAAGCATAGGAGCTGAGAAGTGGTCTGTGGTTACCACCTGCAGAACCACTCCTTTATTGGGGTGTCTTGCTAATTGCCTATAATTTCCACCTGTTGTATATCCCATTTGCACAACAGCATGTGAAATTGATTGTCACTCAGTGTTGCTTCCTAAGTGGACAGTTTGATTTCACAGAAGTGTGATTGACTTGGAGTTACATTGTGTTGTTTAAGTGTTCCCTTTATTTTTTGAGCAGTGTATTACTAGTTGAAACAAATTCATCTCTCAAAATGTCTGACAATCCTGAACAAATCTTAATCTATCTCTCTAAAATATAAAGAATATGCTTGCTTCATCATGCTGCAAAAAGATCAATGAAGATAGGTTATCAAGGCTACTAATTGCCAGGATAGAAAAGGAGTCATCGTCCTCCCTCCTCACCCAATATTAAACAGATGGCGAGGCATAAAAAACGCCCACTCATGTGCTCTGAGCAGGTGAAATGGTCCAATCACGGGCTTCTTTTTTGAGAGACTTGTGATTGGACCATGCACATCCCTAGTGACATTGGAGAAGGGCGCAAAAGACCTTGTCCTTTTGACTCTGCTTATTCTCTGACTATCCTGTTTTGGCTATTGTTATTGTGATTTTCTGTCTCCCTTTGATCTTGGTTTGTTCTGATGTTCCTTTTATTTATAGTCCTATTTTTCCGGCCATTCCAAGGACCGGAATAGGTACTTTCTCTGTCTCTATTCTGGTGGGTTTACGTTCTGCGTGTTGGGTTAGCACGTGACTCAACTGAAACGCCATTAATTACCATACAGGGCCATTGACAATAACATAGCATGCCATTATGAATTTTGCAGCAAATATGCACACAAATAATTTTTTTCATGGTAGGCTGATATGTCATATCCCAGAAATACATGGTTCATCAATTACATTCCCAGTTTGATACAAAAGTCTTTTTCTTGTAAGTAATATCAGAGAATTGTTAGCTACAATATCTGAACAGTGCATAAAGTCAATTGTCAAAATTCATAAGTTGAGTAGCTGTTTGCATTGACTGAGGAAACAAATACCGTTGTTCTAAATAGGTAATAAAATTAGTAAAATAAATCATGAAAATATAAATATGTATTTGCCAGAAATCACATAGAATAAACTTTGGGCTCTCGCTGAACTGAAAACTGTTGAGAATTAATATTTATCAAAACATTGCATTTCCTTTATTAACGATATTCCATTCCCAGTTAAGTGAACAAATTCTTCTATTATTCTTAATTAATATTCTTCCACTTGCAGATGTATTGCTGGTCCCAATTGTACTACAATGTCCACTTGTCAGCCCTCCTTCAGGATCTTATAATTGCCTCCACCATCCCAAGGAACCCACTGTACTGAAATAATAAACTCCTATACATTCAATAACCACAGATAGAATATGTTGCTCAATTATAAAATAAAAACAAATTTGCAGCACTTTACATTAGGAAGACTAACAGACGTATTTGCAACACGTTGAGTTGGACGCACATGAACAAAGGGGTTGAGGGCCCTGCTCAAACAAGCTTACATTCTTGAGGGAGTGGGTTAGAGTGACACAAGAGGTAATGGCAGGATGTACTTAATGTATGGGAAAAGTAGGTTTCTAGAATAGTTTACAGTGAAGGGTTAGTGTTTTGGATGACACAATTGAAGAAGAGGAAGCATCGTGTGTTACCAAGGTGCAATTAACTGTTTAGTTGACATGCTTTTCTAAAGAAATTCGTTTTTAATTCCCTGGTTCTTGGTCAAACTGTTTCTTATGGTGGCCTCACAATCCTGTGGCTCAGGTTTCCCCTGCACAAATTCAAGGAACATTGTAGCTACATTTACACACAGTCATGTATCCGTCAGCCTTCCATAGCCCACATCGTGGAAGGTTCTAAACCAAAACGTAACCTAATTTTTTTTAGAAAACTCAAAAGAGAATAAAAACGTCAAAGCACGAATACCTACATTGGAATAAAGTCCTGTTTATTTCAACGTTATGTCTGTTACTCTATGATATGATATATATCAAAGGAATCGCTTTTGTGTAGAATATGGCATCATTCCAATATAAGCATTTAAGATTTAAATATTTGCTCTCTCTAATCTCTTCTAGAACAGAGGTTATGGGGGAAACCTGTATTTTCAAAGAGCATTTTGTGCTCTGATCCATATATGTTTTCATTATAGGTCTGTAAATCATTAATTCACGTACCACTCTCATCAGTCAGAAATAGTTGAGAGCAGGAACATCAATAAAAAAATTATATATATATATATATATATATATATATATATATATATATATATATATATATATATATATATATATGACTACTCCCAGGTTGTCTGCTTCCTGTCACTATTATCAATCACAAGTTATTATTATAGACTGAAAACACAAATGGAGATATGCCCTGGCCAGAATTCTCCTCCTTGTTGTATGTTGACGACTGCAGTTTATACCAAACAAGACAAATATTCTATGCAAATTGAAGGGTATTCTGAAAATACTCTTTAACAGAAACTCCCTCAGTAGTTCTTAAAACCTGTCAAATGTGCCAGGGGTCGAGGTTTACCCAACTCCAACAATGAAGACATCGACAAAGGCCTGAAATATTTGTGGTTTTTGAGACCTGGTCTGTGATTTTTGCTATAAGGTTAAACAAATTTGACACAATCCTTCCGGTTGTGCCAGCAGTATTGTCTACAGTGTCAAGTGGTAAGAAGGGAGAAGGGGTTTGTTTTGAAGAGTAGAAATTTCTTGTGTAATTTTCCTTTCCTTGCCCCAAGTCACATTGCTCTCATTGATACAAAAAGTTGTCGATCCAACACATCATGATTAATGTTTCATACCTGAGCTTCTCGTTCTAAAAGTGAAAACATTTCAGGAACACTTTTTTACACATTTTTTATTTTGTATTTTCATAATAGTCTCACTTGCTACTGGTGGTCATTGTGCAGAATATCTAAATAAACTCATAATACGCACAGTGTACTTAAAGGACCACTATAGGCACTCAGACCACTTCAGCTCAATGAAATGGTCTGGGTGCCAGGTCCCTCTAGGGTTAACCCTGCCTGCTGTAAACATAGCAGTTTCAGAGAAACTGCTATGTTTACATTAGGGTTAATCCAGCCTCTAGTGGCTGTCTAGAGGTGCGTCCGCGCCATAGGAAAGCATTGAGAATGCTTTCCTATGGACTGACTGCACGCGTGGCTCTGGCCGCGTATGCGCATTCAGCCGATGACGGCCAAAGGAGGAGGAGAGTCCCCAACGTGGAGGGAGTCCAGTGCTGGAGAAAGGTAAGTGTTTAACCCCTTCCTCCAACTTCAGCCCGGCAGGAGGGGGACCCTCAGGGTGGGGGCACCCTCAGGGCACTATAGTGCCAGGAAAACGAGTTTGTTTTCCAGTCACTATAGTGGTCCTTTAACAAATATTTAATTAACCAGACATATACATAAAAATATATTTTTTTCACATCAATCTACACTGAGTACTTGATTGTTACCGGTACACTACCCAAATTTAAAGTATAGTTAAGAAATAGAAAGACAGAAAGTACGTATTATCGAACCATAGAATGGCCGGGGATAACGTCCAGAAAGAGAAAAAACATAAACTTTATACTAGCCAAGATCCAGACACTAGAAATAAGAGAATTACGGTAGAACTAGCCAGGTCAGGATTACAGATGTCGAGAGGGTCAATAAACAAGCCAAAATCAAACAACCATAAAATCAGAGAATATATAATGCACTATCCGAGGTACCAAGAGGAAACCACGACAGTGCAAGGACTATTGGGTAGAAAACTTTATTTAAACATTGAGGTGGACACTGATTGGTCCCCTTTGCAACCCCAAAAAGCGTGGGACTGGGGTCGAGTGATAATGAACCATAAATTATGCTAGGCATCATATTAGTATAAATATAGGGGTACCGTGAGAGTCCCATGTCCTGCAAATAACATTCGCCTCTTTTTCTTGCATTCGGCACCTTCGGGGAGTCTGAATGCTTTAACGGATATCCCATTAAGTTCCGTATGAACTAGATCCTGGGTGCTAAAATGTTAACAGCAATAGATTGGCTTGAGAAAGGCTCTAACTGGGGCCAAAAGTTACCTCTGTTTCAATACAAATCTGCCTATGGATTTAACCCTTGAGTGCTCAGACAACTTTCAATTCTAAGCACTTAAAGTTTTGTTGATAACTTGCAGATATTTTAAGTAATACTTGGTATCACTTTACATGTTTTAACATCGGGAAACATTGGCATATGTTGCATTAAGTACTATTTTCTATACACATAATCAAATCACAGGGCTTTTTCGACATTCATAATCTGCTACAGAGAGTAAAGTGCATTTAGCAGTGTGATACTTTGTCTAATCTATATACCGAAGCCTTGATGCTGCAGTTTTCTTATTGGCTAATTGCCCTTCCATAAGAATGCATGTACTATAGCGCTGTATAACCCTGGCTAGTCTCCATAGCAACATACGTCATGTGTCTGTTGGTTGATATCGGATAACTCAGCAGGATTAAATAACTAAAGACATTTTGTTTAAATGTATGGAGTTTACATTTCATAGTGATGAAAACATTTCTTGAGTATATTAAAAATCCAAAGTATGTGGATGGACAAGATAATGAAAACATCATGTAAAAACGAGTTTAAAGTCGAACTAAGGCATTGTACATGCAAATCTGTGTTCCTAACAAATAAGTGTCCCTGTCCCTAGTTATGTAGGTCTATTCCTCTTCCCCCGTGTGTCCCCAAAAAGTTATAAAATAGAGGTTATTACTAACCTTTTTCCAGCACCGAGGCTCCCTAGGCTTTGCTTACCTTACCTCCTCCAACTACAACGTCACGGAGGAGGTGTGATCCGACTCCTATACTCATGCGTGTGCTTGTCAAACGCCGCACTCGCTTCCAAGGTTCTCCGTAGGAAAGAGCAGAATCAATGCTTTCCTATGGGTGCTTCCACATCACATGCTCGGGTATTACTCTCTTTCCAGCAAGAGCGCCTCTAGTGGCTGTCAATATAACAGCCACTGGAGGTGTGTTAAACCCTTCAAAGTAAACATTGCGGTTTCACTGTCATATTTTTACTTGAATCCAAAGTGGTTTTTTTTTCTCTGTATTTTCAGGTTTCTATGAAAAGGAAGAAAAGTCTGAGACATTCAATCTGTCTGATTGAAACACACAATGTACACAAGTCATCTCTTGTACAAACATATATCTCCTACTAGAAATTATGGAGAAATACACTGTGGTTAAAATGTGATCTGATGAAATTACTACATTAATGACTGCACACAAATTAGGAAATGTGTGATTTCCCCCACTCCCCACCCCTGTATTTTGCCATTATCTGATGGGAAACATATTCAACCTTGGCTCAATCTGACTTAAATTTAAAAAAATTTTAGCCAATGGTTGGACATTCCTACACAGATTTATCTGATTTATGCAATCTGTGTTGCTGCGAAAAATATATTGCACATTACATACAATCTTTCTGCAATTCACTGATGGCAAATGCAAAGTGAAATAGGAGAGACAAGTGGGGAAAGTAATCCGAAAAACATATTAGAGATTATAAATACTAATAAGGTCTTTTAAAGCGGCACTGTCACTCTCCCCAATTTTTATTTTTTTTTAGGCTAAACTTGACAAAAGGCGGTGTGAAAGAGCTCATTGTACCCCGGCTGGGTACCTCTGCCTAGGATGGCTTCCTAGCTGGAACAGTGGACAAGCCACGGTCGCCGTGTCTTGACTGGGGCCCTGGACCCGCTTCTTCCTGGAGCTGAATGGGGAATTCGCTCTAGACACCCCCAGGCACTGGACGATACTAAGTCCTGTGAGCTCTAGTCCTTACAAGGACTTTCCCCGTTGAATCCCCTGCAGGCTGGAACAGCAGACTCAGGGGTATAATCTTCCTTCCCTCCAATAACAGGGCGACACACAGTTTTGGAGTGCAAGCTGGAATTGATTTTAATTGTGACACACTTGGCCTTTTATGCAAGTCCCCAAGCAAGGGGTATGCCCACATGGACCTTGTTGGGGACAGGGACACAAACTTCCAAACCAATAACAACATATTTACAATGTAAGGCACTCCCACACATAGCACACAATCCCTCCCCTCTGCCTGGGAGATAATTGGATCAGATACAGCATTAACCCAATTATCTCCAGGCAGAAAAACCACACATTTCAAAAAACTCCCCAAAAGTACCCCAAAACACATATAACACAGATATCCCCACAAATGTCACATCCCCTGATAGCCCTGATCTGGGTGACTAACATATCCAAAAAGCATCCAGATCAGTTCAGGGGTTCAGAAATTCCATGGAATTAGTTTATTTGACCAACCGCAGGCATTGTTCCATGCCCAAAACAGTTCCAGAAAATCAGGGCTTGCGGTCGGTCTAGTTCGGTAGTTTGAAAATGAACAAACTACCGAACAGAGTCAATAGTCTTACCCTGGAGCTTGTTTTCTTCATCCAGACGAATGATCCCACTGAACAGTGCCATTCTAAGTTGTATAGAAACAAACCCAGGTGATGATGGAAGTCCAGCGTTATTCCGGAGTTTCTGTATCTGATTTTAGTTCCAGGAAATTCATGCCCAAACATCGCTGCCTGTGTTCATGTGAACAAGATGGCCGCCACCTCATGGTTGTCAAATTGCATCTAGCATGGTTGGTGGAATTGCGGCCACCTAGACAAACGATTAGAACACTGCGGTGAGAAATGTTCCAAGTTGTTAATAGGTGTTAACAAGCTCCAGAATGGTCTCTGGTTCGTGCGGTTGTTCGGTACTTCGAAGTGCCACTTCTAAAGTTCGAAGTGTGGCCATACAAGTCCAGGCACACACAGAGACTTTAACATTATATTTCACCAGGTCCATAGTCTGTGGGCAGGAAACTGGCAAAAGGGGAGTTTGTCACAGCGGGATCGTCCACAAACTCTCATGCATGTGCGAGATCCTATACATACTCTTGTGCATGCACAAGGGTACAGCAATGACATCAGCACATGGCAGCTGAAGCCCTAGGAGCAGAAGAGGATCAGATGAAAGAGGATGACGGTACCCGCAAGGAACAGGTTTGGGCAATTAAAACTTACCTTTGCTGACCGCCAGACCTCCAGTGATGTTACCATCGGGGGTCTTTGTAAATTATGCAAAGACTCCAGACAGTGACAGTGCCATTTTAAGGGCACCCTAAAGTTATGATACTTTGACATTGCACCCTGACTGCAGCCTCTCAATACTCTATGCACTTTTTAACCAGCAAATATAATTGACTTTGTTCCTATTGGTTAAAAAATATAACAGCTAATGAAACAAGTCACCAATTTCTGGAAGAAAATGCTATGACTACAAAAAGACAAATAGTACAAAAATATATATTTAGCCCCAAAAAATCATCTGCTTTATGTATACTTTGAAATAATTACTATTTCCTTTTATGAAATAATCACCTTCATGAGAAAGTATATAAGATAGTTTATAAGATAATATTTCTGCTTTTTTTTCCCCCAGCGATTCTTTTATGGGGCATCCAGACATTAATGTTACCAAGCTTTCTTTGTTAGATGACGAATGTATCCAAAGATTAAAGAGTGATTATCAATCTGAGCTTCAGGTAAGAATGGATGTCTGAGTTATATGATCTGTAAATAAATGCAGAAATAAATAATTCCACAATGTAAAAAAAAAAAAGAAATGTAGGTCAAATGATCTTTCGATTTTGTTCCCTATATGGAATGATCATTTTAACCCAAATGCCAGAACCAAGTTGGGACAGACTTTGGGAGTTATTCACTAAACCAAAAATTGCAGTGATTTAAAATTGGGATTTTAATTGAAGGTAAAATATGGACCTTAGGGAATATCTTTTGAGATCATTCAGTGGATAGTGGTCCAGCATAGCATCTCAAAATTACAGATTCAAATCCAGGCGAGATCAATGAAATGAGTACCATTAAGTTGGGTAACTTCTAGTACCCATGACGGACTCAGAAACCAGCAATAAGCTTAATGTACCTTTCCTGGTTGTACGTTTTCATATTATTAAAATGATCCTGATGGTAATAAAAGGTAAAAGGCTAATCAAAAGGTAAAAAATTGCCAGCAGTGTCCCATTAGAATTTTAGTAAAATTATATTTTCCAGTGAAAGTTTTTCATGTGATAACGTGATTCTCTATAGTAATCGCAGAGGGATCAAATTTTTAAAAAAAACATTTACTGATAAAAAACGGTTTTCAAAACTTTACAGGAAACCTTAAAAATGTATTTAAACAACATTGTCAAAGAAGAGACAAAACAGTGGAATGAAAACGATGAACCCATTCAACAAATGCTACAAAACACGTCCTATTGTCATATTTATATCGACATAGAAGAGGCAAGTAGAACGAAACTTTTTTTTCTTAAAAGTACACTCCAAACACCTAGAGCACTTTAGCTGTGACAAGAAGTACATATTTCAGTAGAGATTTTTGAGAAATAGATTTTTATTGATAGAGCAAGTATGGAAAAGACAGATTTTCCTACGCAGTGGAAAAGTAACTTTTAAAACAGAGTAATCCAATAATAATAGGCAGTGATAACATATTTCAATAGAGATTTGGACTTTTATAAAGCAACCTTGTTACACCCCCCTCACTGTCAATCAAACAACAAGTCCTGTTACTTCCTGGTTGTATAGCTCGGTGGAGATAAACTCAAGAGGCAGCAGTTGGCACCTGCCTTGCATAGACTTCTCATTGAGCTGCATCTTATCGAAAAATTGCAGACCTTTGAGTGTAGCACAACACAATCGGGGCAAAAAAATAATATACACTAGTTGAAATACCCCATATTGTGACTTGAAAATATTGGTTAAGATTACAGAAAAAGTAAATGATTGTATATTGTAACGGATCACCTGGCACCCCGACTGGGTACCTCCGTTAAAGGATGCTCCTAGCGCTTCCTGAGGACTCCAAGCACTGCAGCAGACACCACAACCACTGAACCGGAGAAGCATATGAATCTTCTCAAGCATATGAATGCTGTAGACAGTTGAATAGGAACCATACGAATAGGTTTACTCTCCTAGCAGTCAAACTGGAACAGCATACAATAAATCCTTCCCCCAATAATGAGACGACACTTCACTTTGAGGGTTAAAACAGGAACTCCCTGTACTGTCACATACAGTCTCTTTTATTCCCAATCCACAAACATAGTACAGCCCACAGGGCGTTACAAAACAACCAATCAATCTGTACAATACACCCAGACACTCCCACACAAAATCCTCCCCTCTGCATGTGATATGATTACTGAACACAATGGGTAATCTCATTATCACCGGCAGAGGAATACAGTTTTTACACAATATTTATAACTTCTAAAATATACATGTCACAAACATAAAACATACATTTTCATAATCAATCCATTCAGGGGAACAACATATTAAAAAATGGCACGAATCAGACCAGGGGTTCAAAAGTTAAGGGAAAGTCCTTTGTGACTAAATGAAGCATGGCTTTCCGGCCCAAACCAGTTTCAGAGTCTTCTATCCTGGAGATAAGTGAGAAGTAATTAAATTATCTCCCAGGACAGACACAAGACTCCATTATGCACATGGTGAGCACAAAGCATTAAAATATTATAAAATACACAGTCACATTTTATACATAAAACACAGACATGTCACATATCCCCAGATAGCTGGGATCTGAGCGCACAAAACTACAGAAGAGCGCTCAGATCCTATTCACACAGTTCAATTGCCATGGAGCCGAAGTCTTTAACTACACGAATGGGCTCCATGGCATAGCTATCCGGGTTAACACATTCACATAAAGTCTGGTCCATAGTCCAAAGGCAAGCGGCGGACAAGCAGCCCCCTCCAAGGACACGTGGCGAGGCCGGTTTCGCCACATATATAAATATTTTTACAGTAATACAATAGATTGTAATAAAAATTAATAAATATATCTGTTTTTCTTTTTTTATAGTGTGTCATATATATTAGTATTTTTCTTTTTTGGTAGAAATGTCCTCGGGATAGAAAGGAAACATAGCAATGGCTTAATTGCATTTCCATGATTGTTACTCCGATATCACAGTTATATGATAATAGCAGATAAGCTGCTACTCAAGGTCCTGTTCATTGGCAATATAAAGTCTATGAATTTAAAATGTAATATAAAAGGTGTAACCCCGAAACTGCTGAACTGTGAAGTTGTAGGCTTATAGAAGTGCAAAAAGAAGATAAATTAAATTATACGGTATATTAAAAACTCTTGTGATATGAAGACTATTACAGGATACCTTTAAACAGGAGAGGGCTAGCAGGGTGTCAAGGGGGAGAGGAAGATGCCCCCAGACCCACAAGTGCACGTAGTATTGTGATCTAATGTGTGGGCCTGGCTATCACAAACTATGAAGGCATATGATGACTGCCCATAGTGTTGAAAGCAATTGGCTGGATAAATGAAAATCTTAAGTCAAAATATTTTTTTTACATTAGCTACTTATACTATACATTTATTTGAAATTTCCCTTGGCCCTTCTCCACTATTCCCAGTTTAATACATTGAATTACTCCGCTGTGAGTTGTTTTGATTTGACAAAAGTAGAACATTTTGTTACTGCATTGAATCAATTTCTTTTATTTGCTACACGATAGGGAGGTTATTGTATCCGTTGTATATTCGTATAACTCAAATATTCTTATCTTCTATAAAAACAAATTAAATTGCAGACTGATTTTATCATATATATTTTAACGTTGTTAAAAAAACTCCCTAAAACTTTATAATGGGGGAAGGATGGTGAGTTGGTACGGTCACAAAAAAATTTCATTTGGCCATACGTGTATCCAGACCAAAAATGATCCGTTCTCTCCTGCCTTCAAAACAGAACATCACTTGTTAATGACGTGCAAAATATTGCATATATGTATGCAATATATGTTTATTGCACTATATTAAATCAATGTATTAGTATTAAATAACAAATGTGCGTTTTCATTTCCAGATGACGGGGAATCATATAAGAGAGTCAGCAAAACTTTCAAAAGACTTAGAAACACCAACATTTCATGTTTGTATGGGGGAGCTATCCACCTTTACTGAAAGGTCTGTGCAATTTTAAACATTCTAACCTTTCCCGAGTAAAATGTTTCAATCACTGACATAGACTATTTTAATATTAAAAAAAAAAAACCGTGTGTGTCACATATTTAAGTTCTAGTTTAAAAGACTACATGTAGAGTGCAGTAGTTTATATTATAACATTTATTTAATAATTTGCAGGGTTTAAATGCATCTAGTGACTGTAGCTGTCGCAGGGATAGCTGAGAAATATTTGGTTATTTCAATGAGGTGTTCGCATGGAGACAATCTAATTAGTGCAGAGCAGAGTTTTGCCATGCATGCACAATAGCCTCCTATCTAATGGGGAAGCATTGGATTGGCTGAGATCAACAAGATTAATGCTCTCAGCCAAGGAGGTGGGGACAGCCACGTAGAGAGCAGCACAGCGTGGGAGAAAAGGTGATTAAACTAACTTTTTAACCCTCGAGTTAGGGCAGATCCCTAACACTGTAGTGTTCCTTGAACCATGTCCTGACAAAATACAAAAAATGCTAAATTTGATGTAATAAAGTTTATATAAGTATTCAAAGATATAATTTCCTTGATTCTATATTTATCTATTTAAGTAAGTTATCATTATATCGTAATCATATTTACCAACGCAAATAAGTCATAATCTATAAAATAGCAATTTTATAGGAAAAATAATAATAAATTAAATAGACATTTTTGGCACTTGTTGGACTGTTGCCTTTGACATCTTATTTTTATTTCCCCTACAAAGATGCTTTGGTTCACTCAGTATACATATGTATCATTTACATTTTATCCTACGTAGAATGTATTTGTCGTGCTATTTGTATAAAATTAAGAAATCACATGTCCATGAAAAAATGTATTTGTTTTTTAGGCTGGTATCAGAATTTACATCCTTTTTCTCAGGAAGTTTCACTGGCTTGTTTGTTCAATACTTAGTAATCTACGTGAACAGCTTTCTAAAATTAAGGTAAGCAAATGTTAACTTTTGGTCGTAGAAAGTAGATACAACCTAGCTTGTCTGCTGCTGCAGGTTCACACTGAGCCATTGCCCCACTAGACAAGTTAGGTTGAGCATGATTTTTTTTTTTTTATTCACACAGTTTGTTTCCATATTATTGTGTATTCTTCTTAAAGACTCTTACTTAATTGAATACAAGTTGCAGCTACTTCCTCTACAAAGAAACATATGTTTTATACTTGTTATTCTAAAGGAAGTACTTCTAAAAGAGAGAGATTTAGTGAGTTTCCTAATAATATGAGACTATTAGGCGTTACCAAGTATTACAACTTTACTTTATATTTAAAGGGACATTCCAGGTACCAAAACAACTTCATCTATATGGAATTATTATGGTACCAGAAGGCCCCTGGAGGCACTCTAACCTCATTGGGTTAAACCATTCTCGAACGGTTTAACCCCTAAGTTGCCTCCAGCAATGATGTCCACTCACCCTCAGGCGGCATCTGGCTTTTGAATTTCAGATCCAGGAAGTGGGGAGTGCTGCCGGGCAGGGGCGCAGCTGATTGGCTGAGAGCTAATGTTCTCAGCCAATCAGTGACTCACAGTTCACTAAGCTTGCCTGTAAAATGTATGTTTTTGTTCCTAGCCAGTTTAGTGAACGGGGAGTCACTGATTAGCTAAGAGCGTCAGCTGACCGCTCTCAGCCAATCATTGGTGCCCTTGCCTGGCGACACTCCACACTTTCTAAATCTAAACGGGGGAGTGGACATCGCTGCTGGAGGCAACTTTGGGGTTATTCATTTGAGAACAGTATAACGCCTTGAGGTAATAGTGCCTCCGGGGGCTCCTGGCACCATAACAACTTATTTTATATGAAGTTGTTTTGGTGACTGGAGTGTCCCTTTAATATGTGTCAACAATATCTTATTTGAATGTATTCTCTGTGAACTGCAGTGAAATTAAAATAAAACAAATGTGTGAAGTTTAGACCAAAATAGTGGGCGTTGTTTCCAGATAAGAACTATGTCCTGTCCTGTTTAGTGAGTCTTCTTACTTTACCTTCTGTATCTTTGGATGAACTACTATTACCAGCTTGTTTTTGGATATTGTATCAACAAGCATTCATCCGAATATTTACTGAGAACCCGTCCGGGTCTTTATCTATGTTAAAGGATGGTAATATGCGAACTGTTAATTCTCTGAGACTGCATGCCGTCTACGTATATATGTAAGAAAGTAAGAATTCACTATGTCCTACCCATTCTCTGTAGAAAGCTCTGGAGTTAGTACAGCAGCAGCAGGAAAGGACACAATTCCTAACCTTAACTGCAAAGACAGAGTTCGTATCAATCTACAAACGTGTCTTAGAATTTTATGATCACTACTGACCCGTATTATACAAAGACACAAACTAAGAAAGCAGTGAACAATTCTAGGAATTATTGGATTTTCGGATCTCTATTCACTTGTCTAACATCTGAATAGGAGGGTAAATGGTTACCTTGTGGCCCATTGCAACAATCACAACATTTGTCTGAGACTTTTTATATCACTACAATTGGACTGTTCTATATTATTAGCCCCTTTCAGATTTCAGTTATCTGTATATAAGAATCACTGGTGGTATAACCTAGAACAAGGATAGGCAACCTTCGGCACTCCAGATGTTGTGTACTACATCCCCCATAATGCTCTTACACCCATATTGCTGGCAAAGCATCATGGGAGGTGTAGTCCAAAACATCTGGAGTGCTGAAGGTTGCCTATGCCTGACCTACAATATTACCTGTACATTTTAGCTTGCTCTAGACGCAGAGGGGTGCCCAAAAGGTAGATCCCCAGATGTTGTAGAACTACAACTCCCATAATGCTTTGCATGCCTTTTGAATGACAAAGCATCATGGAAGCTGTAGTTTTAAAACATCTGGGGAACTACCTTTTGGGCACCCCTGCTCTAGCTTCAGCTACATGTTTCACTGTTTAAGTTTTCGAATCATTATTTAAGTCACTTTATGATTTAATAATTATCTTTTTTTTTTTTTTTCTCAATAAATGTTTACATTTGAAAGTTCTTTTTTTAGGCAGTTCCTCATTGCTCTTCCCCTTTTATTAGGGGAATACTTACAATAATTTTTAAGTGCTGGATTTTCTTGAAGGTTATTTCCCTTATAGTTGTTGCCAGGGTGGTCGTTTGTAGGTGTCCTATTTTTGGGTGCTGCTTTTGTTTTCTTTTAAGGCAGGGTTGTCAAACATGCGGCCCCCCAGATGTTGCTGAACTACAACTCCCATGATTCTTTCAATGAAACAGATAGCCAGGGAATCATTGGAGTTGTAGTTCAGCAACATCTGGGGGGCCGCATGTTTGACAACCCTGTTTTAAGGTAAAGTAAGGGTATTTTTTTTAAAGAAATCACCAAAACTGACCAAACAGCACCCATAAGGATCTCATAATAATCCACTGGGTATATCATGAAAAGTGCATAATTTTTTTAAAGAAAGGTTAACAACATGTCATAAAAATATGTTCAGACCTTTTAAGTGACAGGAAATCCAAAATCGTCAAACACATGTCAATTAATGCAGATTTTATCTCCCTAAGGGGAGTCAGAGGTTATAAAAAAAAATTAAATGATACAAAAATACAAAAAAGGAAATGCCTGCACCTGCCAGAAAGGGGGGGAGACAAAATAGAACTTACAGTAACTCTGAACGCGTTTCGCGCCTGTCCTGACGCTTTATCAACATCCAAAATTAGCTTGAGTTCAAAATGTTTATTGTAAAAACCTGCTTTCCTACCATTTTTTTCTGATGTCTATAATCTTTAAATACTGATTTTCATATCTATGGAACAGGTATATGTTATACAGGTCGTACAATTTGAAGTCCTATGCTACAAGCCAAGCCTTAATATGTATCCGTCACAGCAAGCCTTAGCACACTCACCCGAGGTGATTGTCTACTCAGCAGGGCTAAATTGTTACTAGCCAAAGACTTGTTAAGTAAAAATGTTCAATCCTGTAATATATATAAAATATACAAAAATGCTATATATCTGTTTAGTAGCATAAAGAAAAGCACATGCAAACTAAATAAAACAAAATTCAAAAATAAGTTTTTGCTCTAGTGCAGGGTACGTCAAACTCTGGCCCTACAACTCCCATGATTCTCTGGCTATCTATTTAATTCAACGAATCATGAGAGTTCTAGGTGAGCAACATCTGGAGAGACAGAGATTGTATAAACCTGCTCTAGAGTAAAAAGAAAAGTTGGCCACTAGATGGCGATAGAATACACTGTTGACTTGTGGCTAGTTTCTTAGCATAATACAAAATGCATAGGGATGTTTATTTTTGATATGTGGTTTAGTTTACCCTGAAAGAGGAATTGAGTCTAAATAGCAGCAATACTAAGAACTGATTGTTTTATAATTCATGTTCCCATGACCTGCTCGAGTGGGTACTACAATTTATAGCGGACTACTGACAGAGCTGAGTTAAGAGCAGTTTATGATCTATGTTACTAGTAAGTAATAGCAAGTTTAGCTAATGGTGTAGGACAGACATAAACAGAATGGGGCTTCATTACTTATGTGTCCACAAAATATACCATAATGACCTACTTAAATCTTGATCAGTGTTGGGGATTTTGCAGATTAAAAAAAATGTTACTGGGATCTGCGTTCCCACTTCCCATTAAACAATACAATGTATTCCTCCGAAAGAACATTGAGGTCTGTATTTACTTCTAAGTAAATACAAAAAATGAACTAGGGGGCAATCCCGGAACATCCATTTCTCAGCAATGGTGCTGCCGTAGAGACCAACATTTATACAAAATACAGGTAACGGAGCATTGTACACATAAAAAACACAGATATAAATTTAAAGGCTACTTAGAATCACCTATCTCAGCAAACACATATGGAGATTCATATGGGATTCGAAATGGCCATATGGTGGAACTGAATCCCCATATTTGTTTGCTGAGATAGGCGATTTTAAGTAGCTGTTGCTTAATCTGTATTTTGCCGTTAACAAATATACCATATTTAAATAGTTTATTTTTATTTTTACAAAACCATGTCCAGTGCTGACATAACATATACTGTGTTAAAATTAACAAAGGCTGCCAATTACAATGGGGCAATACAAAGACCGAGACTGATATTATGGAACTGTCTATCTCCCCACCTTACAGTATGCAAGTCTACTCTATGTTTACTATTGTGGGTCAAAAGTGATCAGTGATATCTAAAAGCACCAGTCTAGATACCAGTCTATAGACAGCTGCCTACACTGCTTAATGGCCAATCTGCCCCTGAGATCTTCAGAGATATGCCACAGTAGGTGTAGGGCTCAAAGGGCTTTTTGGCAAGAATATTGCACCTTCTCTTCAATGTGGCCTCCATGATCACATATGTGTATCCTGCTGATAACACAATGTATATCTAATAATGTGCCGGGAGGTGTACGCTGCTGATGTAACTCTGAAAGGTAAGGCAGGATTACATTGTAGTAAAGCAAGACAGAGATTGCCACATGTGTTAATACATTTAGGGGTCTCCCAGCTGCGATGATCTTTCTACTACACTTGTGTTGTTATACACCTTCCAAATCTTGGGAACATGGACAGGAGGTCCTGGTGGAATATGGCTCTGTTCAGTTTAACGTACTCTTACCACCTATTGATCTTCTATACCGAACTAGTTTCGTCACAGTATTGTATGCAGTACTTTTCTATTATACTCATACACTTCTCCCAGAGTCAGATGAACAGTTACCAAAATTTATCCAGACAAAATTCTAAAAAAATGTTCCAAACAGGACCACCAAAATTCTGCATGTAATTTATAAAAAAAATAATAATAAGGTTATAGGACAGAGGTGTTTAGAATTAGAGTTGGGAGTAGGATCATGTGGAACGAATAGCTAGTGTCTGTTTAAGTTGATGGGTGTTGATGGCCGACTAACTATAACCACTCCATCTGTAAGCATCCCACTATAAACCTTTAGGAGGTGGGCTTAGAGTGCCTTTTTTGTCAAACCATTTAAAATGCTTTGATAAACAATGTAGGGGCTACTACAATAAGCTGTAGGGAGCAAGAGTATCCTTTAACACAGAATGTTTGGTTTCCAGTTAACTACAGGGAGTGCAGAATTATTAGGCAAATGAGTATTTTGACCACATCATCCTCTTTATGCATGTTGTCTTACTCCAAGCTGTATAGGCTCGAAAGCCTACTACCAATTAAGCATATTAGGTGATGTGCATCTCTGTAATGAGAAGGGGTGTGGTCTAATGACATCAACACCCTATATCAGGTGTGCATAATTATTAGGCAACTTCCTTTCCTTTGGCAAAATGGGTCAAAAGAAGGACTTGACAGGCTCAGAAAAGTCAAAAATAGTGAGATATCTTGCAGAGGGATGCAGCACTCTTAAAATTGCAAAGCTTCTGAAGCGTGATCATCGAACAATCAAGCGTTTCATTCAAAATAGTCAACAGGGTCGCAAGAAGCGTGTGGAAAAACCAAGGCGCAAAATAACTGCCCATGAACTGAGAAAAGTCAAGCGTGCAGCTGCCACGATGCCACTTGCCACCAGTTTGGCCATATTTCAGAGCTGCAACATCACTGGAGTGCCCAAAAGCACAAGGTGTGCAATACTCAGAGACATGGCCAAGGTAAGAAAGGCTGAAAGAGGACCACCACTGAACAAGACACACAAGCTGAAACGTCAAGACTGGGCCAAGAAATATCTCAAGACTGATTTTTCTAAGGTTTTATGGACTGATGAAATGAGAGTGAGTCTTGATGGGCCAGATGGATGGGCCCGTGGCTGGATTGGTAAAGGGCAGAGAGCTCCAGTCCGACTCAGACGCCAGCAAGGTGGAGGTGGAGTACTGGTTTGGGCTGGTATCATCAAAGATGAGCTTGTGGGGCCTTTTCGGGTTGAGGATGGAGTCAAGCTCAACTCCCAGTCCTACTGCCAGTTCCTGGAAGACACCTTCTTCAAGCAGTGGTACAGGAAGAAGTCTGCATCCTTCAAGAAAAACATGATTTTCATGCAGGACAATGCTCCATCACACGCGTCCAAGTACTCCACAGCGTGGCTGGCAAGAAAGGGTATAAAAGAAGAAAATCTAATGACATGGCCTCCTTGTTCACCTGATCTGAACCCCATTGAGAACCTGTGGTCCATCATCAAATGTGAGATTTACAAGGAGGGAAAACAGTACACCTCTCTGAACAGTGTCTGGGAGGCTGTGGTTGCTGCTGCACGCAATGTTGATGGTGAACAGATCAAAACACTGACAGAATCCATGGATGGCAGGCTTTTGAGTGTCCTTGCAAAGAAAGGTGGCTATATTGGTCACTGATTTGTTTTTGTTTTGTTTTTGAATGTCAGAAATGTATATTTGTGAATGTTGAGATGTTATATTGGTTTCACTGGTAATAATAAATAATTGAAATGGGTATATATTTGTTTTTTGTTAAGTTGCCTAATAATTATGCACAGTAATAGTCACCTGCACACACAGATATCCCCCTAACATAGCTAAAACTAAAAACAAACTAAAAACTACTTCCAAAAATATTCAGCTTTGATATTAATGAGTTTTTTGGGTTCATTGAGAACATGGTTGTTGTTCAATAATACAATTAATCCTCAAAAATACAACTTGCCTAATAATTCTGCACTCCCTGTATATCATTTCCTTCTGAAAATTCTTGTTTATCATTTTACATTCACTTGGCATTTGAACTGTTAATTGCTAATTGATCGCAAATATCCAAAGAAAGCTATATATTTAGTGTTATATATGTACTGTTCCAATAGCCATCCTATGATTTATTTAACTCCTAGACGCACTTCACATTGACAGTAATCATTGTCATGGAATATATTTCACGGTGGATTTATAAAATATGCAATGCCAACTGTGAGTTAGGTGACCCAACAGTTGACTTGTGTTAGGGGATCTAGCTGTATACCAATAAATCCACTCCCTGAATAAAGCAGAATTGAGAACTACTTTCTTCTACAAAAGCAGAAGGATTTCCCCACTTTCATCATATTGTCTTTAAATTCCACATGACTTATTTCTTAAATGCATGCTAAAATTACAATAAAAGAAACATCTATAGCTTTCGTTTTGATAAAGTGTGGGATGAACGGAGCGGAGCTTTATCACTGGTTTTAGGGATGTGTGGGGATTGAAACATGCAGGAGACGAGTCAAAAACGATACAACGAGATTAACGGGTGAATCTTTTCACATTTCTCCAATATTGGCAACATTGGGGGTAACGATGGGGGAATCGAGCCAAGTTTCCAAATTAGCCCATTTGATCTTGGACACTGAACGGAAAAGCATATTATATCACTGGATTAGCCAAGCCACCAATATCTTTACTAAAAAGAAAATATCATTTCTATTAAATATGGATTGGTTGGAAGGTTGGTATTTCCCTTCTGGCCACATTATTTATGTCAACTCACTAGACCGTTCCACACAGTCCAAAATACAATCCACTTTTTAATTCACAGATTGGTACTTAAAGTGAAACCATAGCGCCAGAAAGACAAACTAATTTTCCTAGCACTACTGCTCTCCTCTACGTCAAGGGCCACCCCCCTCCCCACACTTACCTAGATCCAGCGTTGACGTCCCTCAGTGCTAGATTGGGTCTGCCTTCTCTCCTCCGCCGCTGACATCAGCCACCGAGGGAGACCTAATGTTCATGCGCGGCAATGGCCCCATATTATTCAATGCTTTCCTATGGAGTGATGCTGGACGTCCCCATGCATAGTGTGAGGACTTCCATAATCAGTTAGGTGACCAAAAGTCGCCTAACAGCCCAGAAGTCCCTCTAGTGGCTGTCTGTTGGACAGCCATTAGAGGTGGAGTTAACCCTAGCAGGTAATTATTGCAGTTTCTTAAAAAGTGCCATAATTACCTACTCAGGGTTAAGGGACCTGGGACAGTGCACCCATACAACTTTAATGAGCTGAAGTGGTCTGGGTATCTATAGTGTCCCTTTAATCAGGGTTATATTGGGCCAACCCCCCATTGTAAAATAACACAATACTTTTCATGCTGGATTTGTTCCCCCCATGTTGCATCATATAGTATACCGAGGCAGCAGACCTCATTTATCGTGCTGATTTACTCAGTCAGTTAGTTTTTGATTGTATGTTATATTGGTCGTTAATTCTTTTTTTTCGTCATACAAAATATTTAAACCAAGTCATCAGCTTGCCACTTTCAATTTACTACCTGTGAATACCTAGCTTATTTTTTCTTTTTGCCTCATGACAATAAAAGGGTTCAAAACAAAAAGAGAGAAACTTTCTCCGAAGCCGTACTTGGGTTTTTCCCAGTAAGAGAATATTTCGATTCCCAAATGCTGGCATTTTTTTTACTTTACTGGAAGCACTTTCTTTGGACAGGTTCAAATTCCTTAGCGCATGCTGAGAGCAACAAAGAGCTATAACTTTTGTTATGTTAGCCACACGTGGGGGGAGCGTTTAAATCTTTATATTTTATCGCTTGGTAAGCTGAGCGTGTCTGGGCTAAAATTCAGGGAATGATCTATGGGTCTGAAACAAGGGAGCTGGCTCTTACAAGCTCAATAGCAGATTATTGGACTTGGCTTGCTTAAAGGAACACTCCAAGCGACATCACCACTTCAGCCCGCTGTAGTGATTATGGTACCAGGAGTGCCCTGGGAGCCTCCCAAAGTAGTCAAACCATTTAAGAACACTTTGTCAACTTACAGAGCAGGGAGGTGCTCATTGAAGCCCTGAAACCCTAGGTAAGTTGTAAAAAAAATTCTTAAAGGACCACTATAGGCACCCAGACCACTTCAGCTCAATGATGTGGTCTGGGTGCCAGGTCCCCCAGGTTTGAACCCTGCAGCTGTAAAAATAGCAGTTTCAGAGAAACACAGAGGGTTAATCCAGCCTCTAGTGGCAGTTTCAGAGAAACACAGAGGGTTAATCCAGCCTCTAGTGGCTGTCTTACTGATTGTCACTGTGAAAATCACAGTGAGAAGACACTGACGTCCATAGGAAAGCATTGAGTAATGCTTTCCTATGGGCGGTTTGAATACGCGCGGCTCTTGCTGGAGAAAGGTAAGTGTTTTAACCCCTTCAGCCCAGCGGGAGGGGGGCCATAATGGTGGGGGGATCTAAGGACTACATAGTGCCAGGAAAACAAGTTTGTTTTCCTGGCACTATAGTGGTCCTTTAAGTAGTTTGATGACTTTCTCTAAGGGAGGTGTAGTGGTTATCGTGTGTGGAGAGTTTTTTTTTTTTTTAGCAACAAATGGTTACACAATGTTTGAAAGGGAATTTCTTGTTGGCTGGTTGTTCTGCTTTTGAGCCTTAAATTGTCTTGTCTTGTTTGTATACACCACATCTGTCTGACATTTCATGGCAGGAACAGATTAAAGGAGAGTTGTTCAGATTTCCTGGGAAGTTTTTCGACCCCATTGCCATGAAACTAACTGTAAGCCGTATCCTTTGTTTAAAAAAATAAAAGATTGTTAGCACACATTTCCCATGTAAAATTATATCCTGTGTCGTTTCCTCTACTATGTCATCAAAATACTTATTTCCGCTACTCACCTGGCTCATCTGGATAAGTATAAAGGGACAATCAGCACCAAAATCACTTTGTCTTAATGAAGTGATTTGGGGATATAACAGTCTATATCCTCAATTCAGAGTCACACACAGAAATAGTGAAACCGTAAAATAAATAAAGGCAGCGTTACAAGACTCAGTGGTGCATAACAAATGCTACATACCATTTTATTTAAAGGTCCAGGAGTAACAACAGATGTATTGGGTTGCCCATTTATCAATGACAAATGTACAGGTAATAAGGCAGTATTGGATCAACCGCAAAAACAGACGTGAGAAATCTGAACGTGATGAATGCAAGTCTTTTTTCAGCCTATGTAACTAGGTGTACTGCTCATTGACCCATTTCACAACATCGCCCAGACACCAGGTATTACCAATGTTTTCTCCTCCAATGAGAGAGGGATATTAATATTTCTTAAACCGAAGTATATTTGAGGATATTTCTGTGTAAATAACCAGCTTTAAATTTTTTCTACTCCGATAGACCACACCGGGGTTCTAGAACTTACACTTTATACCTCTACGTGTCTCTTGATTACAAATCAGAAAACATGTTGTGGACACCTTCAGGAGAAATAAGGTCTTATTTACAAATAAAACATTTATCTCTTTAGGAACAACCCAAATCAGTCCGACGCAGAGCCGTGCACACAGGCAGTAACAAGCATCGATAATGCCAATGATACCTTAAAAAAGCATTTCTTCAAAGTTTTCAGTTCGTACACACTGGTAAGTAGTTATGGTTTCCGCAACATTATTGTCCTCCCCTTCCTAGATAATAATCATGTGGATTTTAAAATTTTCAGGAGTTCTGTAAACCATTACTTCCCAGAGAATAGTGGAAATACAGTATCACTTAATACTATTAGCGTAAGTCTCTATGCGGCCCTTAGGCATCGCTTGAATTAATTGCACCGCTGCTGGTTCTGCTATACATTATTTGTTACATTTCATGGCTGCGCAAAGACGGCTAACTATGCTCAGATGGACACCGCAATGAGGAAGATAGAGCAGGATGAGAGAGCGACTATTTGGAAATAATATAGAAATATAGATTAAATTATGTAACAATGGGTAACTTTTATGTTTTCAAAAGAACACATTTAAATTTATTTTCAATATGTAAACATATGCTTACTGACAATTATGTATTTATGACGACCATAGGTCAATTGGAGCGTAGACAATTTCCATGGTTGAAGCCAGTAGGTTTGTATTATATACATATATTATGTAATATGTCTGTCTGTCTGGCTAAACGCTAGTTGAGTGATAATATTCCCAAGCAGGGGGATTGAAAAGATGTCATTTACAATAACCTAGTCATCATGTTCTGTTCCCAGTAGATTGCTTTCCTGTTATAATATATAAATTTTAACAGGAAACTGACTCATTATATTTAGTGCTTTCACATACATGAATGAGGCCAGAAATTTTAACGACCCAGTGATTGCCATTGTATAGTGTCACCTGTGCCTCATCGTCTTCAAATTAAAGGGACACTATAGTCACCAAAGCAACTTTAGCTTAATGAAGCAGTTTTGGTGTATGGTTTAAGTGATCCTGCTGTCTCATTGCTCAATTCCCTGCCATTTAGGAGTTAAATCACTTTGTTTATAGAGCCCTAGTCACACCTCCCTGCATGTGAGGGGACACAGCCTTCCTAAACACTTCCTGTAAAGAGTCATCTAATGTTTACACTTCCTTTATTGCAAATTCTGTTTAATTTAGAATGTATTATCTCCTGCTATGTTAATAGCTTGCTAGACCTTGCAGGAGCCTCGTGTATATAATTAAAGTTCAATTTACAGAGCAGGAATTAAAAACTTTTAAGGTAAGTTACATCTGATTTAAAATGAAGCCATTTTGTTTTCATGCAGGCTGTGTCAGTCACAGTCAGGGGAGGTGTGATTAGGGCTGCATAAACAGAAACAAAAATAATTTAACTCCTGAAAGGCAGTAAATTGAGCAGTGAAACTTCAAAGCCATGTTCTATACACCAAAACTACTTTATTATGCTAAAGTTGTTTTGGTGACGATAGTGTCCCTTTAAGCAATACGTTTTTATAATACATTTTATTGTATTTAGTGTGTGCACATTTTGTTCAGACTTTCACTTAAACATTCAATACGTATCTTTCTTTTGTATTTCTTTTCCAGCCGTATTTTAAAAAGCTCATCACAAAAAAATGGCTTTCACAACGTACAGATTTCAATGCAATCATTAAATCTACTAAGGAACAATGCCAGTACCTAAAATATCTAATCGCACCTCTTGACAAGGTATGTTATGTGGACATTATCAGTAACCAGTCAAAGTTAAGTGCGGGAATGTCTGCAACCATTTGGAATCCTCGTAGCCTCACACAGCCTGACAGTATTTATAGTACATGAAAACAGCCTTTTACAAATGAGTATTTTCTGCCCCTAACCAGATTTCAAACTAAATTGTAAATCAGTGGTAGAATAGATTCATTAACACGTACCTAAATAAATCAACGTTTAAAAGGTAAAAAAACAGAATTACAAATAGATTTTCTAGTTACTGTATACTCCCCCATTCACTGAAATTCTTTCGGGAATTAGTGTCTTTATTAGTGAAAAAATAGTATTTTCTTTTTATATCTGATGAAATACTCCAGAAGACAAAAAAATTAGGCTAGATGATAAAGTCTACTTAAAACAGTTTGCACAACTCCTTAAAATGAAAGATTACCAGTAAAAAAAAAAGAAAGGACCGTACTCATTCCATGAATCAGCAAATTCCTACATTCAGTTTTATTGGACAATTACGCACAGAGCAACATTTCGACCTTAACATAGGTCTTTGTCAAGCTAGGTCTTTGTTAAGGTCGAAACGTTGCTCTGTACGTGATGGTCAAACAAAATCGCTTTATAATTGAACCCAGTGAGTGCTTGAAGCCTCTCTTTAGACTCCTTAAAATGAGACCAAAATAAAATACACATTTATAAGTTATCATAATACATTTTTTAAAAGGTTTGTTCAAGAGCTAGATCAGCATTGAACCCCACAATATCTACAGTAGAGTTCAGTCACGTAGAGAGATTCTTGAAGTGCCTTGTTGACTATAAATAAGCTTGATTTAAAAAAAAAACATTTGAGAATATCTTCCTAATGTATTATCCATATACGTTGTTTAACCCCTTAAGGACACATGACATGTCATGATTCCCTTGTATTCCAGAAGTTTGGTCCTTAAGGGGTTAAAAAAAAAGTGAAAGAGGAGGATGCAGCAACTAATATATAGGATGGAGTACTGTATGAATTGAACAATATCTGTAATACGACTTAACTTTTAATCAGTAATAAAAATAAAAAGTCCAAAATGGGACTGTGTCAAGAGCATACTACAAACACTGAACACCTAGTGCTATGTACAAAATATTGATGACAAAAAATACCAAAACGAACAAACAAAAAAACATCAATCGTTAAAAACCGCTAAGCCAGTTCCACCAATATTTATAATAAGATAGGTTCCAAAGAAAAAAATCTGGTGACTGATATACTTTGGTTGTTAGCTTGTAATAATGATTACACAGGGTAAAACATCTACAAGTAGTTGTTTATTAGATAAACGTTCCTTTCTTTGTATAAACTTCCCTGCAGTATAGCATGGTACCAAAATTACTTCGGCACATTCCCTGTGATGATAGTGATATGAAATCACATTACCCTTAGTGCAGTTAGCCTGATCTGTCTTGTAAATGTTGTCTGGTAAATGTAACAGAGTACTAAATATAAAGGGGGCAAGTGAACACACTTGCTGTGATTGATACAATTGTAGCAGTAACGACTATAGTTAGTGAGTCTTCCTTTTTGTAACTTATAAATATTATACAGAGGCTATGGAATGATTACCTGCTATTGAATGAGGCGACAAGTATGGTGCTTAGTGATATCAGATTATATTAGAAAGTGACACCATTGGGGGGCAAAATATTTGTTGTAACAGGGGATTTGGAGCTTGCCTAAGCATGTATCTACAGCTCCGGGGATAGGTGAAAAGGAGAGTACAGAGAAACAGAAGAAGCAAGATAACTTTCTCTGTTGGGCATTCATGGGCACCCCTTACCCTAAAAAAAACCCTGTCCAGTATAAGCAATGTCTATCCCCCAACCACCCCTAGTTTAATAAAATGATCAAGTCCTCTGTAACTTGGTTATCTGAGATTTAGGTAAAAGTGCTGTGCTGCTGTTGTAGAAATATGAACTCTTAAGTGGCAGGTAACAGACTTAAGAAAATATGGTGGAAGTGGCAGCGCAGGGGCTATTTTGGACTTTTTATTTTTATTACTTCTTAAAAGTTGTCTTATTATAGATATTGTTTTATTCATACAGTATTACATCCCATCTATTAGTTGTTGCATCCTCCTCTTTTGCTTTTTGTTTATTGTCTACAACAGGGGTTACCCCCCACTCTGGATGTATGCACATGCTTTCATTTATTTATTTATGCTCTTTCCTTTCTTTTCTGTACAAGTCTCATATACGCTGTTTATTTTTATTTACGTGGGACTCTGCGAATCTCCCTGCAGGATTATCAAGCCATATTTTCGTTTTATGTACTGTTATGGGCTACTATGCTAGTAAATAAGGCTCTAGTCTACTAATTCAATATGAGGCTGACTGCTCAATGCCAGGTATTAGACTTTAGTGATAGAAATTGTGTTTTTGTTGTTGTTGTTGTTGCTATTTTGTTTGATTTTCTTGCTTTTCCTCTGCAATAAGAAGTTATTTGGTTTGGGTTTTTTTTTTGGGGGGGGGGTACAGGGGGGGCAGGGAGGGTGCCTGAAAGCCACTAGAGGCACCTCAGCATCATCATACACAGCTTGATGACATTAAATACGTCCAAAGCTCCTCATAGAGAAGCATTGGATTTGGTGCTGCTCATAGTGAAGCACTGCACTGGTGAAGTATGGGAATTATTGTGCATGCAGCCAATGTATCAAATGCTTCTCTGTGAGAAGAATTGTATTGAACAAACGTAATAAAAAATTATGGGATCAGTGTCGGCGTCAGTTCAGAGCTGCAAGGAGCTGTGCAATCAGTGCACAGTGCACATACTGATCCCAGCAGCAAACCACTAGACACCAGGGATAAATGTCTATATATAAATCAAGTGTGTGTGTGTGTGTATGAATGTTAGTGTGTGTATATATGAATATGAGTGTGTGAATATATATGTGTATGTGTAAATGAATGTGTGTGTATATAAATGTGAATGTGTGTGTGTATATAAATGTGAGTGTTCGTGAGTGTGTGTATATGAATGTGAGTGTGTGTCTATATGGATGTGTGTGTGTGTGTGTGTGTGTGTATATATAAATGTCAGTGTGTGTGTATATGGATGTGAGTATGTGTGTGTTTATAAATGTGAGTGAATGTGCTTGCAATTTCCCTAACAAAAGGATGTTATTGACACTGCAGAGAGATAACACCAGCAACAACAACATTTTTAGTTTGGCGGGAGAGGCAATATTTCCACCCCAGTAGTGCAGACAAAAAGCAATACAATAACGTTAAAAATGAATCTATTTCTTCTTAACATTAGAGTGTTTGGATGGCAGGCGAGATGGGGGGGGGTACACTTGCGGGGGGCCTAGTTCAAGCGGCGTGACCGGACTATATACCCTATCCCATTATGGCTACCCAGGGACAGGGACCCTAGGATCATTATGCCCTATCAGAACTCGGGTGGAACCGGAGACCTAGCGCTTCTACTCTCTCTCTCCTTGCAACTTCATTTAAGACTGTTGCTCTGTACCTATACACATACGCATACACTAATACTACAAACTTACGTGACGTGGAGTGAGGCACATGCCTTGACAGAGATTACTCTAGGCATACTTAGGAGGAATACACGAAAGCCTCCCACTCTTGACTGCTACCAACTCTACTCTAGCCCCAGGGACAAACATAAACATAAACACCAGGGAGACTGAATAAATTGAAGGGCGACGGCCACTGGACCCAAACCTTACCCCTATGTCTAGGATTGCTGAGGATGCTGACGAGCGGTCCAGATGTGACTGGAAGAGGCCCGCTATTAAACTGACTGATACACACGATTTGACCAAGAACCCACACCCACGAATCACCAATTCAACGACAGGACCCAGTGGGATTAAAAGTTGGACCACATTAGAAGGACATGAGGCTACTGAAGGACAACCAAAACCCTATAAGTAGATGACAAGGGGAGCGGGGAGACAGATATCTTCGACTATTCTAAGCCTATTAATCACTGAATGTTAGCAACGCATATACATGTGAGACTCAAACTTGCACAGCATAGTGATTGATGTATTACACCTCATTTAAAACAGATCTTAATGCCTTAAGTACAACAGGGGCCTGCGAGCCCGCAACACAGTTTTTATTTCTCTGTAAAAAAAAAAAAACATTAGAGTGTTTGCTTAACGAACAATGATTATTTCTATAAATAATTAATACACTTTAAATATAAAAAACATTTAATATCATACAAGTTTTGTCACACTTCTGTCATCCATAGGGTTAAGATTGTACTGCAGCGCGTACAAATCATGCAGGTCCCATTGACATTATGTCTTCATCACTTCCTCCAGGCATCAGCTACTTTTTCAACACTTATTTTTAACAGCAATCACAATCACGTGATTTCCTGTAAAACATATAACCAGGTGCTTGAAAAATTATTTCCTGTAACTCTCTTCTATCAAAATTGTTTCCGCCCTTAAAAAAAAAAAAAAAAAATGTATTCAGTGTTTGTTATGGTTTGTTTTTTTGTTTTTTAATTGGAGGGTGTAGGCACAATTTTTTCTGTTGGGATTTATTTCACAAGGTAGAACCTGTGGATAAATGATCAGAATATGTCAAAAAAATTTAAAAAGCTGTCAAATTTGAAAAATTCTCCAAATTTTCTGAACTTCTATGTTACATATTTTATAAAATAGTTTGAGGACTTCTTGGGCAGAGGGCAGGGCATCATTTGGCCTTACAGCTATTGAGACAAGAGACTGGTTTATCCCCTGGACCGGTTATCATTGGGTAGGCAACTTAGGGACCTCCAAGTCCATATTATTTTATTACCCTTCACCGCACATGTAGTGGAGCCATTCGTCAGCTCTTTACCCTGTTATGAAATAAAGTGTTGAACATTTATATTTCAAAGTGATAAAGTGCAATAAAGTTAGTCATAGTGAATACAATGTTCGATCACGTAATATCCAATAAACATTAAGGGGCAAAAAAACCCCCCCAGAAAACTCTTTCTTTTCATGTTTATCAAAATACATAATGGAAAATTGTATTCACTGGAAGTGCTTTTATTGCACTTAAAAGGACACTCCAGACCCTTAACAAACTTAGCTTGCTGAAAAGCTTAATATGTGAAGTGTGTCCTGTTTTTTTATTTTTATTTTGTATTAAGTGCAGATTTCAGTAGAAATTTACACTTTTACAAATTAGCCTGGTTACCCCCATTTGACTCTTAATCAGGCAACTGGTCCTGTTACTTCCTGGTTTGGTTAGCTCAGTGGAGCTAAACTCAAGAGGCAGCAATTGCTCAGAGCATCTGCCTTACAAAGACTTCTCATTAAGCAGCATTGGAAAGTCTGTGATTGGACATCCACAGAAAGTCTGGAAGGGGCTAGAGGGGAGGGCTTGCAAAGGCAGCGGACAAGAGATCAGCAGCTTCTGCAAGCCTTTTCTGGATATCCCCAATGAGAAAATGCATAAACAAATGCATGGATGTTTTCCTCTGGGGTACATCTACTAAACAGTGATTTTTATTTTATTTTGTATTTTGCTAGTGGAGTGTCCCTTTAATACTTGGGTGTAATACAGGACAATTGGCACGAAAGTGTTTTTCAAGTATCTTTGAAATAGAAGTATTTCTAACATATAATAGTTAGAACCTGTTTGCACAATTTACAGCTACTTTTTGACCCACCCAGTGAAAATTGTGCAGGAATTGAAAATGGAACCGCATGATTAGGAGTTTGCTGATTATGGTGTTGTTTATTTATTTCTTATATATTTCTTTTCTATACTTGTTTTGGGGTGTAATACAGGGCAAGGAGCACAAAACTGTTTTTCAAGCATCTTTGAGATATGAATATTTTTACACAATATAGTTAGAATCTGTTTGCGCAATTCAAATCTAATTTTCGTCTCGCCCAATGAAAATTGTGCAGGAGCTGGAAATGGAGCAACACGAATGCGGACTATGCGAACTGCGGTGTTGTGTATTATGATATTCATATTGTGATATTCGCACATCAAAAGTATTTGCATTGTAGGCCAAGAGGGGGCAATCAGCATCCCCTCTCAGAAATTGTCCTTTATTTGAAATGTCCGGAGTATAGAAGGTCCTCACTTATGGAGGGGCAGGTGGGTGGATCCTGCAACAAAACCATTAAAGGAACACTCAGGCACCATAACCACTACAGAACACTATTGTGGTTATGGTGCCACTGAGTGCCCTTGTGCCATACATTTGCAAGTAGTCCAACCATTTTAGCACAGTTTAACTTTTTTACCTGGGGCCTACGGGGCACTACTCTTCACCTCAACTAATTTGCTTTCACCCACACTCTGGACATTTAAATAAAGGGCCATTTCTGAGGGGCGGGGGTGTTAAATATAACCTCTTGGCCGACGTTGAAATGATTTGTATGTGTGAATATCACAAGATGAAAGTTATAATAAACACCACAATTCACATAGTCAGCCCACTCCGATTCATGTCGCTATAGTTCCGGTTCCTGCACAATTTTCACTGGGTGGGGGTGAGAATTAGTTCTGAATAACACAAACAGACTCTGACTATACAGCGTTAAAAATATTTATATCTGAAAGATGCTTGAAAAACACTTTTTGTGTCCTTTTTCCTGTACTACACAACTATTACAGCATGCGGTAGTGGTTATGGTGCTTGAAGTAGTCCTTTAGAAAGGTTGTGTTTTTTTGCAACTAACATCTGGATGCAAAGAGAGGAGAAGTGTTGCCTCATGACCAGTTCTGTACTAACTGATTATGTCAAACAGGTACAGGAAAGGTTCAATGTGGGTTTTCACTTTCCTGCACATGACTTGGGGTTTTTTATATATATTTTTTATTTTTCTATCTTTGACATCCGTGCCATTTTCAATGTTGCTCAGGTAGTTTCGATGGAGGCGACGGAATGAGTTTGTTGCCTGTCATAAGGTCTGCTTTCTCAGTGAAAGTTTTTTGTTATTATTGTTACCAGTTATTGACACCCTTCAGTCCGTTGCATGTACCCTTCAGATGTCTGAATAGGCAGCACATGGGCACAATGTTAAGCATGTGGTCAGGAAGGATATTTGGATGCCCCTTTATTGGACCTTAGATATAAGAGCTCCAGGAGCTCTTTTGTCACCGTAGCTGCTTGCCCCCCAGTAGGTCCTCCCTTATAGAGGGGCAGAAGAGTGGATCATAGAAACATAGAAACATAGAAACATAGAATGTGACGGCAGATAAGAACCATTCGGCCCATCTAGTCTGCCCAATTTTCTAAATACTTTCAGGAAGGCCAATAAAGTGTTTTTTTGTAAATCCCAACCAGCTGCAACAAGAGATATGTGTTAGAAGAAATGTGTTGGCAGTAGATTAAGCCACCCTCACATTTATCTCAACTAGCCAAGCATCTTATTTTTCTGCCAACCTGGAAACTTGATAAGTATTTGAAATACAGTTACCGAAGCAATTACTTAGCAGGTTAATATACTTAGTATATATTAGTTAGTATACTTCCCAAATTACCCTCTTCTCTTACAATACACACATTGATGTTTCTCAGAAAACTTTGTGTTTTGAAACCTTTTCTTTTACATCAGATTCATCCTTCGTTAGTTCGTCCATCCACCATCTGTCTTCTTCACCACCTGCCTTGACAATACAGAGCGGAAACAGCACATGTTCACTAGTCAATGCTATTCATGAACCCGTGAGGTCAGGAAGGATGTTGTACAGTAAAGGAGGATATCGAGTCAGCATTATTTACTATGCATTGACCTCATCGGCTTTATCCTAGAATAGTAATGGCTTACCTTGTCTCTGCAGAGGTTTACATTTCCCTAATGCAGACTCAATGTCATAGGAAACATAGTCCTTAAATTTCACTAATAACAGTCTGGACATCACAAAAAACATAATCCCCGAACATCTTCATTTCTAAAAGTACTGATCACCGCCACAGTTGGAAATTCAAAATGAATTCAACCAGACTTTAAAATTCAAGGCCATACAAACTGCACGTTAATTGTAAATCTGAATATATAACAACATTTACTATGTCCCAGAGGAAAATAATAGAGTAAATTTGGTTGTCATGGTTGGATTGGTAACCATTGAAATGATAACTCCGGACGTCCTTGTGCTTAGATTCACTACTCTACCAATCAGTGTCTGTCCGCTCGGACCTCGTCTCTTTTAGGGATGCATTTATTCTGCTCACGCCCTGGTTTATGCCACTTTATTGACCAGTCTGATCTAGTAATGTATTAGATTAGTATGTTATGCACATTCTCTGTACTTTTTCAGATGCAATCCCATACTCCCTATGCTGAGTTTGTTCACTTTGTGCACAATTAACAGTATTGATATATAATGTTACTCATCTACCTTAACTAATTTGAAACCAAGAAACTTTCATTCAAAGCCACACTGTCACCACTGTCAGTCTTTATACTCATATTGACTGTTGTCATTAAATTGAAATTCCAAACTTTCAAGAGATATACTTAGACAAAGTAGGAACTATGCCCGACCCTTCAAAACACTCGGTGGAGTTACTACCGTCTAGAGGTTTGAATCCCACCAGCTGGGAATTAAGCCTATCTTTGGAGGATCCTGTGATCTCATACGACCCTCCATAGACCTCAGTGCTGCATGCGCAAGAGTACAGCAGTCACATTTGTTCTTCGCGCTTAACCATCACGGGCTGAAGAGGACCTTAGACAACATGATGGCAGCGCCCACAAGGGACAGGTTTAGTTAATTAGAATTCACCTTTGCCCGCCCCCCAGCCATGGGTCCGCCAGTAGCAATGTCAGCATAGGGGGTGGCCTTGCAAATTCTGCAAAGTCCTCAGACATTGACAGTGCCACTTTAAAAAGAAAATGGCTAAATCGAAATCAAATCTAAGTTGAAGAACTTAATATTGGAATACAAAATTCACTTTGAATTCCTAACAATTCATACTTCAGTGAATAACCCAGATATTGGTCTCACACATATATACATGATCTCAAATGAAGGTATAAGGCATAACCCATCCATCCAGCTGTTGTAATATCACAAAAGAAAATAAACTAAAGAAGTCAACCCCATATTTTCTTTCTGTAGACACCTCTTACGCATTCTTATATTTTAAAAGTATTGTAATTATGCTACAATTATTAAAAATTGTAGTGGTGACTGATTGAATTAATTTGTTTAATTATTGTAGGGCCTACCTTTTTTCATTTAAAATTTAAATACCCACACTTTTTTTTTTTTTGCTCTGCTTTAATGCTTGTTTTCGTTCAACAGGAGTTTGTCAACGATGTTCACAAGCATCTTGTAAAAGGATATCTCACAGAGATCATGAAGAGAAAAATGAGTTTAACAATGAGCCAACGTAAAAAAGCATCTCAAATAATGAACCAGGAGGGTACTGACTTAAACTCTGCAGTACAGGATCTGGTGAGAATAACCTCGTGGGTGCACTATATAATCAACACAAATCACTGCAATATGCCCCAAAGCGATATATTCCTTGCCAGCACCACCACTTTCCATCACCTTCCTCCATAGAAGTCAAACTGGATGCGAAAAGATACTACCATAGAGGTCACACTAGACATGAAGGGTTTCTACCATAGAGGTCACACTATACATGAAAGGATTCCACCATAGAGGTCAAACTAAATGCGAAAAGATACTACCATAGAGGTCACACTAGACATGAAGGGTTTCTGCCATAGAGGTCACACTAGAAATGAAGGGTTTCTACCATAGAGGTCACACTAGACATGAAAGTATTCCACCATAGAGGTCAAACTGGATGTGAAAGGATTGGCATTCAGTATGAGCACTCTATTGTTAAAATCTTGGACAATAGAAATGACAATGTAGATTTTTGTCAGTAATATATGAAATAAGTGTTTTTGATTACACTAGAGGAAAGTTGTCTTTCAATATGTAGAAGCATGAACCTTTGATACCAAATCCTGAATATAAAAGTTCTAATCTATTATTTAAAAGCAACACTGAAATGGTGCTTCTTAAAACATATTTTAAAAAATAAATAAATACATTAGTGTGCATAAAATCAAGACTACGAAAAGAGAAGTGAATGTCGACCTGTGATATTGTGAAAATAAAATAAATCTTAGGAATTTATCAGGACAGGGTGAGATGCTAGACGTGTCTTCCTTGGACAGTGTAGGCCTCAAATAAGACATCTTTAGTCAATCACTAGTGTGTAACATCAGCTTTGCAAAGTGAATTTGAAATTTGAGGCCACAGTAGACAAATTGGGAGAATTCTTCAAGTAAACTGTTTTCCGTTCGGCTATTTTGGCATAAAATTTGAAGTACTCCCTGTCGATTCATATTCTAGTAAATAACCCTGAGAGTCTGTAATCTTCTCGAACGTAACTCTGGAATGTTTCTCAAACAACTTGTCACTTGGATACATGTGTACAAGACTGACAATTGACAACATTCCATGTTCATCATTGGTCAAACATGTCTATTCTCACTCCTGGGTTTATTTACAAAGGGACACTAAAGTCTACCAGAGTTATTGAAAGCATAGCTGACTTAAAGATTTTTTTTTTCAGTTTGGCTATCTTCACCAGAAATTTGAAATTCAATTTGAATTCACCTTGAATGCTCACTTTAGTTAATAACCCTAAAAAAAATGTAATGATCACGAAAACCAAAAATAGTGTTTTAGCATTATCTTATCATTATATCATTATTGGTAACGTTGTAACAAGATTGTAAGCTGGATATGTCATTTCTTATGATATTCTACACCTTCTACAAGAGTAATGATAATTTTTAGGTTAAGTAACAGCTGGTCAATAGACTATTTAATATCAGGAACAATTGTGTTAAATGTTCCTCTCATAATACACTTTGTATTTTAATTTGTTTTCAATTTCTAGGGTTCTGCACACGAATATTTATTTTCTGCTATTCACTGTATTGCTGAGATAATTTGTTTGAGGAAAAGAGAAGAAATTCAATCGAAGCTCGATATATTATACCAGACGTATCCAGATATTAGGTACATTTTTCTAATGCAGTAAACCGCGATAAGTCTTCTAATTAGTGAACTAAAGAGTTTTGGAGGAGTAGGACGGTGGAGTTGGGGGCAGGACTTTAGGCACTATAACAACTTTAATAAGTGGCTACAGTGTTCCTTTAAGGATTCATTTAAAGAGATAGACATTTAGAGAGAAAGCTGAGTGCATAAAGAGAACGTCAGGTTGAGATAAGGTGTACACAGAGAACTGGGTAGAGAGAAACGCTTTTAGCGAGAACTAGGTTTAGAGGCAGTTAGAAGTGACTTTAGAAAATCATACAGAAATTGAGAAAAACAAAATTATATTATTATTATATTATACAGTATTTATAATGAAATAAATAGAAAATAAATATAATACAATATTCAGAAAATAAAATGTCCCTCTTGTGGTCAGCCACTTAGCTCGTTGTATATCATAGAAAAAAAGTAGTCTGCATTAGCTTGGAATCTAAAAGCTATGTTTGCATAACTATATCTAGTAACACAGCATTATTGGGTCGGGTCAGAGAAGAGAAGTGAAAATTGAACCATCTCCATTTTAGAGATAGTGACTAATACTCTACACTTCTTTCACAGTGACGAACATATATTTTCCATCTTCCATCTACAAGGCATACGAAGGAGCAAAAAAACGTTATTGATGAATTATTTTAGAGGATTGCAGAGGATGGAACCCCATCCTCCCCCCAATCAAACTCTGTTTTCAGAGATCGAGAATTCAACGAGAACAACTTGCTTCTAAAGTTTTCATTTTGTTTACCTGTTATTACGTCAGTTTATATGAAAACCTAATTTTAAATAGGCCAGTTGGTTTTAATCTACTGAAATAGTATTTTTAAATATATTAAATCTATATATATATTAAAAAAAAAAAAATCTCCTTTGGCACAGTAACCTTGAAATTGTTGTTTTTATCATATTTCAATACCAGACTTCCATAGGGTCCATTTTCAAAATGTTTATAACATGTTTTTTTCCATACCAGTGCTTTGTGAGTGCTATCTTATTTACATACTTGCAAGGCATTCTGGAAGAGTTGTAAAACATAATCTTCCAAGGCTGCTGTGACCAAAGAGAGTTCTTTTTTTCTTTTTTTTATGATACTATATTAAATTGTATTTTTAAAAATGTATTTAATTCTAATTTATTATTTTTTTTTAACCATATATGGGGCCACAATAACAGGGTTATTCACTAAAATAAGAATACAAGGTGAATTCAAAGTAAATGTTAAATTTAATGTCAAAATAGCTGAACTGGTCTGTCGGCTATGCTTTCAGTCTACTCTGACCTTGAATTTGAAATTCTCTTAGAATTCACTTTAAATTCTCAATTTAGTATTCTAAACCCCGTAAGTGGTATGAAGTCACTGTATGAAAATGGTACATGGTATGAAACCACGGTATGAAAGTGGAAATCATCTTGAGAAAGACCTCGGTTAGAGGTTGAAATTTTGCCATGTGCTTGATACACAATGTTCCACTGAAGCTGCCTGTTATTTAGCCCCTGAGTCCGGACTAAATGGTGACAATGTGTTGCAGGTGGCACAGTTGCAGACAGGATATGAAGCAGCCGTAGAGATATATCGTAATGTTCTGTGTGTTGTGTAGATAATACAGGGTGGGTGGTGTAGTCGATACCTTGTGGCTTGTGGCCAGGAATCCGCAAAACCCCTTTCAACTGCTATTGTCAATGCTGTTGAGAGATTGCTTTGTGTTTTTTTTTTTTTTTTAGTATTATTTGTGTTTAACGTATGTTACTCTTGCAAATGCAGAGCTGGCTTACTACATCATGGACCTTTAAACATGCCAGGCGAATGCTCGTTAATTCTGAAGAATTAAAGTATCGATAAATTAATTTACTATAGAAACACTATAGTCCGCTAGACCACTTTAACTCAATGAAGTTGCATAGGTGCAATGGTTCTGTCATTTTAACTTTTCCATGTAAAACATTGCAGTAAACCATTGCATTTGATTGTAAGAGCACAGCATTTGGCTGCGCATGCATACCTCTGATCCATTACTTCTAGAGGATGAGGAGTCCCGGTGCTGGAAACGAGGTGAGAAATATTTATTTTACTTCTACAGAAGGGAGCCTATTGTCCCGAAATGCAATTGTTATTTTCAGTACTATAGGCTCCTTTTAAATATTGCAAATCATTTTCAAGAATCTAGTGTTTATTTTATTTATTTACTTCTTTGCACCCATGGTTATATTGCAGCAACAAAATAATGATGGCTCAATTCATATGTCTCAATTTATTAACAGTAATTTTTGTGCATTTTAACCCTGTATAACCTAATTATATTATATGTGGTCATGACATGCATTTTTGTAATCTCTCTTTTGATGCCAAGTAAATTCATACTGTTTATCACCTGTACAGCTGCGTGCTTTGGTATACAATCTGTTGGTATATAGGTCTACTCACTGGGTCAACCTTTGGGTCATTTTTTGTAGCCCTAAACTGACTAAATTGCAACAAGCATTTCAAGTGAAAACTGTCACATTTAATTGTAGCCTCAATCACAGACAGTGTATCATTCGATAGTTAACTGCATGCTAAAAACTGATGCGACCACAACCACATTGTTCCGTAACATTTCTTCAACACTTTCCATATTATTTTTAATTAAACACATTTAATTTATAGATCACAATGTCATTCGAAAGACACTACTCTGGAAGTTTTAATACCAAACATATACTATAAAATCCCTGGTTGGTCAATTAAAGCACTGTAACACTAATCATGATACCTATTAACTTCTCATAGCATTTAATTTCCATTTACCTAAAAGTCTTGTTGTCTACTTGTGCCTATACTTGACAATGCGTCGGTTCTAGGTGTTTGTGCTGCGCAGATCATATATATTTTAATGTTAATTATGCTTAGTCACCCATCAACCATTCACGCACTTGATATGACATTTTGACCTTATTATTACATTGTTATCCTTTAGCTAGACTCCACATACAGGATTCCTTTTAATTCTCTATTTACTATTAATATTACTTTCACCTCTGCCAAAACATTTATCATATATCCTAATTGCTTCTGGGATTCATTCCTTAAAACGTTAATGTCACACTGATTACTCCAGTAAACTTTATAAACCGTGAATTGCAGAATAAAAATAAATTGAAATTAAATAGAACTGGCAGCTTATTACATAGGATCTATGTGACCAACGAACTCTATGGATTGACATTTCCAAAGCACAAAATTCAGGTTAAATTTCTAGGTAGTTTGACAATGTGAAAGAGATGGGTGTAGGATTGAGACGACTTTGTGGAATTTCCCACATTTGATTTTGATAAATGGTTTCTGAACTATGTTTAAAAAATGATACCAATTACGTGATGTTTTCCAAACTGTACCTTGCATTGTAACCATTAGAGAACCTGGTCGAGTAATGTCCCCAAATATAAATATTTTATTTATTGCCTGCAGTTGGCACTTTATTACATTATTATATACATGTTTTATATGTTGTTTTGGTAGATGACAGTCAGGAGGGGTTGCTGTTAAAGAGACCTTAGCTGCACACCCCTCCATTAGTTACGTAGGGTGGTGGTGTGATATTGATTACCCAGCTTTGTAGAACGTGCTGGTCATTAGGATCGTTGTATCAGCATCAGCAACAAGCTGTTCATGGGTAAAGAGGAAGGAGTGAGGACATAATATGGAAAAAACGGTGCTATGTCATGACATACCCCACCTCTCTGTTAGTGTAGGGGTCAGTAAGTTTTGTTTTGGGCTCAAGCCCCAGGTGTTTTTGGAACCATCACAAGCTCATTATTGTGATGGTTAATAATTGAAAATCTCACTCACTTAGGGGTGGTGGTGGGGGGACACACAGAGCTTGGCTTTTGATGAAGCAAGTCACACAAGTATGGAGCTCCTGAGGAAGCAATTGATTTAAAGGGTCTATTTTTACCTAAATCACTAGTTTCAGCTTTTACACTCCTCTACTTGCCTGGAGAATACCAGAATAATCCGAATTTAGCTGGCAACACACGAACCAATCGGAGTAGAAGAAATGGCTAAACCCCGGCCCAAGGTTTGTTTGTACCTCTCACTTGGGCCCTGTTCCTCCAACCTCTGGACCAGCAGGGAATATTCTGGTCCCCACTGGAGTGATTACTTTGCCTCTCCTGAGAAACTCTTGTTGCCCAGCTTTGCTTGACTCGTTTCCAACATGGCTTACCTATCTTTCCTTTGTGATGGATATGTTTCTGCAAGCTTTTGACCAGCTTTATAATACAACTTTGGGCAAAATTGCATCAATACATTGCTGGTGTTTCACCTTAGCTTCAAGTCTTGGATCTAAAGCTGATGTCTCTGTGTCGACTCCCCAAGACACTTTTAGTCTGTTACAACATTTTTTGGCTCAGAGAGACTCAGCACAGATCCCAACCTCGGAGGGCCTCGGTTCGATGCCATCAAGTGCCCATTGATGGTTCCTATTGATTACAGCACTACGCGTGGCTGGACCACTGCTTAAACAGGCTCTAGTGTGGCCTGGGCTTGTAGACCTGACTCAGTCTTAAGACTGTATCTGTAACAAGGAGTGAATATGTTAGCATATGAATTGGCTGAATTATGTGCAGGTCTGACAGCTTAGCATTGTGTTTAATTCTATTTAATTTTAGTTTAATCTAATCCCACAATCATCTCAATATTCTGAGAAACCAGGCTGGTGGCATACATTTTTTTTTCTCACCCAGTTGTATTTCGTTCTATGTATTTATGTGTGCACCTATATGCCAAGTGTATTTTTTTCCTTTTATTTTGCTCTCTCTGTATATAATGTATATTCCTCACGATATATCTATTTCTAAAAAAAACCTTGTTTCCATTCCTGTATATTATACTGTATTACTACTGTCTAACTATGCTTTGTTTATACTGCTGCATTGTACCACAGCTAAGTGATAATCGTCCTAATGTCCTGGAATGAGATTAAAAAAAAAAAATTGGAAAAAATTAATAAAATAAAATCTCACTCATTTAATTTTAAAGTTTTACATGCCATGCCTAACACACTGAACTCCTAAATTACTGTGTGTGTATATATGTATGGTACATTCGCGTGTATCACTGTAGGAATGCTGGAACGAATTTGAACATTGGGCCTGAGGCTTCATGGGGTTACAAAGTAACTCATAATGCAAAAGGACAGTAGAGGGATTTTTTTTTTTTTTAACTAGGGTTAGGGAACAAGGTGCTGTCACTTTTAGAGAAAAGTTGTGTTTTTAAAAAAAAAATAATACCCCATCAATATGGTGGAAGCAGAGCTGTAATTCCACCTTGACCCATACCATGCCAACGATTTGGGCAGTGATTGGCTGAGATTCAAATTGCTCAGATGATGCTCTCAGACTCTGCATTGATTGGCTGAGATTGCTCAGCTGACTCTCTCAGCCAATCACTGCCTACTATTGCTGGTATGGCATGAAGCAGAACTTATCGTCGCCATTTTGTCATTGGACGCTGGGCTGCATGATGCTTGGGACCAAACATTTTAGCAATGATGTTGGTCTTGGCTCCTTTTTACTCCAAGCACCATAATCACATCAATATGCTAACGTGGTTGTGGTGCCTACTGTGTCCCTTTAAGTGTGTGACTTTTCAACTGTTGAAAAGTATGATCTGGTCTGTACATGTACTTGGATGTCACTGGAGAAGGACCTGTTCCCTAGCCAAGCATTTTTTTGTAAATTAGTCGTTTTTGTTCTTTCATATATTTTTTTTTCATAATTTTTTATTTTTGTGGTGAAGAGATATACATACAGGTTTGTACTGGCATAATATAGAAGGCATACATGACAACATAGATAAATCGCTTATGTCAGATTACTACATGCTAATTTTTATTTTTTCTAAAGAAAAGTGTAACAAGTAATATAATCAACCTATCACAGAGTGAAAACTACCTTAATAAAGAAGGAACTTGCTTGACAAGAGGATTAGTAGGTTAGTAGTAGGTAGTAGTTGCTAAACTAGTGAGATGAAACGGTATGTCAGTAGTAGAGTGATAAAGGTAAAAGATAGGCAGTATCGACTGACACATTGCAGATTAAGATGTACCACTGGGCATAAAACCAGACTGTGAAAGAGCTGTCAGCATATAGCATTTTAAATTATGGTGGTAACTATCTTAGCCTATGCCTGATGCATAATGCTTAGTGAGCCAGAGAAAAAGATGCCAGGTGTCCCGCTGAACTGTGCCCCTGCAGCCCCTAGCTGTGTTACAGACCACTATATCCATCTCACAAGTCTAAATTCGAGTCGCAGGTTGGACTTGATCTTGTGGCCTGGTGCCAGGCTTCTGTATGGCATGGTGAGTAGGAGCCTTCTGAGGGTGTGAGTGGTGGGTCAAGGAGTATCCCATGATGGATCTTGGCCCAGGTAGGTGATGGCACTCAGCAGGACTGGACTTCCACTTCCCCCCTGTCAGCACTGAGTCAGGGTCTCTCCCAGTGGGTCTCAGCTTGGCCTTTCCTTGCCGTGAATCTCATGGGAGTGAAGCTGCAGCGGTAGGCCTATCCACTTGTTGGTGGGTACGATCAGGTGAAGTGGTAGCATGGGAGTTGCAGGCTACTCTTATCCAGAAATCCCTGCACAGCTCATCAAATCTGACCTCGAATCTCTGCACCCAGTCCTGGATCCCTGGGTCTGCTTGATGTAATGGATGTTCCAGTATGGCGGCCATCTTGAACTCAAAACGTGTTTTCAGGAACACTGTGCTCAAGTTGTCCACTGTACAGTAGTGAGTATACCCAGCGGGGACCGGGATAACCCCCATCGGTCCAAAGGGGGGATGATGGGGCTTTGGTAGGTTCCCTGTGGAATGCACAACTATGAACGGGAGATCGACCGCCTCTCCCAGCTGTCAGGTCGGCAATCCCGGTAGGCCGCAGAGCCAAATGGCAGATTAGGTGATAATTCCTGGGCTGTCAGTGTCCCCCTTTAGTCAGGATGCTTGCTATGTGTAATTTTGAGCCTTCCTGTACTAAAATGCAATTTTAGCTAGTTTAAGGCTTCCTCAGGTAGAAGTTTCTGGAAAACACATCTTACCAGTATGAGTCAGGTCCCGCCCCCCTCTTCCATATTTTATGCATGTATTTAATGTATAGAAAATGTATTGAAATTAAACAATGAAATGTTTCTTTAATAGAACCCATGGTTATACTATGAAAGGATATACACTTAAATGCCCTATTCTTGCAATGTATGCAGTACTCTATTTACAGAATGGAGAAGTTTCTCTTAGTCTTTCACTTTCGAGTTTTACACGGAAAAAGGGATTAGGGTATTTTTGTTTAGCAATGCCAATTCAGATTAACTAATATTTCTATAATGAAATCCAAATGTAAGAAATGTCTCTCTCAATGCGCATATTTATTGACTAATTGGGTTATGTGTACAGTTCCTCCTTAAGAGTAAAACATTTTAAAATGGTTCTTGGAAAATTATTTGTGGTTTACACTAAAGTCTGGTTTTAAGGTATTATAGGTCAGTTCATATAAAAGTCACTTTTTAATGTTTACCTGTTTGGAACGGCATTCCAATTGTTTGGCCCATTATCGGTAAATGATTGAGTAGATAAATATTCTCTTACTGAATTTGAGAGTACTTTGTTTTGTCACGTAAACACTATAGATTCTCTGGTTAAAATCAAGTTTACTGATAATATATATATATATATATATATATATATATATATATAATATCCATCACTGCCAAAAACCAGAGCAAAATAATTGAATTTGCTTTATTCAGGAAGATATATAAAAATGGTTAAACACCCTTAAATATGTATGTATGCAAATTACTTGGTTTTAAACATTTTCCATTTTTTAAAATTAAATACTAGACTTGGAGATTTTGTTTCAGGCTGAACTGCAATTTGGATTAATTGGGCCAAATACCTGAACTCAGAGCTGAAATATACCCAAATTACACAAAAAAACAAAAAAATGTGCAATTCCAAATATATTTGGGGTTGTAAATCTAAATTCTGTTTGTGGTGCCAAAAATGCAGGTGAGATATGGAAAAAAAGGAGGAAGGAGACAGTTAAAAGAATGTATATTTATATATTATACATTTAACTTATTCTCACTTAATTTGTGAACCAGATAGCATGAAAGTGCAAAATACATCCTCTATATTATGTATTTATTTTCCAGTACAATGATTGGCCCATGTTTACTCTGTTTTTTTTTTGTTCTTCTGATTGGCTTCCAAATCCGAATCTTGGTACCAAAATTCTGGAAATCTGAACCTACATTCCTAAACAAAATTTCTATTTTGGGAAAAAATGGTTTAACCAAGCTGATTTGTCTAATAGTGCACTGGTCTATTGGATACAATCAATGACATTGACAATCAACAAAATTTGAACACGTGATAAGGTGCAAATGGTGAAAGGCATGAAAAGAAACAATCAATGCTGCTAGAGATAGTTACACCTCCATCAGGAATGGACTTGAACCCTGTATGTGCAGCGCTTCAAATTTAAACGCTGCACATACACACCCCAAAACCATGAGCACGTCAAATCATTGAGTTAATGCTTGGAGTAACCCTTTAATTCCTTTATATACCATGCAAGTACTCATGCGTCACGTTTTATACTTAATATAATTGTCAGTCATGTTTTTTTATTTCTCTCTCCCATGATGTAAACATCCTTGTTAGGCGTGTTACAATGTGATGATGGTAGCTGCTGGATCCAATGAGATGTATCATTTGTATAATAAATTGTGTAACTAGATGCTACATTTATATATTTGATTTGTCTAGTAAAATATGTTATTACCACGCAAATCCTAAAAAAAAAAAAAAATTGACTACAGTTCGTTCACGATTGCACTATTAAATTGTATTAAAATTGTTCGTTCATTGAGAATGTTTTTTTATGTTACTGATAAAGCATGTTAAAGTGTGGCAAGTACGCATGCAAACCCTGATTAGCCTCAATATTTTTCATAACCTAATTATTAAAGGGTTAATAAATAATAAAAAAAAAATAACAACAAAAAAAATGTGTTTTAAGAAAACACTGTTTGTGATCAGAGTATCTCTTCCTATACTGGTTTCATTCCTCCCAAAAAAGCAAAACAGAAGAAAGCTAAAACATCCCTTTAGAGCCGAGATCAAGTTCTACCTGCAGCCTGATGCTATTCAGCTAATGTCTTTCCCCTCCTTGTCGGAGGGTGACTTATATCTGGGAGGTTGGGCGGAGGGAAGAACATGGGTGGCACATAGAGGAGCCTGTACTGCCATTACTTGTATAGAACCTGCGTCAAACACCAAATTTGCACAGAATTCACATTAGCCAGCCTGGAACTCCTGTTTTGAGCTGGGTAATGGTGCACCAATGACTCAGCTGGAGGTGGAGTTTGTCCCGCAGCAAGTCCCAAGTACCATGATCACTATAGTCCATAAAGTGGTAATGTTGAGTAATCCTTTAAGGGCCTGTTTAAAAAATGGCTAACAATATTCATGACAATAATTTGTAGGATCTGGTTTCTAATGCTAATAATTTGTAGGATCTGAAATGCAGAATTGGTAATCTTCTCACAACATAATTCAGTAGCTCACAAGAGGCATCTAAATCACAATACATATTTAACTAGTGAGGGCACAATGATGTATAATTAATAACACACTGTCAAGATACAACTACTAAAATGGAACTATGATAATGTATTACCGGTCCTTAGAGTGACCAGGCCATACGTAATAGACTTAGAAATGTCAAAGACAAGCCAGTTATATGGGAGCCAGAAATCGTGAGAACGAGAGACAGAAATCGGGTCAAAGGTACTAGAAACTAAAATAGTCTCATGTAGCAGAGTCAAAACCAGAAAAGACAGAACAATGTTCTATAAACGTGCTATTGTAACCAAAATAGGAACCATAACACAGCTCCTGGCATCTGGATCGTTTGAGGAAGATCATGCCCTCCCTTCTGATCCCTACATGTGTGCCCTAGGGAGAACAAAGCAAGAGGTACCCTGGCACAGGCATACCTAGACTAGTAGAAGTATGAGTGACTAGAGTGATGGCAATAGGGGTAGATATCCTCTCTGATCAAAATGAGAACCATTAGAAAGTAGTTACATGTTCACTGACTGTCGGGTTTAAATCCTGTAATGAGAGTAAAACAATTGCATATCAGAGGCACACACAGAGCTTGATCAAGGGAAGAGGAAAAACACACACACACACACACACACGCGTGTATGTCAAATCCTCTTCAGTTTATTCCACAGACACAGACGTCTTTTTTTTTTTAAATTCTTTGTTGTGCAGGAGATTACAGTTGTGCTTGCAATGCCACAATAGCAGTAGGAAGCACTTCACAAACATATGTTTTTATGGCATATGAAAAACAATTGAACACATTTTAAAATCTAATAAACAAGAGTAGTAAAGACAGGCTTCATAGTAGTGTAGGGTCGGTGCTGTTGTTTGTGGCACGTGCTCCTCAGGCACCGTAGACGTAGTGCTTCAGCTCAGGATTCGCCTTCAGAACTCCTGCCACAGCTGATCAAAGCGCGTGTCGAAGCGTTCTCGCCAAGTCAGTAGTGATGAGTTCTCCGGTTGGGGAGTATGTTGATGTGCGGTGGCCATCTTGGGCACGCCATGCAGTGTTCGGTTCTCCTGGAGATTCCATTGCAGGGAGGCGGTGAGTGCCTCCAGTGGGGACCGGGAAACCTCCACCGATCCATGGGGGGTGGGGACACGGGGCTGCAGGCTGATTGTCATGCTGAGCTAGCTCCATGTCGAGGTGTGGGCTGCCATCCTCGTCACAAGGGCACTAGGCTGACTAGGCTGCATGTGCAGGCAATGTTAGAAGGCAGCGGAATGGCTTAAATTGTGTCTCCATTGATTCCCACTCTGTTTCTGGTAATCCCAAACTTGGGTAATACTTCAGGCAAGGTGATTATACACTAGAAAAGCTTATCTATGAGGCATATATACAGGAGCATTCCGAGTGCAAGTCTGGCCATCTGCCAGGCCCCGTCCCGACACACAATTCTTTTATGCTATGTTGATAAGAAACTGTGTACATGCAGAACTGCGTGTACATTCTTCAAGGCCATTCTTTCCTGAGAATTCAAATTTAAGTTTCGATGTCTCGTGAAAGAGAAAGCCACCTGTTCGTTTTTTGGTTTTTTTAACTTTTTCTCCTGGTACTAGTTGATACAAGTGCATTGACATATGATTATAGAGACTGGGTACAAAATTAAGACTAAATTACATTGTCTTCCATCAGTGACCAGCCAGTTCCCTGTCCTGCTATGATCATCCTCACAGGAGACTGAAAAAACTTATTTGTTCTGGCCATGAAGTGATCAGCACTGACCGCTGTAACGCCTCATAATTTATAGCGATCTTGTTCCCCTAAAACTAACGCTTTCACATTTCATCATTCTTCAAGCCAGTCGAGGCTTGTCCTTCGAGACTGGTGTGGCGACACCCCCTCCAGCTTATGTTTCAAAAGAAGAAAATTAAATATGTCATGCCCACCAGACCGCCAGAAGGTATCGGCTGAAGTGAACTTGTCATAAATTGGGTCTTCTCCAGCCTTCATAATGCGGATTCTAGCCAGAAATGCCTTCAATTAATATCTCAAGCTTAAAGGACCACTATAGTGCCAGGAAAACATACTCGTTTTCCTGGCACTATCGTGCCCTGAGGGTGCCCCCACCCTCAGGGTCCCCCTCCTGCCCGACTCTGGAAGGGGGAAAGGGGTAAAAACTTACCTTTTTCCAGCGCTGGGCGGGGAGCTCTCCTCCTTCGATCCTCCTCTTCTCCTCCCATGTGGCTGAATGCGCACGTGCGGCAAGAGCTGCGCGCGCATTCAGCCGGTCACATAGGAAAGCATTCATAATGCTTTCCTATGGACGCTGGCGTGCTCTCACTGTGAAAATCACAGTGAGAAGCACACAAGCGCCTCTAGTGGCTGTCAATGAGACAGCCAATAGAGGAAATAGGGGGAAGGCTTAACCCATTCATAAACATAGCAGTTTCTCTGAAACTGCTATGTTTATGAAAAAATGGGTTCACCCTAGCTGGACCAGGCACCCAGACCACTTCATTAAGCTGAAGTGGTCCTTTAACCATGCCTTTCAACTCTACTAGGGGCATTACTACTCACTCACCTGTCGTGGGTGTCTTGGGGTGTTCACATATTACTTGTTTCTTTTTTATCGAGATATAAGTCTAATGGGTTTTCCATCTCTACCCTCAATGGTTATACCTCGCTGGCAAGTTGTATTTACCCTGATACGGTACAATCTCACCTGCACTCACCTGGTCTAGCTAACTAAGCCTCCTTTATTTTTAATCTAGTCTGTCTATGTCCCACATATATGATGCTCAATAGTTAGACATGCTCATCCAACACGTACTTGCAGTTGAATATTCATCTCTGATATAGCTACTCCTTATACCCCTTATGTCCAGATGGTCTATTTAGTTTTGAACTTCTCATGGCCATGTAAGCGTTATATATTTGTTAACTTGTGCACTTGGAAATGCTATTGTGGCCTTGCAAGGCTTTATGTACTACTATGCATGCAAAAATAAAGAATGTATTAAAAAAAAAAAATTTAAATGTCATGCTCCCAGATCATAATTCATGGTTGTTTGTAAAATATTGTCAATTATTATGGTGTGTGTGTAGTGGATGTATGGAATGGTTACCCCGTAGAAGTGGTATGATTGATTACAGCATGTAATATAAACACATTTAGGTATTATTTACATTGTATACAAGAGTTTGAGTCAGGTGTGTCGTAAGATTAATAATCGCAGAGCATGGAGATATACCCATTGTAAAGCGCTGCGGAATTTGATGGCGCTATATAAATAATAACATAATAATCATATATATATATATATATATATATAACTGGAGGCTGTAAATATTTTAATCTCACCCCCACATTCGTCAACGAGGAGGAAGCGTTGGGATCGAAGGTTTCTCACACAATGGTCTATTTTCTGTCTTTCTTATTTACTAATAAATTATATTTAAGCTTTATTTGCAAATTGATAGAAACCTCAAGGGAACATCACCATTGTGCCTTTAAAAAGTTAACCTCTATAGAAAGACAGATCTAGGTAGGATAACATGCCCGAACAGTTAGAATGTACACAGTTGAATAGTTGATGGATGTTTTAGTCTAATGATTTTTCAGAATACAATTTGATATGCTTTGTAGGTTCGCAGCGGAAAATTCAGATACGTCACTATGATGGATGATTTCTAACTTCTCATGGGGAGTTGTTTCATGTTAAAACATACCTTTCATTTGATAAGTTTATCTGGTTTTGGCCCAATGTCAATCTCATTCCAACCTTAAAATAATAAATGATGAAATAGAATTTCAGAAAACTATTCCGCTGCAGTAGATATTGGTGGAATAATTGTTTCACATACTGTAAATTATGGTTGGATGCCTATTGATCTCCTTGACATATCTCTATAGTTGTCCCTTCACTCCCTTTGGATCTAGTGCAGGGGTTCTCAACCCAGTCCTCAAGTACCCCCTACCAGTCCAGGATTTAGGGATTACACTGTTGTGTCTAAAGTGCTTGTCTCCTCTCCTCCACCTAAAAACACATTAGACACAGCAGGGTAATCCCTAAATCCTGGACAGTTCAGGGGTCCTTGAGGACTGGGTTGAGAACCCCCGACTTAGTGCTTTCCATGGAATTCCTTTACTAAAAATAACAAATAACAACTGAAAGAGTGGGTTATATTTTCTTCTCTTGTGTGCTGCAGCAAAAAAATTGTAGGAGTTCTGTAGCGGAATGGAGAAGCCAAACATACTTTAATTCCCTTTTGTTCAGCTGTCCATGTACTCCCATTTGTTTACCAAACCCCCTTGCTGTGTGGCCCCTTGTTTGCACTTCATAATCACCGACCACCCCTGTCTGTTAACCACAAATAGTTTTTGAGTTCAAGTTTTTTCCCTGTGTGGCCGCCATTCGTATATACGAAAGTACGTGTTCAAACAATTTCCGGCCGTTTTGTCTCCCGACTGCGGGCAGCGATACATGGTCGTCGATGGCGTGGAACTATTTTTGGATATGCGACTCCGCTGCCCATGCAACTTCCCGAACAGTTAGGAGAACAGTATTCGGGAGTCATAAACTACCGAACAGGGGAGCATTTAGTGTTCCGTGTGATAACCCCCGAAAGATGACCGGTCTTTGCCTTTTTTCTCTGGAACTGTTTTGGGGCATCACCTCATGGCCGACCAGTCAAAACTTCATTAGAATGGCGTTCCCGAACCAACAAAGGGATCTGAGTGATATTTCGGCAAAGTGTGCGCTCAGATCCAAGCTATTCGATGATTTGACTTTCATGGGGTTCTGAAGTTATTAAAATGTTTTTTTGGGCAATTCACTCTTTCTTATGACTCCACCCCCAGTGGTATTTTATTCTTGTTTTATGTCTCTGTTTTTGTTTTCTACTTTTCTATTAGCGTTAACATAATACTACTCATGGGCATAGTGCCCTCAATCTAGTTAAATTTATGCAACCCGTGCCTATACCTCAAAGTCTAGATAGTTAACCTTCTATGATCCAGCACTAGCACTGCGACTCCCTAGTTTGAATAATTACTATGAAATGTGCAGAATAAGCTCTACTGTCTTGTTTTCCCACTACATGTTTACAATTGTTTATGTCGCTTAATACTATGAAATGTTGTCATGTACCAACCATGCACAACAAAAATAAAGAATTATAAAAAAAAATGTTTTAAGTATTTTTGAAGTGTTTTAAAATATTGTATATTGTTCTGCACCTGAGATAATTAAGTTATAGCTTTTTCCTCATGCAATTATCTCTCAGGCACAGAGGATCCTGGGAAGAAAAGCCGAGAAACCCCATGCTAGGGGCAATGTATAAAATCTGTGTGTGGCAGGAATAAAACCAGTTGTACTACCAGAACTGTGTGTCATCCAGTTGCTGGGGAGGAGGTGGGCTATTTCTTTGGCATTTTTCTTGCTCCTGATTATACTCTTGCGGATCCAGCGGAGAAAGGTCCCTGCTAGGACCAGGGCTCCGCTACAAGTTCTTTTTGAACAAAATGACAGAGAAAGCAATTAAAATAAATATTTACAGGAAATTAAGGAGATTTCAGACCTGCCACTTTTTGACTGTGGAGGTGGTCATCTTGGAACTACAACACACTTTTCAGTGGCAGTTCCTTGTAAACAAAAATGAACATATAGTAACTCTTGTATATATACTGTGAGCGTAAAAGTGGAATTGTGGTTGATGGAAGATACATCAGGCCTGATTTGCTAAACAGCAACCTGAGAATTTTCAGTTAAATGCCCCAGGGAGAGATGTTAAAGTTTGCAATCTACATTGCTGATGTTCTGCAAAACATGGTATGGGTCCCTGGGGAGGAGCATTTGGAGAGCAGGGTGGGCCAATGCTCCAACAGCGCTAGTTGCTGTGTAACAGACCACAATTTAGATCTGACTTAAGAGTTAACTAATTGGCACTCACCTGTAGCTAGTCAATTAGTAGACAGGCCTTTAAAAGAAGAGGGCAGCCTGCTGCAGAGTGAGGGAAGAAAAGACAGTTAGGAGAGCTGAAGGAGAGAGAACGACAATTGTGTTTATTGCAAAGCCATTTTTTTTTTTGGAAAATTGGTAAGTGGGAAAGCCACCCAATTACAGATAGTAATTCCTGTCTAGTAAGAGCTCAAGTAAGAGCAAGGGATTTTGTTTGTTTATTATTTAAAGCACCTGTTTTTCTTATCAAATAAAAAGGAAAACCGAGCTGAATGTGTCCTGGACTTTGTATACCCTAGAAGGCTGTGGTTACCGCAAGATCTGTGACAATCCTACCTGTAAAAGAGGTGGTTTGTTACAATACAGACAATCTTTAAAATACCATATGATGGTGAACAGATAATTTCTGATGAATACCCCACTAAAAGGCTTGGAGGCAGTCAAAAAAAAGACAAAAATGGCAAAACCAGAAAGATAGAAAAGTTTATTCTAAGGATTAAATTGGACAGAGGTGGGAATTACGTCTGCCCGCTCCAATGACAAATATCTTCTGGAGCTGCTAAGGCCATAACCGGAACAACTGTCCACCTCCTCAGCCTTTCTTATAATCCACATCAACGAGGCAGTCACCATATTGGAAGAGTTGCTTTCAACAGCTGCAACAGTGCTTGTTTCAGGTCAATGTATGTTTACAGCCTAGACAAAGCAATGAAATAGTCCTGTCTGCCAAATGATTCACTGATATATAGAGCACAGTAAACAGCATGTTGACTCTCTCACCTTACAAAAAGGGGAATGTAATTGGATCTATTGGCAACTTGACAGCAATAGGCCCTATATAAAGTTTCTGTCATTTAAGATCGGGTAACATTGACCGTGTACGTGCACGTAGCTCTCTTCTCCTTGGACTCTCTGTAGGCATCGGTTGTGTAAAAAGGAAGACTTGAAAACGATCAACAAACAGTAACACAACATTCTGGAAAAAAAACATTGGGGAATAGTGTCAAAGACTCAGCATAGACATTATGGATATTAAAAGGTCTCTCAACATGCCCAGCACTCTTACATAAAGAACCAGACAATGCTGCAAAACCTTTAGACAGGTGAGTTCTACTTTTTCTATAAATATTGAAAATAATTTTATTATTGTTTCTTATTTTTTTTTATTTATTATTAACTAATAATTAAATGACATGGCACCAGTACTTTACAATAAGAGAGAAAAAAGTGATATGGGACATACGGGTGATGTTTGTAATATGAGCAAATTAAGGTTTTGAGTATCTAAAGGTATTGTTCCAAAAGTTACTTCACTGTTGTATATAAAGTTGCATTATAAGATTTTTTAAATTAGTTTTTTTACTTTTTTTACTTTTTTTTTATTATTACATTTTGCACCCCAACAGTTACTGTCAAATAGTTCTCGTTTGTGAATATGTTTGTGCCATTTTTAAGGTTGTTCTGTATAATAAGAATTGTGTTCTGTTAATTGGGGCAAAGATGTAAATGGGGCGGAGTCATTGTATGCTAGTGATGTACAAGTTTTTTCGATGGCTGAATGTGAAGTTGAGCTCCCGTTTATTATGTCATTGAGTAGGGGTGGAGCTTGCGTGCCACAAAGAACAAAATAAATAAATTGTGATGGCTTTTAAAGCAAGTTTGCAGCTTTCTAAGACCAGAAGCATTACAAAATATATGTTTTGGGGTCTACAATGTTCCTTTAGTACTTTTAATGATATCGCTTTTAAAAAGTTTTATATAAGCAGTGATGTTTATGGGACCCCAGCACAATGGACCAAAAGGGTAGATTTTAATCTGTTGTATATCTCCCACAATGCGTTGTCAGCTGGGGATCTACGATTTGCCCATCCTTGCATAGTTTAATTTGTGAGCAGTGAATGTGTGTTTAACCCCTTAAGGACCAAACTTCTGGAATAAAAGGGAATCATGACTTGTCATACATGTCATGTGTCCTTAAGGGGTTAAATGTGAGAATGTTTTTGTATGGAGTATGTGTGTGAATGTAGAAGTCTATTTGCAGTATTGGTATTTGAATGCAGCTGTGTGTTTTATCTGTAATGTTAAAACTTAAAATCAGGTGTAATTGTGTGTAGTGCGTTTGAATGCAAGGGTGTGTTTGTATGTAGTGTTGGTGTTTGAATGCATGTGTGTATTTGTGTGTAGTTTTGGTGTTTGAATGCAGGGGTGTGTTCTTATATAATGTGCGTTCGGCTCCGCTGTATAGTAGCCCTGCTACAGCATGAATGATGCTTGTGGCATTCACCTCTCACAGGAGCTAGGTGGCGGGGTGCAGAGTACAGTGTGGTCCTGACAGGTTTCAGCTCTGACCTCCACATTCTCAGCTGCATCACCGGTGTGCAGCAGTTGTGCGCCATACGCGGCACTCGCCTGGGCCTCCATCTCAGAACAATCCTGTGATGGTCGCATGGTCTAGGTCTCACCACATGGCGCCGATCCGCTGGCCAGAACCAGAAGACTTCACCAGAACACATAACAGGAGTGGTGAGTGAGCGAGCACTTGGCTTCGCCCAAAACTTGGCACAAGCCTGTCAAAATCCTGAAGAAACGTGGCTTCGTACTTAGGTGACTGTGTTAGGGGCTGTACACAGGAAGGCTGTGGTATGATGGCCATCTTGGGCAGTAAGGCCTCTACCTCACAGGTCGCTTGTGGTACAAAGCAGTCAAGAATAGACCTCGAGTGTTTGCCAGCGGGGACCGGGATAACCCCCACCTGTCCAGGACAGGGTGCAACAGAGGGTGCTTTCCAGACCCGGGTAGAGTGATCCCCCACTTCGGGTATGTCTTCAGGCCACAAAGATTGTGCTAACTGGAGTTGGGCAAAAGTGCACCCCATGCTTGACAGGGTACTCCGTTATAGCAGTATACAAGATTGCGCCATAAAGCAGACAGCTAATGTCTAGGATTAGGCTTAATAAGAAGTTTTCTCGGGGAGCTCCAGTCTAATGCGAACATCTTGGTTGGCTTTCAGCCCCCGTCCCTGTATTTATTTTTATATGCAAAGACACAAACATACAAAATCACAGTTGTTCCTGTCTTATTGCATAAATGTTCCATGCTCCTGCCTCCTGGAGATGGATGGAAGTCATATTCCCATGTTTTAAATGAGAGCTGTGTATTAATGTGTGGCTTGACTGCATGTATGTGATAGGAGGTGTGTATGAGTGTGTAGAGATGTATAATAGTAGCTGTCTGTGAGACTGTATTTGTAATTAGAGCTGTGTATTAATGTGTGGAGTGACTGCATGTGTGTGATAGGAGGTGTGTAGAGATGTATAATAGTAGCTGTCTGTGAGACTGTATTTGTAATTAGAGCTGTGTATTAATGTGTGGAGTGACTGCATGTGTGTGATAGGAGGTGTGGGTGAGCCTATGTCTGATGGGAGTTGTATATGAGTGTGTGGAGATGTATAATAGTAGCTGTCTGTGAGACTGTATTTGTAATTAGAGCTGTGTATTAATGTGTGGAGTGACTGCATGTGTGTGATAGGAGGTGTGTATGAGTGTGTGCAGATGTATAATAGTAGCTGTCTGTGAGACTGTATTTGTAATTAGAGCTGTGTATTAATGTGTGGAGTGACTGCATGTGTGTGATAGGAGGTGTGTATGAGTGTGTGGAGATGTATAATAGTAGCTGTCTGTGAGACTGTATTTGTAATTAGAGCTGTGTATTAATGTGTGGAGTGACTGCATGTGTGTGATAGGAGGTGTGTATGAGTGTGTGGAGATGTATAATAGTAGCTGTCTGTGAGACTGTATTTGTAATTAGAGCTGTGTATTAATGTGTGGAGTGACTGCATGTGTGTGATAGGAGGTGTGGGTGAGCCTATGTCTGATGGGAGTTGTATATGAGTGTGTGGAGATGTATAATAGTAGCTGTCTGTGAGACTGTATTTGTAATTAGAGCTGTGTATTAATGTGTGGAGTGATAGGAGGTGTGTATGAGTGTGTGGAGATGTATAATAGTAGCTGTCTGTGAGACTGTATTTGTAATTAGAGCTGTGTATTAATGTGTGGAGTGACTGCATGTGTGTGATAGGAGGTGTGTATGAGTGTGTGGAGATGTATAATAGTAGCTGTCTGTGAGACTGTATTTGTAATTAGAGCTGTGTATTAATGTGTGGAGTGACTGCATGTGTGTGATAGGAGGTGTGTATGAGTGTGTGGAGATGTATAATAGTAGCTGTCTGTGAGACTGTATTTGTAATTAGAGCTGTGTATTAATGTGTGGAGTGACTGCATGTGTGTGATAGGAGGTGTGTATGAGTGTGTGGAGATGTATAATAGTAGCTGTCTGTGAGACTGTCTGTATTTGTAATTAGAGCTGTGTGTGGAGGGATTGCATGTATGTGATAGGTGGTGTCTGTGTTGCCCTGAAGGCTAGATCTGAAAGTTAGTGATGGTCTAAAAACACTATGAAAAATTAGTCATGTGTGAAAAAGTAAATCAGAATGTTCGATCTAATCTTCCTTCACTCCAAGCACCATAACCACTACAGCTTACTGTAATATGGTGCCGGAAGAGCACTGGCACCACAACACTCTAAGCAACACTCAAGTTTTTTGACTTCCTCTCCTGCAGTGTGGAACTTTGGCTAAGCATTGACTGATGCTCTCAGCCCATGAGCTCTGGAGAGTTAATGGAAGCCCCTGATTAGGAGCTTCACTCTCTCTTTCGTTAGTAGTGGAGGTGAGAACCTGAAAGACCCCATGCAAGACAACACACGCTGTCCTAAAATAGTTTGATTACTTACAAAGGGGGCAAGCGTGCCTGGCACCATAACCACTACAGCAAGCACGAAGTGTTCTTTTAAGAACTGAAGTCAATGTTAGAAAAATATTGAGCCACTGTGATAATGAATGCAAATCTGCACTGTGCATTTCATTTGCACAAAATTACGTGTTTAACAAACACATCGCTGTGTATTTTTAACGTGAGGACAATAGGACAATAAATGATAACAATAATACAATTACAATGTAATAGAAAATCATAGTAATTCCTATAATGTTTGGCAAAGAAACAAAAAAAGTGTTAAGCATTATGGGATATATGGGAACTGGAGAATTAATTATTGCTACTCCTTGCTTTTAACAAATCGAATAGTGTGGCAAGAATATTGCACAACCATAACATGGCATTCAAGTGCGTGACTCATGGAAGCAAAACAGGGAAGGAATTTTCAATTAACAAAACAAAGCAAAGCCTCTTATTTTCCCCCCTTTTGTTCAATGTGTCTAGGGGATTGATTATGAATTGTGCAAAAAAAAAAAAAAAAAAGCTTAGTTTTTTTTAATGGGAGTCGCTTAACGATTGCATGCATTCTGATCTGGAATTTCCAAACATTTGTCGGACATTCACAGTTTCTTCAGTTACGTTTATTTAGGATTAATTCTAACGCCAGGAAACTCCTGTGTAGATTTGATCATTATTTAAAATATTGCAGTTTCCTGGAAGAATTTTCTTTGGCAGCAGGTAGCCTGGTATTGTGGAGACAAACAAAAAATAATGACAATTTCGAAGCAATAATGTAAATGCTCCTATTATTACTCTGACAAACGGTGTGCCGTTATGTTCCTATAACTTTCATTTCATTTTAATGTTGGGTGACTATAAAAGAATTGCCACTTGTCAAGATATTTGTGCAATTATTATATTTCTAATACTGTCTGTGTAATGTTCTGAAAATTCTATGGAATACACCAAGCACCATAATCACCACAACGTAAGGAATTTTTCATATGCGCTAGGTAGAGGTCCCTACAAATGTACCTTTTATTTCCTTTGTGTTTTTTTTTTTTTCTCTTGATCTGCTAAGCGTAAACTCTACTCACCTACCATTGACATCATATGGGGATAGGGGATGTCTAACTTCCCCATAAAGCCATGCTGCTCACACGACTGAAATCCGTCTCTGTCATTGGCAGGCGTTGGGAGTTGGCACATAATGCAACCTTTTGGCCAGCTTAGGTCAATGTGCTTTCAGCGGAGCATTGAACAGTGCCATATGTGCACAGATGTTGAAGGAGACAGACTTGAACCAGTTGTGCCCGCTAGTGCTGTACAAGTATTTTCGTAAACAGAATCAATAACATTCTAAACTGTACAAACACCTTTTTAATTGTGTTACATTTAGTTTGTTTATAAAAAGAGCTAGGATAGATCAACATTAGACTTGTGTACGGCGAAAAAATTTGGTTAAGCCAAACTATTTTTTCCAAAAATAAAAGTTTCCAGAAAGCAAATAAGGCGAACAAGAGGCAATGAAAATGGGCCAATCAGTTTACAAAAAAAAATACATACATAATATAATTTTATGTATTTTTTTTGCAGAATCCTGTTAGGAGCATTTCCCACCATTTGGTCCCTAGATTGAGTGTGATATGTAGTCGGAAAATAAAAATCTAAATTTATGTATTATATATTTATTAAATATACAATATAGAAATAATTTTACATCTCCTCCTTTTTCGCTCTGTTGGTCACTTCACACGTAATCTTTCAATAAAGTGACTTTCCTCTAGCCATCAATCGTTTTTGTTTTTTCCTTGCAACCTTTCATGCTTACCCATTCAGGAACTTCCCGGTGCAGCGGCGGTTCAGACGCTGCACACTCTGCGTGCACGTGTATTTGTATGAAGTCGCGCATTTCGGTTCGCACGAACAGAGGCTCCCGACTTTGGTATTTGGCCGAACTCGGGTCTTTAGGCGTGCTAAAGCCATGCTGACCAATAATATTGGTTCCCTGGCTATATAAGCCAGGGCTTTTATTTACCCAAGAGTACGCTTTATATTTATTTGAATTTACTGTTACTGACGTTGGCTTGTTTAATTGTCTCTCCGCTTTCTGTGTTCCTGACCTTGGCTTGTCTTCCCGTTTATTCTCTTCTCCCCTATGTTTGACCTTGACTTTCTCTTTGACGTCTCTTTACATTAAATCCGACCATTATAAGGCCCGTTAATACATTATTCCATTCCTTCAGCAGATTAGGGTCTGTGTGTGTTGGGTTCTTCTCTCTAGCCGTGACACAACCATATCTTTTTATTTTGGCACCACTGGTGGAATTCACGACCTTGAATCAAAACGAACATGCTTAGCCGTTGTATTTCTTGGCTGGTTTGTGACTGCTACATTTTGGTTCGGAATTTGGGAATTCGAGTGATCTTCCAATCGGCTCAAATTCAGAGAAATTGCAGTTTGGACTAAATCGAACATCCAACTCTAGATGATTATTATTTAAATCTCCAACTAGCTGCAAAACAGGGAATACAATTGCTTGGATTTGTCATACTTGTACCTTTTAAATGTACGTTGCTTGTCCGCTACATAAGCGATTGACTTAGTTTCATAAGGAATCGATATAGGGGACCCTAACTATATCCACTGTACAGATTTGACCTTACAATTTATCTCTTGCTGTAGCTAGAAGCACTCATCCCCTAGTCTGGTCTGAGGGTACATGAGGTCTGAGTACAACTGAGAAAATACACTTATATTGAACTGCTCTGCTGCGATAAGAGTATTTTTAAAGTTTGCTTCTATCAAAGAAGCAAAGGTCACTGTAGGCACTAGTCTATATAAGAATTATAAAATAGCAAATACAAAATCTGATTCACCATCTTCCTAAACAAATACACTCAAACAGACTGTAGAATAATCATAATATGTCCTTTGAGTTATTAATTAACAGCATGGCAAATAGAAAATCAGATCTACCTCTTCTTACACAAATTCACTCAGATATGTTAAATTCACAAGGAGCTGCCGATAGAATGCATGTCTCCAATCCAACCATGGAAATGGAAAAGAAAAGTCTAGCGTTCTCTCTCCATGTGTTCATATATAAATAAGTCGAAAACTTTAAGAGTCTACCCATTAAATGAGAATAGGCCGAGAAACACAATGCTTTCTGTTAATGCTTCGATAATGATGTTCAATGGGTTATTAATTACGTTAGGCGTAAATGTCGCATTCCACAAATGGTTGTGGTTTACGCATCTCCGTTACTGTGTGTCAGAACCACAGAAGGTATATGGGCGTTCAAAGTTATGGATTAATTATGCTGCTGTCGTATCAGAATCTGTCAGTAATTTGTAATATATACGGTTAAGGGAAAAAAACAATGAGCAAAACCACTGATATTTCCTGCACTCTGAAACTTTTCAATGTTCCTGTTAAACATTAACGCTTCTCTTTAATAAAAATGTTAAAAAGATAATACCTCTTGATGTTCCAAAATCTCGATTTCAATCTGATGTAGCCCTTCCATGGTGCATGTTAACCTTAATTATATTATTTGGTCTAGCTATCAAGCGGCAAGATTTACAGGGTTTTTCCTTATACTGTGAATTGTAGACAGTTCTCCATGACCTGTAAACTGTAGGTCAAGAAAGCCATTCTCCAAGTAAACTATGTTTCCTTATCGGGTGTTTTGACTTTGAATTGGAATTTTTTTTAGTTTGTTCTTGATTATTATTAATATTATGTTATTTTTTATATAGCGCCATCAAATTCTGTAGTGCTTTACAATGGGTGGACGAACAGACATGTAGTTGTAACCAGACAAGTTGGACACACCGGAACAGAGGGGTTGAGGGCCCTGCTCAATGAGCTTACATGCTAGAGGGAGTGGGGTAAAATTACACAAAAAGGTAAGGATAGTAGAAGTTCTACACAACTTCAGTCCATTAACAGCAGTAACAAGACTGCGCACACTTTCAAAAATTAATTAAAGCCACTAGTCTTACCCCAACCAGACTACTAGACTTGTGCTATTCATTTAGGACAGAATCGAATTTTGTCCGATTCAGCACTTTGTACACGTCTGAATTTCCAACAGTGAAACAAAAACAAATGGATCCGTAACAAATTGAATTGATTTATTTCAGATCCATTTGTTTTAATCAGCATAACAAATTAAGGAGCTGTCTACGAAACATCTGGAAGATCAAAATTAAGACATAGGACTTCTCTTCGTTTTGATCTTTAACAGTTTAACAGATAACATCCTTAATTGGTACTTTGTGACTGCCACATTCTTTTAGTCAATAAATAGAAATAATTACAGTCTGAATTTTGGAAATGAATAAAGTTTGGATAAAATTTAGTTTCGACCGAATCAATATTTTCCGAATTTTGGACAACATGCAAATGCATAAATGAACAAATCGAAACTAAACAAAATAAAATTTCCCCCCACCCCTGTGCACAACTCTACAGACTACTACTCCCTGTGCCCCTTTGACTGTTCCCTGCTACAGCTCATCACCAAGTCCAGAGGGTTGCATAGTCTTATAAGCTAGACAACTGTTGCAATTTTATCTTCCAGATCTTTTTAAATCCAAGGTCCATGGTAGTTTGGGGCAGGTGGAGCTAGGACCCGCTTCTTCTTCCTTACCCTATACCAGTGATTCCCAATTGGTGTTCGGCACAACCCTAGGGTTCCGCGAGAACAAAATTGGGGATCCGCAGTGACTTGCCCATTGATGAAGAAGGACCTGGTCAACGCCGCTGCCAATTACTTGCGCGACCAGGTCCCTGTAGTATGGGATGCTGGGAGGAAGTGATGGAGGACCATTTCCTACCAGCTTCATGTGGAAAACGCCGTGCTGGAGGAAGAGAGGCAGCAGCTTGCAAGTGTTTGTGTGGGGCAGTTTTAATAAATTAACAGTAAGTCTAGTAATTTTTTAAGTGGTTCCCAGAGAGCGTATTAACATGTACCAAAGGTAGCAGTGCTTGTTATAAATGTTATTGTTGTGTAACACCTGTCTAGCCTCATTGATCATTTTCTTACAGTTCATTTAGTAGCTTGCTCAGCAATCTTCAATCTGCTTACTATCTGTAGAAATAATTGTGTATATATACCAAAAAACTAAATTTGCGAAAAAAAGAAAACATTACACTCTGCTAATTCAAACCAAACTACATCTCCCTCATAAGGAGTTTCTCTTATCTTATCTAAGAATTTCTTGAACTCATCTTTGATGAAGTCCACTTTAGAAAGTAATTCTTCTTTTCAGAATATCTTTAATTATATGAAAGTTAATAAAGTTCCTTCAAAGGCCACCAATTTGATTCATATTTCTGACCAATATCCACTAAATAAGATTAATCGATGGAAAAAAGAACTAGATATTGATATCACGATAATGAATGGTGTTCTACTCTTATAGACATTCATACAAATATATCCATTGTTTGAATCGTATAGAATGTCAGTATAAGCTTATGAACAGATGGTATCTGACACCAGACAGGATAAGTAAGATGTATCCCGGTCAACTCCCTCATTGTTGGCGATGTGGATGTCTGGATGGGTCTCTCATCCATATGTGGTGGTACTGTAAATTAGTAAAATGTTTATGGAGTTGGGCCTTCGAAATTCTTAAATCTTTCAATATCCTAATTAAAAAAGGGCCTGACACAGCTTTATTACATTTAAAATGGAATTTAACCTCTTCTTTATCTAAAGGTCTTGTAACTCATTGCTTTCCATCTGCTAAGATTGTAATTGCAAGACAGTGGAAGTCTTATTTACCATTCCAAAAAAGACAGTTTATGGATCAACTATTATTTCAGCTCCGTATGGAAAAATATGTCTTGGCTTCATCTCCCTATACCATAAATAAACAGCATTATATTAAATGGATCCAGACGTTACAAAAACATCTGATTAGATTGTCTTTTTTGGAGATGGGTATTAGAAAATGTCTAAGCAGTAGACATTGCTTACCTAGATTTCAGTAAGGCTTTTGACACTGTTGCACATAGAAGGCTTATCAATAAACAGCAAGCTTTAAGTTTGGATTCCAATATTGTTGAATGGGTAAGGCAGTGGCTGAGTGACAGGCAACAGAGGGTTATAGTTAATGGAATATATTCGAAGCTTGGACTTGTCACCAGTGGGGTACCTCAGGGATCTGTACTTGGACCCATGCTCTTTAATATTTTTATTAGTGATATTGCAGAAGGTCTTGATGGTAAGGCATGTCTTTTTGCTGATGATACTAAGATATGTAACAGGGTTGATGTTCCAGGAGGGATAGGCCAAATGGCAAATGATTTAGATAAACTAGAAAAATGGTCAGAATTGTGGCAACTGACATTTAATGTGGATAAGTGCAAGATAATGCATCTTGGACGTAAAAACCCAAGGGCAGAGTACAGAATATTTGATAGAGTTCTAACCTCAACATATGAGGAAAGGGATTTAGGGGTGATTATTTCTGATGACTTAAAGGTAGGCAGACAATGTAATAAAGCAGCAGGAAATGTTAGCAGAATGCTTGGTTGTATAGGGAGAGATATTAGCAGTAGAAAGAGGGAAGTGCTCATGCCATTATACAGAACACTGGTGAGACCTCACTTGGAGTATTGTACACAGTACTGGAGACCGTATCTTCAGAAGGATATTGATACCTTAGAGAGGGTTCAGAGAAGGGCTACTAAACTGGTTCATGGATTGCGGGATAAAACTTACCAGGAAAGGTTAAAGGATCTTAACATGTATAGCTTGGAGGAAAGACGAGACAGGGGGGATATGATAGAAACATTTAAATATATAAAGGAATCAACACAGTAAAGGAGGAGACTATATTTAAAAGAAGAAAAACTACCACAACAAGAGGACATAGTCTTAAATTAGAGGGACAAAGATTTAAAAATAATATCATGAAGTATTACTTTACTGAGCGGGTAGTGGATGCATGGAATAGCCTTCCAGCTGAAGTAGTAGAGGTTAACACAGTAAAGGAGTTTAAGCATTTGTGGGATAGGCATAAGGCTATCCTAACTATAAGATAAGGATAGAAATATCGGGCAGACATAGATGGGCCGAATGGTTCTTATCTGCCGTCACATTCTATGTTTCTAATATGTCTGGTAGACTATGTTCCTACTTATTAACTAGAGTAATTAATAGTATCATTAGTATTTTTATATTGACTTTGACCTGAGGTTACAATTTTTTGCAGCATAATACTGTATATGTTAAATAATAAATTGTTTTTATATTTGTATAGACTAATTGGAACTGTTTTCAAGTGTAATGTTATCCTTCCCTTTGTTATTTGTTGTAAATGATTACATGTAAATGATACTAAATGACAAATAAAGAAATAATATGAAAAAAATAAAATAAAAGGTTACTGTTATGGCGCAAAGATTTTTGGGGGGTTCCACGATGTTGGTACACTATGTTAAAGGGTTCCACTGGAATATTTAAATGGGAACCCCTGCCCTACACAATTGGTAAGGATTGAGTATTACACAGCTGTGCAGGGATTTTGGGAACAGAATGTGCATTTTTACACATTGCAGACACTTCTAGTACTCCTGCCTGCTTTTAAAACTCCACACCTGACTCTGTGCACTTGTCAGGTGTATGGAGTGTCCTAACACGCAAGTCTATGTCAGCACAGATGCATAGCAATGTATTGTTATGGGCAAATGCAAATATTACAAGTTTTAGAATGAAATGTATTTCTTAAACTGTGTACTTTGTCTTTAAGAGATATTGCAAACTGACAAGGTGTTAGAAATGGAACATATTGTTTTTCATAACTGTTTCTTTAAGCAATAACCTCAGTGCATAATATGTTTGCGCCATTTTGTCAAAGACAAATTACAATAACAATAATGCATAAACAAGCTTCAAGGCTATGCTACGACTCTTTCAGTACGTAATATACTGTGGTATCCTTAGTAAATAAGGATGTTAGGACTTTAAGATGCCATCTTGAACTAAGTCAGGAAATTTCCATGACGTATGCACCCTTTAGTTATGGCCTTGTATGTTTGCCAAGTTAAGGGAGGTCCTAAAATGAATAAAGTAAAATAAGTGTTTTTTCATATATGAACTACGGTGACCCTAAAATGAAGACACCTAAGGTATAAATAGGTGTACTTTTAAATGTTAAGACACAGAGGAGAGACTTGGAGACAGAAGCTGCTCCATCTTAAAATGACAGAGAGGCTGACATGATGACATGTTCAGAAGGGTATGTTAACCTATTAATGATATTTGCAAGCATGTAATTTAATCTTATAAACTCTGCTATAATGGATTTTATATGTCTATATTTATATTTTTATATAATAAATACCAAAAAGACAAAACTTTATTGCTTCCAAGATAACCTTTATTTTATATTGTATTCTCAATTATTTATATATGTTAAATAGAGGATCTCTTACACTAACTATATAAAATTATGGCTAAGATATCTGTATGGTTAGCCCTGCTAAGTTCTATACTTTAAGACGTTCTAGTGGTAAATAAGGGAACCAGCCGCGGTTACAATTGGCGACCATGAAGGGACATTGTACTTGGAAGCTTTAATTATAAAATAATAAATACCTAGGTAACCTCTTATACGTAAGAGAAGACACAATACTTTGTCATGGCACAAGTCTTGAAATATCAAGAATCTAATGAGCTATTTGTAGCCCAGACTCAGAGAGAGATATTCATCATTAGAGATGATTTTAATGTGAACTTGTACAAGGCACTTTGAGTTCAGGTGCCAGGTACGTTGTAATTAGCATACATTGCTGCAATTGTGGATCTTAATATCATAAGAGAACAAATATACATAGTTGGTAGACTCCCTAATATGCCTAATACACCAGCACAGCATGGTCCATTAGTTCCAGGACAGTGGATTGCAGACAGGGGGTATGTTCTCTTTGTAACTGCTTAGTATGCATGCGCAGGAAAAAGATGAATGCAAAATGTTGTCAAAAGAAAAGTGATAAGACAGAGCGATGAAATTTGAAGTCTAATTCCAAGAATGCAAAGAAAATTGCATTATGGCTTAATGAAAACATTCATGACACAGAAGCGACAGACAGACAGTCCACTATATAAGAAAAGTTTTATAAAACAGTGATAATTTCCATATTGTCAGTTACGCCAGCTGTTGATTGAAAATCAGGAATTATAACACCATAACTATTTTTGGAGCCTGGAGTTTCCAGCCAAGGTTGCGGAGATACAGAGACATGTAAACATTGCTTCCATTCCAAGGAATTGAGAAGTCGTTGTTTTATATTCCAAATTATGAACAACATTATTACATACAGCCATAAAGAGAAAGACGTGGCTTTTAAAAAAAAAAAAATAATTGCAGTACAATGCAGTACACTGCAGCATATATTTTATATACTATATGCTAACTAGCTCATATTTGTTTTCTAAACAGAGTTGAAATTATACTACCCTCCTAGAAAATCTGTTAATATCAAAAAATATAACAGAAAGGCAACAGGTGGTTATACATCCTTTGCTTCTCTAAATGCTCTGCAAAAATAAATAAATAAATAAAAAAAAAAAAAATATATATATTACCACAATATAAGCAGTCACAATATAAACAGCTTTTTGAAACAGATTTAAGTACAAGTACTTATGACAAGAAATATACAGAATCTGTTTATAACAGGCAGGTTTAGTATAAATCCAAAGTTGTTGTTTTTTGGGGATTTATTATTGCCCAAGAAATCTCTGAACATATTCAGAATATTTGAGAGCAGCAAGAATAGATAGCAGATTGCAATGGACACCATTACAATATTGCTTTGCCGATTGTGGTCAGAGTTTTAAAGAATAAATACATAAATGTTCTATAGCTCGCTAGACCACTGGCTTTTAATGAACAGTTGGCACAACACTTATAAAATAGTTTGTTATACTGCACATTATAGCTGTGACTATAATAATATACAGGGTAAAAATGCTATGTCACTGTTTAATAGACTTACCCTGTATCTAAGGAGACATGTTTCTTGCAAAGTAATCGAGACTTTGAGGGAGGTTCTAACTACATTTAATTAATTAATTTACTAAAGAAAAAAAAAAGAAAAAAGGTTGTTTTTTTTTTTCCCCCTGCAAGTGAATTTTCAGCGTAAGGTCATTTTGTGTTCAAAGACTATTCAGTGTTTTAAAAAAGCTGTTCTTTATCTCACATTATGAACAGCCTTGTAATTCCTATGCACACTAAAAGTTGGCTTCTAAATGTTATCGTTTTAACTTTAATATTTCATAGTTAATACAGATGATAAAGTAATTTAAAGAAAATAGATTGAAAGTATATTAAATGATAGGATTTCATTTATCTATTTTGGTCCACTGCTCACTGATCTCGAGTCTCAGTCTGGTGTTCAAACAGTTTTTCTTACGTGAGTTTATATCCACAACTGCATTTTGCTTTGTGATAACAAATTGAAAGCCTGGCATTGTAATACGTGTATGGGAATGCTTATAACAAAGCATGGTCCCTCTACTCACATAGTTGGTCATTAACAGGCACTTTGATGCAATGTGTCTACCAACGCTTTTCAGGCTATAGACACCAGAACAACTACATTAAGCTGTAGTGGTTCTGATGACTATAGTGTCTTTTTAAATTTAGAAATAAATTCACTAGTGCTCACATGACATCAGTATGTACCGTGTTACTGGTAATTTTTTTTTAGGAGTGAACAGAGAAATACACCAGTTTAGATGCCAAGTTCTAAAATAGACCAGGAATCCTGTGAGCACATAATACTGTGCTTTAGAGAGTTTGAAAATATTTGTCTTGCATTTCAAAGATTAATAGTATGTACATATTGTCAACATACGAGTGACGCATAGTATTGCATAATTCATTAGAACAGTCCCGTCTTTATTCTCTAATTTACAGCTATATCTTTATTGGATCAGACAATAAACGATACATCTAGCAGTAAAATGTTTAAGATAAAAGCGTGACCCAAATAGTTTTCAAAGAGCTTTTTATTTTATTTACTTTCTGCCTGTTTGAAGATAACATTAAATTCACAAAATTTCCCCTTTCCCGTACGTTATCTGAGCTGATGATGAAATTCGTCAGAGTGGGGATTATTTCACCTTAAGATTTATTATTAGTTCCATATTATTTTACAAAATACATCTAACAGGTGCTGTTGGTGAGGGTGTTTGTGGGCTGAAGCCCCAGATGTGGCATTCTTTAGACCCAGAATTTTACAGATAGTGAAAGGGACAGAGGGATATTAGCGTTATTTAAATTTATTTTACTCCGAGCTGGAGCCTGATATAAAAAGACCACTAGTATAGTGCTCCACAAGGCTGATTTGGTTGGTGACTTTTAGGAGAGGTTTGGGGAGAGGGGTACCTATAAATTCCCGAGGGGTCTGTAGATAGTGTTGATGAACTGTTTGATTTGTCTACAGTATGTTTGCTGCTTATGTTTAATCGAAAGTGTATACTCTAATTTGAAGGTACTTAAAGGGACTCAGTTTTAGGAATGGGGAGGGGGGGCAAACTGCAAAACAAATTATTTATCCAACCCGAACTCGCCTCAATGCTCTCGTTCTACCGGGCAGTGGTTTTACCACCAAACAAGTCATTTACTGCAATCCCCCTGAAATTTACTTTGAATTTCTAACAAGTTAAACTTTTTTAACAACCCTGACGATGGTAATAGGCATTTTGGTTTTCAGCGACTATTTACCTCTGAAGTTCTTCCTTCAGAATGTTTTACAACACCGACCGAAAGGTTCTACTTCCAGAGTCAAATACGCCATTTTATCGCACACCCAGACATGAGAGTTTTCAGTTCTCGTTTTCCAGGAGGGAGAAAGGGGAAAGTACATGAGAAAGTGAAGCAGAAAAACCTTTATAATAGAACAGATTGCAAAAGAAGGTATCTTTAGGTAGGAATAGAGAAGCAGCAGGTCAGATTCATTAAAAAAAATTCTTCCACAAAAAGACCGTCCTGAGAAAGAGAGTGGACAGCTAAAGGCTCTAAGTTAAGATTCAGAAAATTTAAAGGAACACACCACTGCCCAGATACAAAAAAAACAAAATATAAAAATAACTGTTTAGTACAGGGGTTCCAAACTAAATTTTCCCGTGGAACCCTTTGACATAGTGTATCAACATCATGGAACCCCCCACATTTTTTTTTTTTGGTACGTGCTGGTGTGTTAAGGTGTGTATATCTGTGCTTGTATGTGCCAGTTGTATATCTGACACACAGATACACATTGACACACACACCTTGACACACAGTGTGTATCTGTGTGTGTGTGTATCTGTGTGTGTGTTTGTGTTTGTATGTGTCTATGTATCAAGGTGTGTGTATCTGTGTTTGTATGTGCCAGTGTGTATGAATCTGACATTGAGATACACACACTGGCAGATAGTGGCAAACAGATACACACACACTGACACAGATACACACACCTTGACACACGGTGTGTATCTGCGTGTATGTATGTATCTATCTGTGTGTCAAAGTGTATGTAACTGTGTTTGTATGTGTCTGTGTATCAAGGTGTGTATCTGTGTTTGTATGTGCCAGTGTGTGTGGATCTGACACACAGATTTGCACACTCGCAGATAGTGGCACACAGATACACACACTGACACACAGATACACACACCTTGACACACAGTGTGTATCTGTGTGTGTCTGTGTATATATCTGTGTCAAAGTGTGTGTGTGTGTGTGTTTGTATGTGTCTGTGTATCAAGGTGTGTGTATCTGTGTTTGTATGTGCCAGTGTGTATGAATCTAACATTCAGATACACACACTAGCAGATAGTGACACACAGATTCACACACCTTGATACACAGTGTGTATATGTGTGTGTATATATAAATCTGTGTGTCAAGGTGTGTGTATCTATGTTTCAAAGTGTGTATATCTGTGTTTGTATGCGCCAGTGTGTGTATCTGTGTCAGTGTGACACACAGATACACACACACACACACACACACACACACACACTGACACACAGATACACACACACTGGCACACAGATACACACTGACACACACCTTGACACACAGATACACACTGACACACACACACACTTGCACCCACGGATACACACTGGCACATACACACACTGACACACTCAGGTGCACGCATACAGGCACATACAAACACACTGATACATACTGGAACATACACACACTTAGATACACACAGTGACACACATACACACACAGACACATACTTTTTGACACACACATACACTCTCACTGACAAACACACACACACTCTTTGACAAACACACATACACTCTCACTGACAAACACACATACTCTTTGACAGACACACCCTGCGGTCCAATGGGGCTGCTGAGCAGCTGGCGTGCGGGCGGCGAGGGAGCAGTGATCTCCCTGCTCAGCTCCTTCGTGCGCCTTTTAGTGATGCCGGAGTGATGTCATATTCCGGCTCCAGAATCACTGCTGTGCGCGAGGGAGCTGAGCAGGGAGATCACTGCTCCCTCGCCGCCCACACGCCAGCTGCTCAGCAGCCCCACTGGACCCCGGGGACTGCTCGCCAGCAGCCCCACTGGACCACAGAGTCTGTCTGTTAAAGAGTATGTGTGTGTCTGTCAAAGAGTGTGTGTGTGTTTGTCAGTTAATTTATAATAGTGCCAATTTCTATTAAAAGCTGCACTTTTTGTAAATTGAAAAAGAGAAGCATGCTAAAGTTCTTTAGGTGTTTTTTTCGAGGGATCCTTTAAATGGAGGTGTCTAGAAAGTGCAGGCTAGTGTTATATAGTGTGTAAATATTGCACAGGCAGAAGAAACTGTGCACCTCTAAGTTCTAAAACAGCAGCGAGCAAAGAGGTTGGATTTTCACTAAATCTAAAGTGTGAATTGTTGGGAATTCAAAGTGCATTTCAAATTTGAAGTCAAATTAGCGAAAGAAAAAATGTATTTCTCAGTTGGAGAATGTTCGCGATTTAGCTATCATTGCCTAAAATGTGAAAATGACTTTGAATTTACTGTGAATTCCCTAAAAATCATGCGTTAAAGAATAACCCTGTGACAGTTATATATGCCCATTACTTTGCAGCTGTCTGTGATGAGAAAATAAGGCCCAAAGTCCACTTCAGCGTATACTGTATCCCATATCGGTATCTTATTCCGAACAACTAGAACCCTGTCCGTAAGTAAAAGCAGTTTATCTGAGATCTGTGAGATACTTATTGAAGGCTGGTCTTCTAAGATTTCATGGGTCTCATCTGTTTTCACTTAAATATAAGTCATTGCTATGGAATTTTGCCGCACAGGGAAATTCCCTCTACTAGTCCAGGCAAAACCACATTATCCAAAACATCAAATCATTAAATGACAGTCTCTGGGGGCTGTTTGTAAAAGTGAAACCGAAAGTGCAGCATAATCAGAGTGCATAAATTAAATGACAGCTGAGATGGACAGACAGCAAGGGATTTATTCACTAAACACCAAATTTTGAATGGATAAAATTCTGTGAAAATTACTGGATTCTAAGTGAACTGGCTATTCACGGATTTACTAATTTTTGCAAGTGAAGCTATTAAAGGCCGGACTATTTGTATGCAGGAGAGATAATAGTTTGGATATTTAAAATTCGGGCCTGCATTTTTAGTAGGGAAGGGTGGTGGTATCTGAGACATGGGCTTCCTTACTTTAGTGTCTAATTAATTCATCAGAGATAAATTGTCAGAGCGATTGCAAAAAAGTGATTATATGCAGAATTTTGTGGATTATTTAACTGTTTAGTGTCCTGTTGCAACCCTCATTTAGGATTATACAGTGTAAAATTTTAAAGTAACAATTTTGTTAATTAAAAAGCTGCTGTCATCTGTTTTGCTTGTTTTGATAAACATTGCTTGGAGAAAACTACACAGACAGGGTTGATACCTTTGCTATATAGACATATTAGCTCTATCTCCTGTTAATGGGGTAGACTTAGATATGTGGAACAATAGGAAGTGACCTGGGAGAGGAGATAGAGGGAGAGGACTGAGAGAAGATCTGGAGGTTTGCTCCAAAACCTCTGAGTGTGTGAGAGGAACAATTGTATAAATTGTTTTTCCGGTGGTACATTTATAATTTTATTTATATAGCGCCATCAAATTCTGTAGCGATGTACAATGGGTGGACTAACAGACATGTAATTGTAACCAGACAACTGGACATACAGGCACAGAGAGGTGGAGGGCCCTGCTCAATGAGCTTACATGCTAGAGGGAGTGGGGTATAGTGACACAAAAGGGTAAAAGTAGGGATACGAAGTCCGAATAGTTAGTATTGGTAAAGTCACTAGAGATGATTGTTTGCGGATGTGCTGTTTGTGCACATGTGATGGTGTTGCTGTGAGGTCAGTAGTTTTTGGAATGAAAGCTATTGGTTGGTAGCCAACATCTTTCATAGACCACTAACCCTGGATCAGTGGGTCTGAACCTTCATAGCTCCTGACGCCCAGAAACAGAAGCTATTAAACAAAATGTCCCTTGCGGCTGGACAAGCCTTGGCTCAGTTCTAGAGGCAGATTGATGCTGCCCCATGACACAGGTCATTCTCAAACTGAAAGATACCTTCTTAATGGATACATTGACAGTGCAGGTTATGAACACATTGCCAGCTTTCCAGATGATTTAGCTCTCATTGGAGTCTTACCAGAGCCATCACAGAATCCTATCTCGGACTGGTTGCCTAGTGCTGACCAGTTCCCCGAGGCAAAACACTGTTTAAAAAAAATTAAAAAATGTACCTTCCCTTTTCATCTTAAAGAAGCAGACAAGAATTGCAATGTACAGTACAGTATTCAACAGTACACTGCCATTGTGAAGCTTTGTTGTAGTGCTGTGTGTCCTTAAAAAGTTTTTAAAAATAAAGCAGTTACATTGCAGTTAAGCAACAAGATTAGTTACATCACAGTGTTTAACTTCAACTGAAAATGTAATGTCTTTTTTACAAAAAAAATATGTATTTGGGGAAATGAGACACAAAAATGTAGGCAAAAACAATTGAGGTTTAAGCTTTAGATTACAAAAATATACTTGAATAATTCTTATTTCCCAGTCATTACTGACCTTTTTTTTTTTTTTTTTTAAATTTAGGAGTAAGCTTGGTGTAGTGATTCATCCCATAGCCCGACTATCGCAATATGTCACCCTTAACCAGAATTCCCACCGGAAAAATGTTCCAAAATCGTTTACAACCATAAGTGGTTGTACAGTACTATATCGCTTGCACCGTGCTTTGTAGTGATGTTCCAGTTCCAGATAAGAGAAATTCCATTCTATCAAAATACCGAAGCACCAATACAAGGCTCTGGGAAAAATTCTAAATATACTCCGCAGCTGACCACATTCCTCATGCCCTTACCCAATGCACATTCTATTTAGGAAATGTACTTTAGTGATAACCTACTGGTCCCACAGCAAGTTGCACGAGTTCCCTCTGAGACACGTAGCATTTTCAGAAGAATGAATCTTATAAGGCTCAAATACTGGGGTAAAATAATTCTGACGTGTTAATCAGTGAGATGACAACTCATAACCAGTTACAAGCTGTTATAACCTGTGGGCATCAGCAGGTATGTGAACCTTTATATTTGCAGTGACCATAAAAATATTGAATTTATCTGTTGGTGTTTCTAGAGATGTACTTAACCTCTTAAGGACACATGACGGAAATATTCCGTCATGATTCCCTTTTATTCCAGAATTGTGTCCTTAAGGGGTCACATCAATAACCCACGCGCTTTCCCAGGAAAAAAGATTCTCCCTTTCATCATCCACCTAAAGCTTAAAATGTAGACAAATGTAAAAGAAGCAGTCTAAGCCACATAAATACTTCCTCTTGATTGAGTGCTTACATTGCCAAAACTCTCGAGTATTTTTGTCAAACTGTTGACAATATGGGGCTATCCCTGGCACACAGAGGCCATCCCCTCTCCAGCCATCTTAATAATGTGAAATTGGGACAATTCAGAAAATCTGTAGGGCTCCCTAAACCAAACCCTACCCTAATCATACCCTAGCCCTACCTTAACCCTACCCTAACCCAACCCTAACTTAACCCTACCCTAACCTAACCCTATCCTAACCCTACCCCAACCCTACCTTAACCCTATCCTAAACCTTACACTACCCTAACTCTAACCCCTGTCATCATTCGCATAATTTTCCCTCCCTCTCTTTTTTTTTGCCAATCCGAAGCACTTCGGCACTTCCGAAATTCGGCACTTCGGCCATTCGGTTCGGTTAGTGATTGAACTTGACATTATATATGAGACTATTCAGAGCTGGTCCAGAGTCAAGGGTTACAGAGAAGCACAACGTTGAGGAGCAAGTTAAAGTCAGGGAGTACAGAGATCAAAACAAGAATAAACAGACTGATCTCTTGGGTAACAAAGACCATGATAGGACAAAGAGCAATACCAGTCATTGTCCTAAATGGTTCAGATACTGACAGCATTGGCCAGTATCAAATCTGACACCAAATATATGGAATGGCGTTGCTGCAATGACTTTTCGACTACATTACAGGTTGAAGGTTACAGAAAGCCAAATAAATTATTGATGCTAATAGGTGACAGGTGTGTCATTGCTGTGTGTGTGTGTGTGTACGTGTGCATTTTTAAGGTCCCTCTAAGCTAAATGTTAAGGAATTGTGCATGTGTATGTTTGTTAACCATTTTTCTAGATATATTAATTTGATGTATAGTAAATAGAGAACGTTGCCTGCACATGTCATTGGGTCAGAAGAGGTGTTCGTGCCGTTCATTCTGGTCATACACAAACAAGTTTTGGTCATTTGTTAGAAAGGTGTGTCCATGACCTTTGAGATGATACATTTGTAATCAATAAAGTTTTCAATAGCTCTGACAGTTTTAACCCCTTAAGGACCAAACTTCTGGAATAAAAGGGAATCATGACATGTCACACATGTCATGTGTCCTTAAGGGGTTAAAGGGCCTCAGTAATTTTAAAGTTTTAAAACTCCTCTATGGCGGAATCATGGTCCAGAAGCTTGAGTTCTCACCAATCTGATCCTGGTTAATAAAGTGCTGTTGGAAAATATAGGAATGTTGGGTATGTGATCTCGCCATTGCCATTAATAGCTTATCGTCAGCTGGTAATGTGTTGATAAATATTGTGTGATTGTAAATTCATGAATTTGTAGTGAACGTAAATGTGATTTTTTTTAAAATAAATTCTATGTCATTTTCTTTTTTTTTTTTATTCGTAGTGAGCGGTTTGTGGGGTACAGAATAGAAGAAGGGGAGGGGTGGGGAGGTCGAAATACATGTACTCATCACAGTGTTACATTGTGTTATTTACATTGCATTTTTAACATTTTCTTTCTTGACCTGATACAATTAAGTGTTAATGAAGATGTTTGCAAGCTTTGTTGAGTGCGGTCTGGGGTACGTAAAACAGATTTAATTCAGAAATTGCTCAGATATTGATTATTTCCCTGGACCCCAATTATCATAAGAAGTCAGGATTGGCTCTTCTTCTTGGTTTACCCAGACATTTAGAATTACCGAGATAATAAAATTCTGTTATTCTCCCCCATATGGCTGTTGGATTCAAGACACATGAAATTTAGTGGGCTCTCTAAGTTCCCCTAAAAACTTATAGCGAGAGGGGTTCCATGTCATATTTCATCCGATGTAAGGCAGGGTATAAAATGATATAACCAAGCAGGGGGACTGGTGGCCCCCCTTCTCCAATGTTTGGGATGGTTGAGCTTGTATAAGGAATTTACAGGTTCTCCCCCTAATTTGTCTAGCTTGACAGATTCAAGGGCAAGTAAATTATTAATAATTAGTTTAATCAATTTCAGTATTCTTTTTCTGCAGGCTAAAAATATACGTGCATAGCAAAAAAATGCAAATTGTGTTTTTTTTTGTTTTTGTTTTTTGTTATATTTTTCAATTTATTTAGACTGCTGTTCAGATTTTATTAAATATCTATTTCCTGGAACTTCCCAATCCTTTGCACATGTTGCGTAAGATCATTGTCCACACATGCTGGATGTTTTTACCTGTATATGCAAACAAAAAAACAAAATAAATCTGAGAGGGTGTGGACTATGAAAGCTAGCTAATCCAGTGCAATGGAGTACAGATTGAGTAAATTACCTGTGGTTGAGAAAATTATAGCTGGTTAAAGAAATATCTGTAAATAACCATCACATAACCGGTGCTATTTTGTTTAAGGCACGAGATATCTTGCCAACATGTGACAAAGTTTCATGTGTTCTTATTCTTCATTGTTCAACGCAGCAAATTATTTACCATCAGGTGACAGAACCACTTGTGTTTGCCATCTGTCATATTGCCAGCCAGAAGTCATATGCCATCACAGCCTGGTTTAACCTGATTCTGCATGATTTCTTTATTTGTTGCTCTTTAATAATCATGATTTTCTGCTAAATCAATGAGTAAACATTCCTCCCAAAATATTAACCAGGGGTTGCCAAGCTTTGACGCACCAGATTTTGTGAACTACATCACCCATCATGAGGAGATGCAGTCCACAAAATCTGGAGTGCCAAAGGTTGCCTACACCGATTTAGACAGAGTGGTCAGGCAGGCCAGAATGGTACATGTTGGTGAAGGGGTGCTCCTGCCCCAAAAATGGGCATATCAAACCAACACCGCCAGCCTCCCTCAGTGCAGTCCATGCATAGAGTTGAACGGCTCCCATATTGGCTCTGAGCTCAAGGTACTGGTAAAAGAATCATGCCATCTAGGTTAACAATGTTACCTAAATAAACATATTTCTTCTTAAAAGGACACTACAATCACTGGATCAACTGCAGCTTAAAGGACCACTCTAGGCACCCAGACCACTTCAGCTTAATGAAGTGGTCTGGGTGCCAGGTCCAGCTAGGGTTAACCCATTTTTTATAAACATAGCAGTTTCAGAGAAACTGCTATGTTTATAAATGGGTTAATCCAGCCCTCAAATCCTCTAGTGGCTGTCTCATTGACAGCCGCTAGAGGCGCTTGCGTGATTCTCACTGTGAAAATCACAGTGGGAACACGCAAGCGTCCATAGGAAAGCATTGTAAATTGTAAATGCTTTCCTATGAGACCGGCTGAATGCGGATGCGCATTCAGCCGAAAGGGAGGAGAGGAGGAGGATCGGAGGCAGAGAGCTCCCCGCCCAGCGCTGGAGAAAGGTAAGTTTTAACCCCTTTCCTCTCCCCAGAGCCCGGCGGGAGGGGGACCCTGAGGGTGGGGGCACCCTCAGGGCACTATAGTGCCAGGAAAACGAGTATGTTTTCCTGGCACTATAGTGGTCCTTTAATGTACAGTATACAGCTTAGCCCCTTAAGGACCAAACTTCTGGAATAAAAGGGAATCATGACATGTCACACATGTCATGTGTCCTTAAGGGGTTAAAGGATCACTATAGTGTCAGGAAAACACACCCGTTTTCTTGACCCTATATAACCCTTAGGTCCCCCCCACCCTCAGGGCCCCCCTCCATTGGCTCTGAAGGGGTTAAAACCCCTTCAGTTACTTACTTTAATCCAGTAGCGGGCTCCCTCGGAGCTGGTGACCTCTCCTCCCCAGCCGTCAGCTCCCAACTGGAGCGGAATGCGCATGCACGGCAAGAGCCATGTGCGCATTCAAATAGTCCATAGGAAAGCATTTCTCAATGCTTTCCTATGGATGTTCTGCACGCTAAATGCGATTTTCGCATCCAGCGTCGCAGAAGCACCTCTAGCGGCTGTCAGGAAGACAGCCGCTAGAGGCTGGATTAACCCTGCTATGTAAACATAGTTTCTCTGAATCTGCTATGTTTACATCTGATGGGTTAAAACCTGGGGGACCTGGCACCTTGACCACTTAATTGAGCTGGAGTGGTCTGGGTGACTATAGTGTCCCTTTAATGTAGTTGTTATGGTGTATAGTTTATCCCTGCAGGCTTTTAAATGTAAACACTGGCTTAACAGAGAAAAAGCATTGTTTACATTGCTGCCTAGTTCCACCTGCCTAGTCACTCAGACAGCCAAATTTAAAGGGACACTATAGTCACCAGAACCACTACAACTTAATGTAATCGTTTTGGTGTCTTTAGCCTGTCCCTGCAGGCTGAGCACTGTAAACACTGCCTTTTTAGAGAAATTTGCTGTCTAGTTATAATTCTAGTGTCAGTCACTCAGACAGCCACTAGAGGAGCTTCCTAATCTAATGCTGCACAATGTGCAGCACTGACAATCAGCCTCTCCACGCTCTCTCACTACAACCGTTGTGGAATATGTGAATTTCCCTTTAACTGCACAAGTTCATAAAAAATATTCCACTAAGTGTAGCAGGGATTTTTTTTTAAACAGAGAAAAGATGGCATTTGCTTGCAATACATGGATGACAGCACTGCTCTTTGCAATGGCTTTAACCCCTTAAGGACCAAACTTCTGGAATAAAATGGAATCATTACATGTCACACGTCATGTGTCCTTAAGGGGTTAAACATTTGTTCCCGTCAGTTACTTGGGACTCTTTGCTAAACAGGTGACAACTGTCTTTCCAGAATTTAGTGTCGAACTCCCAAATTGGCAAAATTCTACAAATTGTTTAAATGTTTTAAGTCATCTGTGAATCGCCCCATCTTCCAGCGAAGTAGTTAATAACTCAGGGTTTCTTATCGCAGAGCGTGTCTATTCTAGTAAATTAAACGTAAAAAACACCCGGCATTCATAGATTAAAATAAATATAAGTTTCACTTTATAAACATGCTTGTTTACTATTTTTTAATTATGTGCTTTACATTTTTATACCTTTCCCCCAGCCCCCCCAAAAAAAAGGGTGGTTCCCAACATATTAAATTTGCCATCAAAAAAAACATCCCTTTTTCTTTTTTTAGTCTGATCAAACAGACCATTTCCATGGCAGATGTGCAATAGTTGGATTTCCCCAAACCCGGAAATCTGCTCTGTTGAAACGTGATGAAACAGCCAGGCTGTGGAAAGTGAGGGGGGATTACTAGGCTGGAGGCTGGCTTAGTTAAATCATTAATGACATCACAGGCATTATAAAGCATGCATCTCGCTGCAGTATTCTCAGTAACTAATTTCAGCTTGCAACTCTTACATCTGTAACCTTTATCGGTAAGTAAAGCATGAGTTTAATTTTTTTTTATTTTTTTTATCTGAACAGTCATCAGCATAATGCTATACTGAGTAACAGTAACTCATTCAGATTAGTTGTCTGCACCAACTGACAATTAAAAAATACATAATACAATAATTACAATACGGCAAACGTGGAAAGCTAGACTTTATTAAAATTGGCTGAATGCACTGAAATATTTTTAATCATTGCTGTGAAATGTTTATATTTAGATTTTATGCAAACATGTAATGTAATGATTAACTACGGTGTGAAATTAAAATGTTATGTATTAAAATAATATGCAAAGATATATCTACTCACACTGTGTGTGTATATATATATATATATATTTTTTTTTTATTTTTTTATTTTTTTTTTTTTTCTTACTTCTTTATTTTTAATATTGGTGAGAAATGTGATCATTATGTCTAATATACCTTTAATGGAAAATATCACTTATTTACAATTTTCATATATTTCTGCCTTTATCTCTGGAAATGGTATCAACTTATATGTTATGACGTTGTATATATTTAAACGAGGCATAGCAGTAATGAGAGATTTATAATTAATTTGTTGAGATTTTCTATTTCAATGACGAAAGTTCTCACTGCGCATCTTGTATCTAAAGGGATGTAATGTGTCTGATGTTGGTGACATCTCACAGGGCTTAACCTGTCTTTGACAGTTTGCGTAGAATAGGAGTCTGGGCTTCATATGACCTGCCAGATATTTTTTATCTTTTGGTTGTTTTTGGTTTATTTTCTTCTACTTTCTTAATTTCATCTGCATATTGCCTTGGAAACTATATCGTGATGTATTTTATAGTCTATTAGTACGTTGCACCACAAAATGGGAAGCACTGTAAACAAATGGGGTTTTTTTTGTTTGTTTTTTTTATCAATTTACATTTCCACCTGGTACAAAGCCAATGAACAGTAAACCTGGCTACACCAGATTTCAACTGCTATCATGCTAAGGCAGCCACAATTACAGGGTGAACAATTTCTAGCACAAACATTTGTGTTATATGACCTATAAAGATGCCAGTTGGTCAAACATCTGTCTTATCTCTCCCCAGCAATTTGGGAGCAAAGTACTAAAAGTGGATGAATGAGTTTGGAAAACAGTGGAATGTTACTATTATTAGCTGCACTTACAGAATGTTGCCCCCAATAAACTGTCACTAAAGGTTTAGTGACATAAGAAGGGAGTCGTCGTTGTTTAGACCAAAGTAGCAGAGTTAGAATGAATCTACAAATTGGCTTAACTGGGATTTATTTTCATAAATCAACTGTTTTTTGCCCTGTATTTGCAAGTCGACAGTATATTCACTAAGCTCCAAATTGTAGCAAAACGATATCAGAATGGCAAAATCTAGGCAAAAAAAGCAGAAAAATTCTCAAACGTAGAACATACTCTCACATTGGCTATTTGAGCATAAATTTATGGATTTCATTTTGCTGTAATTTAGAATTTAGTGGATAAACCCCACATCGTTTGGATGAAATACTTGCAATGGCAGAGTAATGTGCGGCTGTAACTGTAACTTGTTGGAAATCATCTCGGGATTGCGAATGCAAAACAAGAATAGCACAGTTGGGAAACTGAATATTTACAAATTCATTTTGTCTGAATTTTACAATTCTCTTTTCATAGTTTAGTCAATAATCCCATCAGAGGGTACAAAGCGCTGAAACTTGCTTTTGAATGCGTTACCTGAAGGCATCACCTGTCAGATTGCAAGTTATAGGGAGTCGACTTACTCCTCCGGAAACACAGAGATTTCCATATATTCCGTAACACCCAACACATGTACAATGTGACTATGAGCCTGCTTTTCATACATTAACATATATTCTCTTCGAAGTCGTGAGGGCGATGTCTATCCATTCACACTCTCTTTTTTTAAATTTTTTTTTTAAAAGCGAGCAGGAATTCGCGTTTGTATTCTGTGGTTGTTTGCCAAATAATTTTGGAACGCTCCAGATTGAGCTAATACTTAGTGCGATGTTTGAGCATGTAAAAACTGGTTTTCTGAGTAAATGTGTCGCAATAGGTCATCTGTGTGCATGGCAAGATTGTGCCAAAAAATAGTTTTTAGGCATGGCCCATCATTACTTTATTATTAACATAGCTACTTTACTGGAGACACACATTGTTATCAGCATAAATGTGAAGAACATATAATTAATTGTTGGTCACTCTTCTTGCGTGCTATCGAGCAGTGATTGCTAAACTTGGTACTGCACATATCTGTAAACTACATTACCCATGATCCCCAGTCATCCATTCAGTTACTGCTTTTTTTTCTGCGTAACGCAATGCATAGCACTAAATGTCACTTGTTTTTTGTTTTTATTTAAAATAATTTTTTATTTTTTTTTATATCAGAATATATATCCATTTATGAAGAAAATACTAAGGACAATGTTGAAATCTGAAGGAAATTTTTCTGATCAAAACAAAGACGGCGTCCAAACGGCCAAAAAGAAAGGCGTATTTTGTAAGGGACCTTTAAAATACATCGGAAAGTACTTCTCCAAAAAAACAGACGACAAATCTACTAATATTAATGTCAAAAATGAAGACTTTAAAGGTAGGTGAAATGTACATGTACTGGATTCTAAGTATAATGTATTAGCTAGATTAGGTTTATGAAAGTCAGATATTCTTTAGTACAATTAATTCAAGTATTAGTCTCGTTTTGTAAACTAAAAACTGTACTAGAAATATTTCAGGGCAACTTTCTGTGTGATTCATTTCTTTGAAAAACGTTAGAATGTTTACGTTGATTGCTCGAGTTTTAGGATTCTGTTTAAAAAATATTTACATAAACTGCAAGTTGTTGCAACTGTTTGGTCTAAAATTGCAACACAGCTGTTACCTACTATACAACTCTGTGTGTTTGTTTGCATGTTTTCTGTAAAAGGCATTTAGAGCAGAACCTCATACTTGGCATTCTTCCCAAAATTATTCACATCCTTTCAATGTCAGAGAAGAATTCTGACAAAGACCCAGGTAAAAAAAAATACACCACAACATAATAATGATAATACATATATACGTACAAATATAACCATACTGAATACACCACAACATAATATAGATAATAGACATGTGCAATTTGTTTTGGTCCGAATGTAAATTTGGAAGAATTTCGGCAATTCGGACATTCGGATGTTTCCGAATGTCCAAATTTCCGAATTTCTGAAGTGTCGAACCGAACCAAAGTGCCGAATTGCTGAAATCCCTATTTTTGGAAGTACCGAACCGAACAAAATTTTTTGCCCATGCACATCCCTAATTGATAATACATATATACATACAAATATGACCATACTGAATATACCATAACAGGAGTTTTCTTTTTTACTATAGTCAAAACATAAAGGGTATAATAATTTATTAGTATAACAATAAATATACAATATATAAGTATAATGAACTAGCCTTTAAGTTTGCTAAGAAGTAAATAGTAAGTCGATGACGATGACTTAGTTCCAAAAGCAGCTAGCTGCCCATTTGGGAGAAATCCAGTGTGATATATTGTAAAATAAATAAAATGGGATGTTACCTATTCTCTAGCCAGCACTTGGTGTCTGTGCATACCGCAAGCTTTCTAGCCATGTGTGTGGTCTGACTCCAGATTTAAATGTGCCAGTACATTTCACAAGATTTTAACATAAGCCAAAAGATCAAAAATGAAACTAATGTCACATCCAGAATTATAAAATATGTGAAGAAGACTTTAAGGCTTTGGATCCAACAAGATTAGTCAGTAAATGGGGAATTTTTCCGTTTGGAAAAAAATTCCAAGATTAAAACCAGACGATATGGAGAATCAGGGGCAATTACCGGAATAGTAAAAAAAACCCTGACAGATGTGAAACGGTTCAGTGATGGAAGAAGGCCATGAACAACAATACTGCAGTGCTACAGAGAGCAATTGCATTCAATAAATTCTTGTACGCTTAACAACATTTGAAGCTGTTGAATGAGTAAAGAAACGCTTGCTAAAGCGCACATGTAGGTAGATATGAGGAATAAATGGCAAATGAATTTCAATGTAAAATTAAAAGCAGCAATGAGACAAACATTTACAGTCTGATATGTTAAAGGAGCACTCTGCGCACCATAACCACTACATCATACTGTAATGGTTATGGTGCCAGAATTTTTAAATGGTTTGCCACAAATGAAGGTCCCTCGGATAAACTAAGGTGGAAGTTTCACTTCTACATTGAAAATATCAATTTCTAATTACTGGGATAGAGTTCATTGATTCAGCTCTCCACCGACATGTTCAGCTAACGAACACCTTTCAAACTTTGTCAAAGTTTATTTTGTAAGTAAGAGGTGAACCCTTTAATTAGCAATATGGACATTAAGTGCTTGTTGTTGTTATGGTTTGAATGAAACGAAAGCATAAAAATTGTGCAATGACTGACGGAGACATTATTTTTTTAAAAACAATCTTAATGATTTCACAGACTTAATTACAGTTATTAATTACAGAATATAAAAAGAAATACATCATGTTGAACCGATGTGATCTTTTATCCCATAAACTTGGATTCAGCGAGCTAAGACAAAAACTAATATTTAGTTGGCAGATTACCACGTCATCATTCACTCAATTGTATCTATGGCAACAATATTAATAATATTACATTATATGTGAGTTATTCATTGTATTGATGTATACAAGAATTGAATTATTGTTTCAGCTAACACATTGGACTTGATTTAACATTTTTAGATACGCTTTTAAAATCATCGCAATCTTTTAGAAAAACCTTTTTACTTAGCGACCGAAATTCCTATAGACTTTGATGGTGACTTCCTTAAAAAGTTTGAAAAGTTTTTTTCTAACAGATTGTGATAATTTGAAAAGCATATTAAAGATAATTAAGCCAAGGCCATTGTTAGTAAGCTATGTGAATGTATAGATCTATTAATACGTCTCTTTGTAATGTATGGCATCTATTGTAAGGGCATTTATAGCACTGTAATAGAAAAGTGAACTATTTACATTGTAAAATATGTTTCTCCCCAAACAGATGACAACGCCGCAGATTCCGAATCCAAACCTGAAGAAGTTACAGGTAAGACACTCTGTAATGCAAAGTTCATATAACAAGAGCTATCTGAGGCTAAAATATATGTTTTTCAAAGAAAATATGGTTTATCATGACTTTCCAAATTTCGGCTTTGTTTGCCATAGTTATATAATATCAAAATATTGTTTCTCTTCTCAGAAACAAATAATAATATACAGATTAGGTCTGCAGAAAAATGGAGCAATCACCATGGAAACCAACTTTGCCCCAAAAAACTAATTGTTGATGTTAAGTTTCTTTCAATGAGATTATGTGGTTATAGTGCCCATGGGGTCCCTTTAATTTTGCAAATCTCTCAAGTCACCACATTTCCCTTAGGTCATCGTTATCGTTCTCGTTCTTCTGTCAATTAAAACAACTCATACCCTGTGCATGTCAGAGAAAAGTGGGATTGCATTTAGTTTAGAAAAAGTAGCTATTCTCATTTAAAAAAAATCACAAAACGTTTAAAGGACCACTATAGTGCCAGGAAAACATATCGTTTTCCTGGCACTATAGTGCCCTGAGGGTGCTCCCACCCTCAGGGACCCCTTCTGGCCGGGCTCTGGGGGGGAGGAAGGGGTTAAACTTACCTTTTTTCCAGCGCCGGGCGAGGAGCTCTCCTCCTCCTCTCCACCTACGATCCTCCTCCTCGTCTGAAAGCGCATGCGCGGCAAGAGCTGCGCGCGCATTCAGCCACTCCTTAGGAAAGCATTCATAATGCTTTCCTATGGACGCTGGCTTCTTCTCACTGTGAAAATCACAGTGAGAAGCACGCAAGCGCCTCTAGCGGCTGTCAATGAGACAGCCACTAGAGGCTGGATTAACCCTAATATAAACATAGCAGTTTCTCTGAAACTGCTATGTTTATAGAAAAAAGGGTTAACCCTAGCTGGACCTGGCACCCAGACCACTTCATTAAGCTGAAGTGGTCTGGGTGCCTATAGTGGTCCTTTAATGCTCAACATAGGTACAACTTTTTTACCATCTAGATTTGGCAAAGAGCGAGCATTACAAAAATAAACGATTCATTAAGTATTACGTATAACACATGTAACATTCAACATAGTCCAGGGCAGAATAGAAGATTCTAATCTATTGTGTCATTATAATTTACGAAATCAGAAGAATCAATTAAATCTCTGGTGGTTTTCTATGTAGGGGAAGGGGGAGAGAGAGGGAGAAAGAAAGTATAAAAAAAAGAATTTAGAAGAGGAGGGAGATGGCCATATGTTTGAAGATTTTGTAAGGCTACGAGCCTTTTTTGTATATAATACTACATAATGTGACATCTAATGATGAATGTTTTTCATGTTTTTATTAACAGTTGAACTTATTCAGAAAAATATTGTTGAGAGAAGATTGTTGAAAGCCAGCAAAGATCTGATTATCTTAGAAAATAAGATGTACAGCAATACAGATGAAGAACTACACAAAATGAAAAATAAAGAACTGGAATTTCTGTATGATGAACTAAGTGCGAAGGTATTCACAGTAGTGAAAGAATCTATTGTAGAAAACAATGAGAGATTGCTGAAAGAAGCTGTTCAGGCCATCATAGAACAAGAAAAAGAAGATAAAAATGTGTTGGAAAATAATTCAATGCCATCCAGTCCTGTAAGACCAAGAAAATGGATGCAGAAATGGCACGTCTTGGTCAGTGAATCAGTGGAAGAACGGATGGGGAATTTACCTGGAATTTCCCCAAACGATTCCGGCTCTTCTTTCTCCCGGACTTTTGCAATTCTAGGAAAGACCATTAAAACAGATCTAACCCATGTGGTCAAGAATCTCAAACCGCATTACCCAACAGCAGAGTTTGATGTGTGCAATATCTACGCAAAGTGCTATCACAAATTTTTGAAAACCCACATTGAAAATATTACCGAATTTGAACTCACGGGAAAAGATAGTCATTTTATCCTGAGCCTGGTACTCAATATCTACCCCAAGTAAGTCACAAATACTGTATTTTACAATTTATCTGGCTTATAAATAGAAGTAGTCAACAAGTTGCTCTCCAAAAGAAAAGGCAACACTTCCATAAGATTTTATGTGAAATCAAAATTTCTTAAGGCATTTGGCAAAGCACAGTCAAAGGAATGCTGTAGTTGTTGGGTGTTTCTTGGCATGGACCTAACTACCGCTAATCTTGGGTTTCTGTCATGTCCCCACCGAATATTAACACTTATGAAAATGTAATAGGTTGTTCGGACCATTGACCTTCTTGCCATCTTGGTATATGTCCTTATTGCCGTCTGTAGCTCGAACGCTTGTAGAAATAAAGAAATTGGTGCAAGTGAGCAAAATTATCACATAGGAGATGCTACAAGCAATCCATGGACATAGGATGTCCTAATAGCATGTTGATTTCATATTTATTTCATAATGATATAATGGGGACCCATTCATGTTATAATTATGTCCCTTCTCCTATTCTATCATATCAATATATTTAAAGACCCAGTTGTGTTGTAGGGATAATTGTATGGTGTATCTTCTTTAACTTTACATTAATTATATTTTGGGAGACCTGTTGCAAACAGGTTTAATTTTTCACTCTATCATGTCAATGTCTTGGAAGACCCAGTTATGTTAACCTAATGCTCATTCATTTATTTATCACAGCAATATATTGGGAGATCCAGTTCTGACTGATCACATACAAGCGACAAAATTGGAAAGGCTTTTAACGCTACAAAAGATCAGAGAACTGAAGAGCATTTACATCCCTTACGAAGTGGTAAGGACCTTTACTTCAATAAAATGTCAAAGGGACTTTATAGCAAAGTTTCAATAAGTTAACGCCTCTTTTATAATTCTGTGTCTATCTTATTCCATTTTATAAAGGAGTCTGTAAGAGAATGGATGGTCAAAAGCCTAAATTTAGAAGTTGAACGCTGGAAGGAGGGGTTAGAACCCCTGAAGTTGGGCGATTGCTACCATTCAGAGTTGCATATAGATGTTATTCAGGTAAGATAAATTTCCGTTCGATTTTATTGTATTTCTAATATTTTGTGTACATATTTATATGGATTAAATATTTTGTTTTTCTCTTAACAGAGTTTTGATGGAGGAATTCAAAGGGCGGCAGAAATCACTCAACAAATGTCGAATAATATGATACCTTTACTGTCAAATGAGCTGGTCGAGTTTCTGAAAAGGTGATTTTAAATGGAGAAATGATTACAAGTAGAATACTTCAATGTCCTAATACAGATCCAATGGACACACATTGTGCTGCTTATCCATAAGACGTTTCTCATACAATACATAGTTCAGTATTGGTATGACATGGTAGACCACATCCCTACATCTAGTCCTGTGATGGTACCTTGTGTGACTCTAGTTCTTGTAGACTTTGCTTCCCAAGTGGTTACCCAAAACGTCTGGGGAATCGTAGTCCACAGCAACTGACATTGGAAATATTAACAATCACTAGGAAATCAACGCAGCACACTAGTGTGCAAATATGCCAACAGAACAACCATTAATTGGTTAATGCTTCAATGCAGTCTCAAATTGTAGAGTCACTGTTCCATATCCATCAGTGTTAATTCAGCTATTCATCCTTCTGAAGTTAAGGTGGTATAAAAAAAAATGCAATATTAATTTCTGATGTGAAATCGGAGCTATTTTTATTTTTATTGCCCTCGACTTTCATTTATGTTCCATTTAATGACTAGCAGGGATCATCAATGGTTGAGTATGGAAGAGCGAAAATGGGATAAACATAAAAGTGCATTTAATATTTACATTTGTTAAAAGCATATTTACATGCATGTATATAGAATAGTGTAAAATAATTTATAAATAAAAATGTGTGTAATAGAGCGGGTGGTCATTATTTCATTTAAACTGTATATTATATTATTTTTATACTTATTTTTATTCTTTTTTATTTACAGTTACAAGAAAGCCTTTGAAGAATATAGAAAAAATAAAAATGATGAATATTTCAAACCTATAGTTATGGCTAATATAAATTGCTGCCAGAGTTTCAGGTACGGATTTTAAGCGGTCTGATGTCTGATATGTCAAATGATGAGTCCAATTATGACATTATTGGATTTCATAGTTTCTATCGCACTGTGTTGGGTAACTTGCGTTAAAGGAAAACTAAAGGAATCCCATCTTGGTACTATGCGTGTGTCAGTAGGCAGGTGTATACTGAAAGGTAGAGTCCCCCGTCCACATCAACCCCAATTAGCACGCCACTCTCCATCAGTATAGCCAAGAGTTGATTGACATTTATTTAGGAAGCGCTTGTATCAGTTCTTTAAAGGCTGTCAATCGTTAACAATGTCCTAGAACAGGGATAAGCAACCTTGGCACCCCAGATGTTGTGGACTAAATCCCCCCATAATGCTCTTACACCCATAATGCTGGCAATGCATCATGGGAGGTGTAGTCCAAAACATATAGAGTGCCAAAGGTTGCCTATGCCTATGCCTGTCTTTGAATCTAGACACAATAAACAATGCACTATTGCAAAATACTTGTTGAGCATACAGTGCACAGTGGTTTTAGTTTTTTCTTTGTTTTACAAGATATAGAGTTTAGAGTAGCAGATTATATTTGTGTTCAGTGCTTCGGGGGATGAGATCATGGTATGCTACCATTAAACTAAAACCAGAGTTTAACGGACACAGAACAAATACCGGTAAAAGCACATGTTATAAGAAAAGGCCAGTATCTGAAAAGACTGCAATATACATTTTTGTTAATGATACTTTAAATGTTGCATAAGGCGTTCGTTTAGCACAATGTATGTCTTTACTCTTCTAACAAAGGCCTTGACTTAATATTTTGGGGGAAATTGTTTAAAATGATTTAATATTTTTGGATAAACTTTTAACATTATTTAATATTTTGACAAATATTTAATATATAAGTATTGATATAATTTTTATATATGGAATATTTTTTATATTTTAATATTTTTAATATATATATTTTTTAAGTTTATTCAAAAATATTAAATCATTTTAAAAACGTATACAAAATATTACATGGTTTTAAAAGCTTATCAAAAAATATTAAATCATGGACACTCTCTGAAATTACGAGTGTTTCTCCGTAACTTTTTTGTCTTTATATTTTAGAGAATTTGTTGCTCAAAGTGATGCAAAGTTAGATCTGAAATCAAAAGAAGCAATTAAGTCAATCCTGACTGATTTTGAGAAGGTTGGATTTGAGACACTTCTTCAAGATTTATATGACGAGCTAAAGGTATTTTTAAAATAGAATTTTACTTGTACTTTCCTACAACATTACATATAAAACGTCTGAACTTTTTTTTGATACAACTCATATATACAACTTGGAATTTTCAAAGGTCCTTTTCAGTTTGGTGAACTATTTGTATAATATTGAATTTTTTTTTTTTTATATATTAATATATTTTTTACTTATGATATATTTTTATTATTTTAATATTTAGAAAAAATCATTTAAAAAGTTTATCCAAAAAATATGAAATTAATTGAACAACTCATTGAACTATATGAAATCGAGAGGCAAATATAATTTTTGCCATGTATGCATGTATATTTTTAGTTTAAGAAAAAATAACCACAGTCTTTTTGTTTAGGGTGTTTTCAAGAGGATTTCTCAAGGAAATGGAATGTGTAGTTATCAAACCATGCAAGAGATCATCCAGATAACAGAGAGACACATTTCTCCTTTTGGAATGTTAACCCAACATTGTTATAAGGTAAATGCAACATCCGTCTATATTTAGATCCAGCAAATGAATTCCAACGTTAGATATGTAGTCCATTAAAGGAATTGTAGTGGCTTATTACATTGTAATCACATTTTTCATTGTAGGAAGCGATCGGTAAGGTCCACTTACACTTGGTCAAAGAATATATCACAAGACTCCTGAAGAAAAAAGTCACTCTCAAGAATGTACAGCAGCTTCAAACTCTAGGCAGGCAAATTCGCGAGACGGCCATGCTTATCAAGGACTTCTTTTCTGTTCACGTAAGTTCTGGTATCTTTCATGTCATGTAAAAAAAAACCTTGTTTCTGGAAAGTTTAATAACCCTAACTAATCTTAACATTTAGTGACTGGTAATTAGCGGCTGCCAAAATTGTCTCCCACAGAGATTAACAGAAGTCACCAAATTTCTGTTAATCTCTGTTGACCACCTGGTTACCATGATATATGGCAACAACCACTGCTTGTCGGTATCTGACCAAAAATCACACCTGCCTCATATAGTAATTTATTACTGTAAACTCTCAATACATGTACATTTAAGTATATTTTAGCACTGAAGCCCATGTATAAGCATGGTTTTCAGTAGTCCCCACCCAGTCGTCACGGGCCACTACCAGTCCAGGTTTTGTCATTATCTCCATTTGAATAAAAAAGGGAAATACATAAATCCTGGACTGCTGGTGGTCCATGAGGACTGGGTTGGGAACCACTTGTTTATGCCAGTTTACACCTGTGAAATGTGGCAAGTAGAATGTATGCAAATACTAAGAGCAAGTCAGACAATTATTGGTGAAGTGCGCATGTACTGAGTAAATCTTTTATAGTGGCGTGCGTCATTACTAAAGCAAGAAACGTGAAAACCTTGACCTTTGTCCTGGTGTAAGTCCAACATACAATACTTTAAACACCAATGACCCCATTACCAGGGCATGAACACAAACTCTTTGTTGTTTTTGCAAAGGGTGCAACAAAATCCCTGTACCAGGGCCTCTTATTCTAAATTCCCATCAAATGGTATGTTGTATAAAAAAAAATTTCAGTGTATCTACCCATTCTGCAAACTCTGCCAAAATTCAAGTGTATTGTATATCATGTAACACAAAGAAAAAGGGCTGTGCCAATAGTTAAAAGGTACAATAGTTCATCTGAATAGGTTGGGCAATATAACATAGTTGGTCTCACTGATATGATGGGACTAAAGTTCTGATGGAGTAACTGAAGGTAAAGTCTGATAATATTGAGGGCTCACTCGATTGTATTGTATATTGTATGCTTTTTGTGTGCTCCGCACATATTTTGTGGCTTGGTGTAAGTGGATATAGGGGTATAAGTCTGTAAAAATACCCAATGTTTTACTGGAAGGTGATTTGTTTAATTACACATGAAACATAAAGGTATAATAAATAGTGCAAGATCGTTAGTTAAAGAGATGTTTATTATTACTTTTGTAACAGGAATCCCAAGCATTTTGGCTGGAAAATATAATATCCAAAGTGGCTGAAATCATTCGACTCCAGGATATCGGTGCAATCCAGCTTGAAGTAGCTACACTTGCGGCAGAATATCCAGATATTGGGTAAGACAAATGGTTTACATTCTTTCAAACTATTCTAAAAATGTTTGTTTCAAGTGAACTGTGTTCCTCTGATTGTGTGCTTCTTGGAATGAAATACCGAGCAGGATAATATACTGACTTCTAGACTACATGATAAAGCAAGAAATTAATACAGATATTCCCAAATTACCTTGCTGTGCTCTCTGTGGATAAACTAAAAGGAGCTAAATAAACTATACACGGAATTAAAAAAAAACCTCAAAATTACACGTATATTTTAATAAGAAATACCTTTTTTTTAAAAAAAGACTTTGTTAGTCCATCAGCAGATCAGCTCAATTTAACTTTAAAAAGTCCATGAAAATGTTGACTTTAAAGTTGTAACCATTATTGTGACTTCTAAATAACAGCGTTAAAATGCAGTTTATAATAAGGGGCACCATTACAGCACCAGGTATACTGCTCTAATGACATTGGGTACAGCAGTTTACTCCATAATGTAGCTTTAGGGTCTTAGTTAAAGGGACACTATAGGCACACAGACAACTTTAGCTTAATGAAGCAGTCTTGCAGTCTCACTGCTCAATTTTCTGCCATTTAGGAGTTAAATCCCTTCGTTTCTGTTTGTCCAGCCTGTGACTGACACAGCCTGCATGAAAAAAAGGCTTAGGTTTTTAATCAGATGTTAGCTTGCTTTAGAAGTTTAAATCTCCTTCTCTGTAAAATGAACTTTAATAACACACAGGAGGCTCCTGCAGGGTCTAGAAAGTTATTAACAAAGCAGGAAATAAGACATTCTATATGAAACAGAATGTCCAAGTTTAAGCATTAGTTCTTTCTTTATAGGAAGTGTTTAAGAAGGTTGCGTAAGTCACATGCCTGGAGGTGTAACTAGGGCTACATAAACAGAATGATTTAATGGCAGAGAATTGAGCAGTGAGACTGGAAGGGCATGATCTATACACCAAAACTGCTTCATTAACCTAGAGTTGTTTTGGTGACTACAGTGTCCCTTTAACTAAAATCAGTAAATGTAAACAGAAATTGGTTTAAAAGTTCAACTTTCATAATTGTTTAATATCACTCATCACACAATATAATGGCCAGTGTCTCCCATATTTACAGTGAATTTAATCCACATGTGCCGAGTAACGTGGTCTAGCGTTTATGCCACATAGTGGATATGTTATCACTTATTACCAGTATTATGTTTAGAATCTGTGAGTTTGACACATTTTTTGTTTCATTATTGTACAAAATGTTCACAGCATATTGAGGTCAGTGTTCCCTATTTTTCACAGGCGAAAACAAGTTGAAGCTATTTTATACATCAAAGGGAATCTCAGCAAGAGTGAAGTCCGATCAATCGTCGGCGTCATTGACAGCCAAGAAAGGAACACAAGCACAACCCAACCATTCTTTTCATTAATTAAACCTTCTTAATATGTTTTACGAGAACTGGTGCTTAAGCATGTCACTATTCCTGTAACTGTCTATATTACATTAGACAATGTAGCAGGAAGATACCAAGGTCAGGATTGACTGGCCAGATGGTCAATGTCACCTGTCCATATGGGTTGATACTCGGAACTACCAGTTAATTTCGCTGTAAGATGGATATAATGGAATTTGCTTAAATTTTTGGTACTGTATATAGTTCCATTTTTATTACTACAGATATATAGGTCTAGAAAATGTCTGATAGTTCTCAGCATCATCTGTTGGACCTTTTATTGTACCATCTTGGAAAAGGACATAAACTGCACATATGAGTTTGGATTTCCCAAGTGTATGTGAAGTTGTTGTGTGTTTTTCTGTCAAAGAGAAGCGTTGAACATTGAAAAAGATGGACAATAAGTATTACACACATTGGATTTGAGTTAAGATCTGTAGAGTACATTATTCATAGAACAGTACATTGAACAGGATCTACAACAATTCAGAAATTCATTGTGTTAGTTACATATAGAAAGGAATTAATGTGATGGGTTAGACTATTAATCCTAGAACAGAGGTGGCTATCCTGCTGGTTGTTGACCTACATTCCTCATGAATCTCTGCTAGCCAACAGAAGTATTGGACATTTCGTCTGATAACAGCAGGGAGCCTAATTTTGGTCAACACTTATATTTCTCCCATCCATCTTGTGTTTATTAAACAGAAAAGGTCTTAAATATGACCGTGACTCTGCGAGAAATGGTTCTCACATTTCAATCGAATTCTAGATAGTTCATTCTTATAAGCTCACTTTTAAACAAATTAATCTATAATCCTATAATCACTTTTTGTAGGGATTTGTATATTTTGTATCTTTTTTTATTTAAGAACATATTTTACCTCCGAAACAATGTGATCTCATCCGTGGCTCAGCTAAATGTGTGGCTAATTTTTGGCCACGGTTATAGCCATTATGTTTTCACAACATGACTTCTTTCGGAAGCAAAAACAGCGCAGAACGATTTGTTTACAATTCACTTGTTTACACAAAGTTTGGAAGACGAAAAGCAATCATAGGAATAGTCGAATGTATGTTTCTGAAGCTGGACTGCCTTTAAACATCAGTATTTACAAGTAAGAGTGTCTGTATATAATGTATTGAAATATTTTTGTTGTCTTGCTTGTTGTATTTTTTTCAGATGTTATAGCTAAGTTATATTTAGCCTGTATAATATGGGACATGTGTCCCAAAACTGTATTTTTATTTTTTCACATAAAGTTTTCAATTGTTTGTATTATCTTGTTTACGTATTTTGTTTTGTTTGGAACTGAACATACCAATTTTGTCGCGTTTCGAAGAATAAACAGTGCAGCTAAGGCCATACTTAACCAGCGCACATAACTAGTAAGGATAATTTAGCATTATGTGATAATGTATTTATATTTTTTGCTTCTGTAGGTCCAGCCAAGTGTATCCACAACATATAAAAAGATACAACTTATCACACTCTTCCGTACATAAACCTCTTTAAGATATGTAGGTAAAGCGTGTGATGTAAAGGTGTACGATATGTGTTGTGGGTGTCTACGTGTGTTGTAGGTCTTGTTTAACTCGTGTGTATGATGCATGTGTTTTGGGGGCCATGTTCATGTCCATGTGTTAGATGATGTGTCTGTGATGTGATTTATGCTTGTAGTGTGTGATTTGAAGTTTATCTCATAGTATTTGAAATGCATAATATAGATGTGTGTGATTTGTGCCATGAATGTGTAGTGTGTCGTGTGTTTGTGTATGTCTTCTCTGAAGACTAACGTTTTTGTTGTTGTGTCTGTCGAGTCCACTGCTTGTGTTGCTTGCAAGTATCCAGGAGGACGCAACTGGTAGCTGACTGGTAACTATGGCCTCAATTTAATATTTTTGGATAATAATCCAAAAATATGAAATCATTTAAAAATGGGTCCAACAATATTAAATCGGGCCCTATGTTTGAGTGATCAATTTTGTGTGTATCTGATGTGATATCAAATGTCGTTAGAGAAGGTTGCTCAGAATTTCCTGACTTTGAGTGAGAGTTTAAGTTACCATGATATTTGGGCATTTGGAATTGTATGAATTTTTCACAAAGTGAGTTGTGGGGAATTGAAAGTGAATTCGACCAAAATAGGCAAACTTGCAAAATATTTGGCTTGAAGATTATTTTTTTCCAGTAGGGTATTTTTAGCAATATTGAATTTTCATAGGCAACAGTTTGTTGAATAACCCTATCACGGATAGGCTATCGGTATATCATGGTATGACTGACAGTAAGCAAAACAATCTTAAATTAGGGGAAAATGTCAGTGGGAAGAATGTATAGATTGTGGGCCAACCGCAACAAGTTATTAAAGTGTAACTCAGTTTTTAAAATCCCACTTTCTTTAATAGATGCAACAGTTATTTTTGTTATACTGCTTAAGACTGAAAAATTGGCATGTATCCGAAAATAAACGAAAAAATAGGATTGCTTATGATAGAAACAAGCATTAATTCAGAGGGTAATAAGGAGTTAAAGTTCAATAGAAACAGAAACCGTACAAAAAATATATACTGTTGCGCCATGACTTGATGGAAACCAATGACTTCATGAAAATGCATCAGGTCCCAATGTGATTAAGCAGTTTTAGAAAAATCTCAACTGTTTTCTCAGTAAAAATGCTTGGGTACTCAGGAATAACATGTAATTCAAAAAGTAATGTACTGATAAAATGCCAAAAGTGCTGTAATCTCACCACGTTTACAATTTGTGTTTTCATCCTGTACATACAAAGATATATAAACTCCAGAAGTGCAGTTAGGCAGATTATAACACAATAATTTAAACAGAGCTAACTCCTTTGGTTTGGGGTTCATCCTTATAATTGGCAAAAAGTCAAGACTCTGTAATGCAATATTTTTCACAGTGTGGCAGTTACTAACTGAGGGGGCACTTAGGGAATAGTTTACACTGGCTAAGGGTATTTGCAGTCAGAACTGCAGTCTGGATTTGTAACTCCCAAGTGTCCATATTTAGTCGCAATTCCCAGTCCCTAATCCCTCTGTCCCTCTTTTCTATCCTAATGTCCTTCTTTTCTCTGAGCTCCATATTGTTGGTGTGTCTGAGTGTATAACAGAGCTCCACAGCAATAATACTCCCAGTAATGTGTCTGAGTGTATAACAGAGCTCCACAGCAATAATACTCCCAGTAATGTGTCTGAGTGTATAACAGAGCTCCACAGCAATAATACTCCCAGTAATGTGTCTGAGTGTATAACAGAGCTCCACAGCAATAATACTCCTAGTAATGTGTCTGAGTGTATAACAGAGCTCCACAGCAATAATACTCCCAGTAATGTGTCTGAGTGTATAACAGAGCTCCACAGCAATAATACTCCCAGTAATGTGTCTCAGTGTATCACAGACAGAGCTCCGCAGCAATAATACTCCCAGTAATGTGTCTGAGTGTATAACAGAGCTCCACTGCAATAATACTCCCAGTAATGTGCCTGAGTGTATAACAGAGCTCCACCGCAATAATACTCCCAGTAATGTGTCTGTGTATCACAGACAGAGCTCCGCAGCAATAATACTCCCAGTAATGTGTCTGAGTGTATAACAGAGCTCCACCGCAATAATACTCCCAGTAATGTGTCTGTGTATCACAGACAGAGCTCCGCAGCAATAATACTCCCAGTAATGTGTCTGAGTGTATAACAGAGCTCCACAGCAATAATACTCCCAGTAATGTGTCTGAGTGTATAACAGAGCACCACTGCAATAATACTCCCAGTAATGTGTTTTTAAACTACAATAAATGTGTTTAGAGATCAGTCTGTGAAAATAAGATACATTGTTCTTGTTCAAAATTACATTTTAGTTGGATATAATGTTTTAAGTTGTAAGATATCTCAGAACGGCTCCTCACTACATTAAAGTGTCCCTTTTTGTCCATTTGAAATGTTGGGAGGTAAGTGGTGATTTTGCCAGGCCAAGAGTGATGGGAGTTACAGTCGACAGTATCTGTAGTGTCACGAATGTACATGGAATTACGGTAAGTACAGTGCAATGCCTAATGTTTTAAAGACACGCGCCATTTAACACAGAACACGAAATAAATTTGCTCTCTTATTAAGTTAATGCCATTGCAGCAATGTCCAATGATTCTCGGACATTGCGAATGTGTTCCTTTAGTAGCCCTGAAGTTAGAATGGATTCATTGTTACTTAAAGCAAAAGCAAGACGTGCCCTTGACAGAACATTAAAGATTGATTACACTCCTATTAGTTTAGTTTAATTTGAATTTAAACAAACATAGCATATACACCAACAGTTCCAAATTTCTAGCTATGCTGTCTGGTTCTAAAATAATATATAATTTATAGAAGAAAACAAATGTTTTGTGATGCACTTAGTACCACTTTAAACTAGAATTTCGTAATTGGAAAGTTTTCGCAAATTCCTTCAGAGGTTTGAAAACTATAACTTCTACATGAGTCACAAAAGGTAATCGCTGTCATAAACATTTAACTAGCACAATACATGTTTGTCTCCTGGGAGGAAAAGGGGATAATATCTTTCACTAAGAGAGTTTGAACTTCCCACAATCCTACAGAGGATTTATTATGAGGCTTGTTAATGGGAAACGAGACAAGAGATTCGCGGAACAGAAGTTTATAAAATGAATACAACGCAGACAGAGCCTTCTGGCAAACAAAGGACAACTACAGACTGATGAAGTCTGGGTATTGTGCTAAAAATTATATAACCTCTGGAAGTTTGCGAAATCCCATCTGCCATCACCAATTAGCTTACTTCCCCATCAGGAAATAAGACATTCCTATGTGTTAACATGTATAGTCTGAAAACATTTAACAATGAAATGAACAAATCTGAGGGAACTTCGTGGTAACCAACACATTAAATGGTAAGTACTGGTACTGCTTTATGTTTTTGTAGTGGTTATGGTGTCGGGAGTCCCCTGGTGCCTGTTTTAATGCTAAACGAGAGTCCACAGCAGACCATTTCCTCTGTGCCCCTTGGGCTAATGAGAAAGCATTTTTCTGGGTAATAATGAACGGCTGCAATTGGCTGATAGTGTCAGCTGACATTTCGTTAATATCCCCCTAAATTCCATTTGTGGAAATAAGCCATCGAACTATGTTTCCCCTAAGCCGCTAGTTCGGGTGTTCTATGGTATAGCTGTCTGAGCCTTTTTGGTGGCATAGGTTTACTTTTGCTATTTATTTTAGCACATTTGTTTTTATGTTTATTTTTGTCTGTCCTGTATGCCTCATCGTCGTTTTTATGAATACACACTGTCTCAACAAAGATTCCAGTATCTTTTAGCCTCTTTCCTCCCTACTATCCAAACTTTGCTCTGAAGCAAGATATATTTTTGTTGTATTTCTTTTCTCACTTTTAGCATTAGAATACGAGTTTGAAAATACAGGTGAGCTAATCTCGGATGTTAATGTTTAATTGTTGTTTTTTTCTAAACAATAGAGGTTACATGCATGCAGAACAAGCCATTTCACCTGGCTGAGAACAATGGTTGTTGAACTTGTAATCCACTTACTCCCACCCACTACCCGCTTCAAGTGAGCACAACTCCCGCAATGTATCCTTGGTCTAATAACGCTTTTACTTTCTAATAAAAATTGGGGGAGGGGTACCATAACTGCAAGGTTTAAAAACAGCAAAAAATAAAAACCGTGTTAATACATAAAACACATCAGCAAGTCGAAGGTCTGGAGTCTCCATTTAAGATACAAGGGGCATAAGGAAGGGAAAACGGAAAGACAAAAAAGAGACAGTGATATTTTGATCAGTTGGTTTTCTTTATCCTGTTGTGATAGAAGCTCATCATCTTTTTAATGACTTCTCCGTGAATTCAGCTCGGACTTCCAGTTAAGGAAGTTCGTTAGTTGTGGAGGGAAAATATCTAAATATGTATCCTTTAGCGTTAGACAATCAGAAAAAGGAAATAGAGGCAAAATGGCAGATCTCATTGCTTTAATCATCCTCTTAGTAATGATTCCCCTACTACCTCAAAATATATTGGTTTAAATAATCTATATGAAAAGAAGCTTAAAAAATGAATTTTACATTTAAGAATGTATATTTTATTTGCTTGTTTGGGTGTGGATTTGTCAAATTTAAATTTTAGTACATTATTTTTGTAAAACTCTTGTCCATTTCAAAGCAATAATTAGGCAAGATATGGATTAAAGGACCACTATAGTGCCAGGAAAACACACTCGTTTCCCTGGCACTATAGTGCCCTGAGGGTGCCCCCACCCTCAGGGACCCCCTCCTGCCGAGCTCTGGGGAGAGGAAGGGGTTAAACTTACCTCTTTCTCCAGCGCCAGGTTAA